GACCGTACCCGCATTGGTTTCCCCTCGCAAATTGGTTTCCTTGGTTACGCGTTCAAGTCATGGCAGCTGGAAGCAGCTTGTGAACGGGGGGGTTTTCCAACCCGTAAACTGGCGCAAGGCCTCCAAATTGAGGACTGACCAAGCCACATTTGGGATCATTTGGGGGGGGTGGCCAGGGCCGATTCGGACACAAAGACCGAATCGCCATCGCCATGTAAAGGTATACCCGTCAGGTTTTTGGCGTCATAACACCAAAAGCCAACTTGCTTTTCACTCACCGTTTTTCTTGGCCTCCGAAATCAAAAGGAAGGCACGATATGTGCGGTCCGATTTTTTTGGCCATGGATGTGTGTCTGGTATGGCGGGCTAAAAAGTACGGATTTGTCCATCTGGTGGTGCCTGCAACCTACAAATGCCGACTGTGGATTAATCAACAAATTTCCAACAAAAGTGAAGGCTTCCTTCCAATTGGTCGACAGGGATTTCTTTAGTCCCGGGTGTTCAGATTCTCGGTACTCCACAGCGAATCTCGACTCTACCGATGCCTTGCAGCAGCGCTTGCCCTCTTCAAAGTTGTCTTTTCCAAATCCTCGGAATGATCTGAGACCCAGAGCTCTGGGAAAAAGAAGCGGCACCCGTTTTGGTTTGGTGGATTTTGAACGGAAAAGGAACACCTGATCAGGCGGCAAAAGCAAAAGGCGAACACAAGGAAGAGAAGGAAGGAGTGCATTTGGCAAAACCTTTCGGATCCATTTGTGCCATCCACCTGTGTGGGTCCTTTTTCCCTTTCTTCCCACTAACAGTCACTTGTAATGGCAACCTGGGGGCCGTAACGTCTGTCCGATGCCTAAGGCGATATCCGAGGCCGGAGCGCATTACGATGTGCGGATCTGTCAAGGGATTCCACCTCAGCAAATGCTCAAGTCGGCGCATTTTCAGGTATGGGGTTTGGAGCCATGGAGGCTGTGTGTCGCAAAAAACGGTGTGTACGTACAACGCCTTACAAGCATATATTGGTGGCATGTAAACTTCAGGAGTCATCTATATGTTGCTTATCATTCTATAGAATTATAGAGGTGACGTACTGCTCTTGTACGACAACATTGGAGGCATAAAGGGCCAAACCCGGGTATATGACAGTCTGAATGGGGTGCAGACATTTCTCAGCGCAGGCCGTTGGATATGCAGTTGGCTCATCCGGTCAGTCGCATCATTCAATGGCCCCAACACCGGGTCCCAAGAGCTGCTGTTTCCCATGTGCAAAATCCCTTGGTACTGTCAACAAAATCGAAGGTGGGGACGCTCTTTCAATGCCCAAAGGCAATCAAAACCGGATCCGATGGTTTTTTTAAAAGACTTTTTCATGACATCCATTGCGGAACGTTGCGGAAAATGCCCCTAGTCTCAAAGGTGGTTCTCTCGGCAACACAGAAGACCCAAGTTTCATGCCCCACGCACTGATGGGAAGGCCGCGGGCGGGGGGGGGTGAAGTGTTGAAAGCTAATCAACGGTCTTTAAGGTCTTTGTTCCGCAACCATGGTGAAGAATTCTACAAAAAAAACATTCGCTTCGGTGGGTGGTTAGCTGCAACTCTCGCAGTTTGCAGTGCTTTCAGTGAGTAACCAAGGTTTCTCACGTCCCCCATTGATTAATAGGCGGGGTGTCCCCTTTTAGTGGGGAATCAGCACTTTTGGAGGGAACACTCCCCTAATAATGGGTTTCGGGTTTATTAATCCTGGGTCAACATTAACTGGAAGGGTTTCTGAGTGACTAGGTCCTCCAGTAGAGAGGTTAGAATAAGGGTACCCTTTTTGATGTAGTCTACTTTAGTAGGGTTGAACCCTCCCAACCAAAAAAGAAACGGTAAAAGTTGGCACGACTCGCTGGGGAACCTAGGTGCCCTTTGAAGCCCAATTTTTTTGTCGACTCTGGCAGCGGGGCTCGTCTGAGATGCCGTTCAGGATGCCCATGACCTCACCCAGAATTTGCAGTTGCACTCCCCCCAACCCCCCCCCCCCTAAGAGCGAAGAGTATGTTAATGCGCCGGGGGGAGGGTTTGCTTCTGTCTGGGCATCAACATCACAACTTCTTATCATCCTGGGCATCAACATCACAGAAACCATCTGGTCGAGCAATCCCGCACACCACGGGAAATGTCTTGGTTGAGCCCATCGCCGTCTTCTTCGCCTTCTTTCTTTGGGCTAAGCCGCTAAGCTGGCCCGACGGCAGGTGATTCGGGAGAAGGGAGCGGGAAGGGCGTTCGGTTCGAGGCTCCCAAGATGAAGCCCAAGGCCAAGGCCGATGGTCCGCTCCCCCAACCCCCCCCACCCTGACCCCGCGCCACGCACAACAAAAGCATCAGGAAGCGTTTTCCCCGTCAAACAGGAGAAACAGAAGTGACATACTTCAGCAGGCAAGTTGGATTTTGCAAGTTTCGGGTCGCTTCCTTGGTGTCCCAGGAAATAGAAATCGAACTCGGTGTCTTAACAGCGAAATGTTCAAAACAGGGATGAACTATAAAACCGTGAAATGGGGGTCTAACAATCTTCACACGACATCTCTGGAAGTCGCCAAACTGGGGCCCTGACTCTCCTTGGTTTCGCTATTGCACAAGGTCAGGGAATGTCCAAACTAGAAACACCACCGACAGGACTCAGGACACTCGCTTCAAAAAACAGGAAACCGCGCAAACAAGCAAGTTATGTTGAACACGACCGTAGGGCAATTGTAGGGCTCTGTGCAAAATAACGCCCCAATCACAAACAAAAACCAGGAGGCAAGCAAGCAATTAAACCAAACACACACTCGCACACAAAAGGAAGAAAAAAACCTGCAAAACCCAAACCAAAACCAACAAACCAGCACACAACCCCCACAAAAACCGAACGAGGAAACGACGATTCCCCCCCCCCGAAGAAAAAACAAAAAAAAAAAACACCCCCCCAACACACGGGACGTTTCGCCCCAAAACCCCCCCAACCCGGGGTGTCGAGTGCCGGGCTCGCTTCCTTGAGGCCTTCTCCCGCAAAGAGGTGTGTAGGCCATGGCCCCCTGCGGATCGATCGCACCCAAACTGCGCGTTTTTGTTTTGTGTGTTTTTTTCTCCGGGTTTTGCCCCCGCGGGTCCTGCGGTGAATTCTTGGCAAACCCAGGCGCAAACCACAGCTGAGACCTGGATCAGGGAACCCGAATGAGAGCACCATGCATATGACCAAATATCTTGGTTGACGTTGGAAGGGGAGCAAACAAATACACTTGAGCAGTTGATTGGTTGGGTTTAAAAACTAAAATGTGTCCCAACAACAACCATGAATTTACACAAAAGAGATCGAGCAAATGCGAATGCCACAGGTTGGCTGTCCTGCGAAAAAAAAAAGAAAGGCTGCAATTGCTCAGGCCCTCAAGAAGCGTAGCTTGTGTCTGGCTAGAGTATCGCTACGTTTCCCCATGGCTTCTCCCTATGGTTCTCCCTATGGGTTTCTCTCTGCGGCTTCCCTACGGGCGTTTGTGTCAAGATGGGGACTCAAACCTTCCAAAAATGCGGGTTTCATGTTTCTTTGTTGGTGTCCATTTAAACCAGGCGAAAAGGGTACCCTCAAAACAACCAACACACACACACACACACGCATACACACACACAAAGGCACACACACGCGCACACACACACACACCTATTGTTTCCCTATGGTTTTCTCCTATAGTTTGTCCCTCTGGTGCTTCCATTTGCATTCTCTCTATATTTTTCCCTACAGTTGTTCCTTATGGTTCACCCCATACCGAGGACTGAACATTCATAGCACCTTCAGTTAGCCCAATGATGGTGATTCCAGTGGAATGAATCTATGGTGTGCAATGCCTTCCCTACAGTCCCTTCCCTACGATTTGCCTCTGACTTCCCTACGGTTTCCCTGTGGATGCGGTTTTTCCCCCTACGGTTTCCCATAGAACGCTGTCAGCTGCTGCAAAATGCATTCCAAATTCAGAAACTATTGTGGTGGACAAATCTTGCACTTGAGGGACAGACATGCCCCGATGTACCCCAAAAAAAGTTGTTCGCCCTAACATCGGAGGTTCCCGACTGTGGGGGGAAAAAATCCGCTTCACACCATTTGGGATGCATGAAACCCTATGACCGGGATAAACAATTTGCCAACTGGCAAAAAAAATATTTACATACTTTTTTAGGACATCCACGGTATGGTAGGTATTCCTTATGGTGGTTTTACCGAATGATGGTCTTTACCCAGGATTTACAAAACTGCTAGGGGCTTCAATTAACCTAATGATGGTACCTCCGATTCACCTTCTGGTTCCTCATGGTTTCCCTACGGTTTAGAGTGGGTTGCCAGCTGGATTCTGCTACTTTGGCCTTTTGGAGCACCCCCCTGGCACGTAGGAATGGTGGGTTCCCCTTGGTGCTTTCCCCGTGCTTTATTTTTCTTCTTTCTCTGCAAAAGCTGGATTCTCTTGAAACCTGTCGGGGCAATGGGAACCCATGAAGCCCCATCTAGTAGCCATGAGATTTGGCGAGTTGGAATTTCCATGAAGGGAATGCTAGCTTCCTGCTCCATACCCACGACTTGAATACCCGGTTAATTCGCATATGGGTGTTCCAAAAACTTAAGAGGGGGTCCTTCACCCCAGTTAACCCAATGAATGGCCTTCCTTATGGTTTCCTTCTTGTTTTCCCTATTGTCTTTATCTGGTTGTCCCTTTGACTTTCTGGCAAAACCACAAGAGAGATGGGCACGTATGCAATTATGTCCAATGAATTGTAAGGTTACGTGGTGCGCGTCAGGGAATCCATGAGTATTGTGTAAGGGGTGCACTCCATGGTTACCTCAGATCCAGTTGAAACCACTCTGCCAAGATACCTCAAAAAAAGGTTGGTCCTCCTTGGGAACAGGGATGAATGGACCTGACACGGCATGTACTGTAGCTCCGAACAAAACGCAACCCTGCAAAGGAAACTGAAGGAAGCTTCATTAACCAATATTTTGCACCGTGTGTCATCCTGCAACCCTTCTATAGGTACACCATTCACACAACCTCAGCAACTCGCCGACCACTCGCAGCAACATGCAGATCAAACAAACAGAGTTGGCATCTCCTTTGAGTGTGGCCTTTCTGAGGCGGTTCTTCATGGGGGCCAAACAACAGTTTACCAGGTTACCACCCATTCTTCGGGTCCCCCAATATTGAGACACCTTCATGGCCATTCACCTGCTGGCTGCACAACCCTCCATCCTTTTCGGCTCGCACCATAGATCGGAGTGAAACATAGCGGTGGATGCCCGAAATTTTAAAATGTTGACCAAGGTCTCCCGATTTCCTTCCAATATTTAGGACACCAACCGCAACACAAGAGTTCATCTCTTCCTGGCATTCTTCCTCTTCTGCCGGAATCGCATGCGACAAACGGGCAGGGAAAAAACCCACGGAAGCTTCCGATTCTTTATTTGCCATTTAATTCCTTGTAGGTGTCGGAGTCAGCACTTTCATCTCGTTCCTTCCAGCTCTCGCACCAGTACACGCAAATACTCTGGAAGAGCAGCGTGGACGTGATGAGGCCCATCCATGAGGCAAAGACCGTGTGGTAGAACCATGCAGTGATGAAAGCCTGGCACTTTTTGGCCTGGGGAGTTCCTGCATAGGACCCCTTTGAGAAACACCCATTTGGGTACGTGACAAACAGCGGAAGAAGGGTGCTCCTGTTGGTTTCGATTCAAGTTATCTTTCGACAGGTTACCCGCATAAAGTTCACACGGGTCCATTTGGCACTTGCACTCACTCGTGCATCCAGCCTCAAACAAGAAGCAGAAGCCCAGCGCCCAGGCCACCAGATGAACCAAAAGCGAAGTTCCTGGGAGGGCCAGCGACATCTCCAGCTGAGCTAGCATGCTGTTCCTCGGAAGTGAGTGCCTGAAGGGCCCCACCGCCACTCAAAAAAGGACCCTTCAACACGCCCTCCCCTCCCAACAAAGGACCTTCATCAAAAGTGAGCTCGTTGTAATTTGCAGGCTGGATTCTGGCGATTCGCTCAATGCTTCGTAACCCTACAAGGATTTACAGGGGGGTTAACTGGGCGTCACTAAACAATTACTCTACCCAAACGCTCCAGATCAATTTAGGGCCCTCCAAACAGCCAGGTTTTGAGACACCCAAACAATCCCGAGCTGTCTAATGGAGGGTCGGGTCTCCCATGGAAAGCCCCAGGAGCCTCTGGGTAGCGGCCAATTTATCTGCTTGGCTCGCATTGACCGAGTCAGACAAAGGCAAAGCATGCCAAGAGGCACGAGGAATATGTGATCGGAGACGTAGTAGTGGATATGTCTCCTCTCAGGGTACCGTCAGTGCGGTGTGCTGAGCACATCATGCAACCTGGCAACCAAGCATTGGGAGTATGCTAGCGCTATACAACCCAACGGCCTGCATGTGTCTGTTCGTTCTTGATTCCGCTACTGTAAAACACCCTACAACCACATCACTCATTCTGGACACTCCCTCTCATTTGGGTGTGCCTGGGGGTGCTCTCTTGGGGTTGGCTTAAAGAGAAAACGGGAAGCCAAGCAATGAAAGGATCGGCAGCCAAAGGAAGCTCCTGAAGGGATCCGTATCCGTATCCAACTCTAAGGGTGACAATTGTCCGGGCTCCAAAGATCCGGGGTAGACAGGCTGGTAAAAGGACACCGCCAAAGGTTCCGTAAGGGCTTGTGAACCAATCTAAGCGGAATTTCAACCAGGCTCATTTGTCCCAACCCCAATGTTTGTTTTCATCCCAACCCGTAGAAAACAAGCAACTCAACCAGGTTCCTTGGTCCCAACGCCCCAATGTTTGTTTTTATCCCAACCCCCTAAAAAGAACAAGTCTACACCAGCCGCCCGTTTAGCCTTTTTGAGGTCCCCCGACTGGAGAGGGGCCAACCTGAAGGGCCAGGCATTTCAAAACCACCCGCCGCAAAGGCAGACATCCAATGAACCCTACCCAAAAAAAACATGGAAATGGGCGTTCCTTCTTTTGGAGCTGGTACCCTGGTTTGAATGGCAAACCGAAGCCACTTGGGTCCCAAGACACACCCGAACGAATCGACCCTGTCATGCCCAAGAACATCACGAGCCGCGTCAGGGTGATGAACAAGAAGAGCCCCAGCCTTCCAAACTGCCAGACTGAACCGGGCAGGACTAAAGGTTTCGATGTGCCGGGAGAGGGACAGTGGTGTTTGACAGGTATGACGCAATCAGAAGTTGGGAGCAGAGAGTGTGGGGGCGGGGCCGGCATCGCAGAACCCTGCCCACAACAAAGCAAGGCTACGCCAATACATGCCTACGCGGAGCCTCCGCAAGTGTGCAAATCCGTGGAAGGGTGCCTACACGAGCCTACGTGGCAACAAGCGCCTACGCGGAGTGCCTAGGCAGACTTTCTCGGGCGCTACTCTCAAGTCAAACAACAAGTTTGTGTAAGCCACAACACACGCCTAAGGACTTTCTTGAACAACCAACGCGGGCTGCAGACGCGAAGCGCTTCCCCTGCGCGGTGTCTCCGCAACAGAAAAGGAGCTCCCCTCGAATACTAAGCGAATACATCCAACAAAGACTCTGCTCACAATAGACAACCAGTTAAACAACCGGATTAATCTAAGCAGACCACCCCGTTCAAAGAAAAACCGCAAAAAATAGTTACACAACTACACAAACCACCTTTTTGTAAAAGCACCCAACCACCTTTTTGTAAAAGCACCCAAGCAAAGCTTCTCAGGCCACATTTTGCAAAGGAAAATCTCAAAGACAAGTTGAGCGCAATGTCCCTCGCCGGTTTGTTGTTGTTTTCTTTCGTTGCAGCAAGGCGGCAGCTGCATGCACTCTGCGCAACCATTTGCGGCACCGTCCTTTTCTTTGCTCCTGGGGCCAAGGTCAACAGATTTAAGCCACTGTTTGAAGAACAGTATTTGGGTAAGGGACATCATTTACAAAATAAAAAAACAAACAGCAGGTGACATACTATGGTGGCTTGCCTGGCCAGCAGGCTAGGTGGCTGAAACAGTTCCCTCCAAAGAGCTGGGCTAATGATGTAAGCCATTGTTGAAACCGAGAAGTTCTGGCAGATTTGAAAGACCTCTTTGTTTCCCTACGGCCAGGGTCTGCTTTAGACAAATATGGGTGCGTCTCAAAATAGGGGATCGTGATGTTTTCCCCGAGTGTTCAAACGGATCCAAAAAGGGTACCGGGTACGCGCAAAAAAGCACGCACACACACACACACCAATAGTGCCCTTCTTTGCTCCTCCACGTTGGGGGGAGAAGGTCAACACCGCAGCGTCCCGCTACCTGCTCGGGGCGCACGCCGTGTGAACTCCGAAGAAAACGTGGGCTTTGTCTCCAAACAGGAGAACCTTTAAAACAGGGCCGGACCGTTCTCCATACTTTTGCATCTTCAAAAGGAAACTAGAAGGAAGCCACCTGGATTCGCCCTATTTTGAGACAGGGAAATCATTTAAAGAATCCGAGCCTGTTGCTGTCTGCTTTTTGCCCGGTGACAAGGAAACCCAACAGGGAAAATTGTTGAACAGGTACGGCAGTAGATCCTAGCTACCCCAAAAGCATAGTATACTATTGTGTTCTTATATAATCATATCTCGGTTGCTTTCTGCTCCCCTGCTAAAAGTGAATAACTTTTAGTGGTTTAACGGCAAACCCATTAGTTGGCAAAAAGTAAACGTCCTAGCATCCAAGCAAAATGCACCTCTGATATAGTACATCATACTATTATATTGTAGTATATCATACAAAGGCGCAACTCTCCTGTGAGCCGATTCACCTTCGCCATCTTCCTTCTTTTTAAACGGCGGTTGCCTTACCCAGTCAATAGTAGGTAACCAGAGAAGACATCAAACCCAAAGGTAAACATGCTGCAGTGGCTGGAAGCACTGGGTTGGTCACAGGAAAATTGAATCAGTTGGGCGGACAATTGAGTCACAATCAAAACCCGGTATTAAAATGGTAGACCCGGAACCGTGCAGGAAATACGAAGGCGGCCGCAACTATTTGTGGCTGGGATTGTCCCTTACTAAGCTTCATCTACCCGGGTTTTGATTGGGGCTCGATTGGCAGTTCACCTGGAATGGAATCACTCGGTAAGCGGATGATCATTGGCGCTTGTGGAGAAACCCGAGATCGCGCCTGCAGCAGGAGCACAAGAAACGGCCAGATTGGGCCAGTCGTCATGACCACATGGTTGATTGCATCTGAAGGGCCTTCAGGCTTCAGGGGCAATTGTCTGGAAGCGGTTGACTCTTGAATCTAGTGATGGCCATAAAGGTTTATACGGGCCTTAAGCTAATTGCCACCTACTCAAATTAAATGGCCAATAAGGGTTTTGGATGCTGCAGACAAAGTTCAGACTCCTAAGAAAGAGACCCGCAAAACGTGGTTGGTGGAGGTGTAAAATGGGACCCATGCATTTGCTGAAAAAACAACAACAAAACAATCGGGTAGTGATGGCTTCCCTTCAAACCCAACCAGCGGAGAATAAAACATATTAAGCAAAACGATCCGGTAGTGATGGAGTCCCGAACAAAAAATATATTAAGCAAATTCCCTTCAAACCCAACAACAGCGAAACAAAAGAAGAACATACATCTTAAGCAAATGGGGCGCGTATGTCTGACTTGGATTCGTGTGAGGTTTGACCCCAGGCGCCTTGGAGAAGACCCAGCTGCGGGACCTGAGCTCTGGCCTTGATGGGGCGCTCGCACGGCGAGGACCGGTCCTCGCCCTCGCACAGCACCCAAGTGGACGACAGCATCGTGGCCTGAGCCGAACTCTGAAAGCTGACCTCCCCCTCTTCCACTCATTTCTTTAGGTTTAAAACCAATATTCAACATGTAGTATTATTCCTATTATGATGACCTTTAAAATCTGGATCACTGTTATTGATAATAGTTTCATAAATTGTTTGAAGTATACCACCATGTTTTTCATTCCACCGTCCCACTGGATCCCAGCCGCTTCGCCACAGCCAGTGTCCTGCTTCCACCACAGAAATGGTTCCCGTGGTTACCCGCCATACAAGGAAACGTGTTTCTCAGACCAATGGGTATCCGGGACAAATAGGGCACCCTTTTGTCCTGGCTTGAATTAGGACCCCAGCAAACAATATATAACAAAAATGCCCGGTAGTGGAAAACAAAGCGAACCCCCAAAAAAGAAATTCAGTAAAAAGGGGGAACTAATTCTGGGGAAGTGATTTGGTATAGATATGCTTGTCGGTAGTTGCTTGATGTTCGAGGGAACCCAAGGAAACGCTCTCAAAGTCTAAAATTCGTTGGCTCTACCTTCGATGCTTGATACGTCAATGCATGAAACAAGCTGGGTGCGCAATCCTGGGACTGGAAAATCTTTAAAAAAAAACACACACACACACACGCCCTTTAGCGTGCTTTAGCGGGAACTGTCCATAGTGGCTATCGCACCCAAGCACATGCAAAGCACCTCCAGAAAGCCGAGCGGCGCACAGCACGGCCAAGAACAAAAGCTTAAATAGCCAGTGCCCCCGTCTGAACAACAAGTCGATATATCCATCTCGCAGGATCCCTGCAATTGACTTGCCCATGGCTCGCGGGCTTGCTTTCACGCGCGGTGTAAAAAGCCCGGGAGCTCCAAAAAGTTGAGCCGAAGCTTTGTGCAAAGAGCCGGAGGGGGGGATCATTTTTTGGCATGACACGCATCCCCAAACGGCTTGTGAGTGAATCCGTCCGCAAGTCCAACTGCGGATTGGATCAGTTCGGAGTCTTGCTGTTTGCCATCCTGGCAGTGCGTCGTCGGATTCAACCCCCTTGCCCTCCCGCCTTCCCAGTGTTTCCCTGTACCCCGGAAAAGCCATCTTGCGGCTTCTGGACGAAACCAGGGGACATGGGAGGAGCGGTGCGAGGGGTTGAACCTATGAATCTACGGGCAGCCCATGTCTCGGCTCGATTGCTTCCTTGAGGATGTGCCGGCAGTTGGTGGTTTGGATTGGTAGTTTGGAGGTTGGGAGCTGGTTTCCACTCTACAAGAACCAGGGGTGCAAATCCCCAAGCAATCAATCCAAACAACCAATCCAAACAACCAATCCAAACAACCAATCCAAACAACCAACTAGTTGTATGCCTTATTTGTTGCTCAATTTCACCAACCTGGACAAACGAACCCGACAAAAGGCAGGTCGCAACTCCTGAGCCAGCCAAAACCTGGTACGAAAGAGGTCCACGCACAACCATGTGGGTGGGGCATTGTTTGAGAGAACCATTTTCTTCTTCTTTGTTTTTGGTGGGGGGGGTAGTGTTAAAGGGAAACCAAGAACCAAGTCACTATTTGGGTGGGTCTCAATTCTAGACACTAGTATTCGCCATGGCGGCCACACCTATATTATATTTATGTTGATTCACCCCAGGCCACTTACCCGGGCTCTGACTGTGGCTGTTCTGATTTCCCTGGCATGGGTTTCGCACTGTGTGGAATCAGAAGGCGTGTCTTCCCGAATGGACATGGATACGTCCCACTAGGATGGCGCTATCTTGGGCTTAGCCGATAAATGAGTGCATGCCTTAGACGTAAGCGGTTGGCAGCGCCAAAAAGAAGAAAACACACAAACACCTGCATGGTGACACAAATGTCAGATTGTGGCGGGCATGGTTCTGTTGCTGCGGTTGAGCTGGACACGAAGTGAACGCCATCCCTTGCACTTGGTTGATCTTACCTCAGATCACTGGCCATGCAGTAGCCTCCAATCTCTTCAGGCATCCTTCTCAGAACCTGATTTGCCGCGAGAAAAAAACACAACAGCTGGCCTCTGAACAGAACCATATGGGTGAAGAGAATGGGGAATCAACCCTTTAAACATTGGAACATTGGTTCTGCCAGGGGCACGTGTCTGTTGGCCTGGCTCCCGAATTGAAACCAGAGCCACCCAGGGAATTTTCACGGTGGTTCAATTTGTGTGTTCTGGGAAGATGCGAGTCGGTGCCTGGTTGGGTGACCTCCTCAAAAAGTAATCCAAATTTGGAGCAACTCCCGCTCGGGCGGCAAAAAACAGGTTTGGGAAGTGACCCCTTCGGCCTTCCGGCGTCTGGATCTCGAAGGCATAGTTCGGTGACACCGTCCTTGACTCCAACGAGAAGCCAAAAGGAAGCCAACGAGAATTAGGTTTCCAGTTCCATCGGAGGCAAGCCCCAGATTTGCCTCTGAACGTTTCAATGGGAAACACTTTCTCAAATAGCAGGGTGCCCTAGATTTCCACTTAAGACATCCACCTACGAAGGAAAACTTACCTCATGGTCTCAAAAGCTGATGTTTAAAACCACCGAAAGGGGACAAATAGTGGGACCCTGAATATCGCTGGTGGACGAATAATGTGAAAAGGCAGCTTTAACCGGCACATGTGAGCCCTGGCAAAATTGCTGGTCGAGCCGGGGAAATTGGGTTGTCCTCATGGCTGTTTGTCTTTTGTTTTCATTGGATTGTGCTCTTCCTCCCCAAACCCATTGCAGACCCATCAATTCCCCAAACAAAATCTACACATGGGCGCGTCTTTTCTTTGAGGGTACCTATTGGGGTTTGTTTTAAAGGGTTCCAAAGCTTGGAACGTACCCAAGCTTGGGGGGACGTCCGCCCACGGTTTTTTTTGCGGATGTGGCCTCTCTGAAAGGTCGGCTTTTGTTTTCTGCTTGGAGACAACCCAGTGATTCATTTACCCCTCCCCCAACCCAAAGAAAAAACACCTCTCTGATCGGTTTAGTGGTTCCTTTACCCCCCCAGAAAAAGAAAAAAGGAAGAAAGAAGAAGAAACAAGTAAAGCCCCGTGGATTTCCATGGAGAACAACGAATCCGCAGCCTTTTGGTAGTCATTTTCAAAGTGACCCCCGGAAGGAAAACCAGGCAACCGGTTTGGTGATTTGAAGCCCTGCTTCTGGAGGGTTAATGGAAACCCAGCCCCTAGGCAACTCAAACCACTGAGGGTAACCTGAAAAAAGGAAACAAGGCATGGAGGTCTGAAGACAATCTTAGCTTACCTTGAAGCACTGGGAAAGGTCAAATTTTTAAACCCCGATGTCTTATCGATTTTTCAGGCCTTCGATGTCGTTTGACGCAGTGGAAATCTTGACGGTACCACTTTGGGTGCCGGGCAGAACGCGGTCGGCCACTCTGACGCCGCCACCCAAGAGGTTGATGCAGTCCTTCTTTCCGCCGAGCGCGAGTCATTCTACGTCCATCGCCCCCAAGCAACTGGAAAGTTGGGCCTAGGTCCCCCGATAGAGAGGTTAGAATAAGGGTACCAACTTTTCTCTGCAGTCTATTTTAGTAGGGAAACCCTCCCAACCAAAAAAGTTGGTAACGGGGCACAACTGGGTGGCCTAGGAGCGCATTGCCTGAGCGGATTGGCCGGAACAAGTCCATTATCCTTACTTGGTTGACATTGGAAGGGGAGCAACAAAAATCAATTTTAGCCGCCGTTAGGTGGGGATTTCCCATTAAACCACCATAAGCAAAAATGCAAAACGGTTCCCAACAACAAGTCCAAGCTTAGTTCTTTGCCTCTCAAAGTGGTCTTCCCAAAGCTCAAAGTTCAGGAACTCAGGGAGTAAGCGAAACTTTTCAACAGGGTAGGTCATGGGTCCCGTCATTTTGAAACATCCAAAGATGTCCCATAAAAAATGGCCGTATGGGCGTGTTGTCACAGCCATTGGCAGAAGGTGGTCTGTGAAGACCGCAAAGACAAAACAACCACAATGGGTGGTAAAACAAGAACCGCCACCGCCAATTTGAGGCTTCTCCCACCCTACCCCACCCCACAGGGCTTCAGCCCTTTGTTTTCCCTGAACAACACCACCCCCCAAAAAAATGTATCCTGCCGGAGAGTTGCACCACACCGTCTCACTCGCGTCTCCCTTGGGCCTCGCCGAAGTGCATGTCTTCGCCCTGTAGGTCTTTCGCGGCTACGTCGGGAAGACCAAAGAACCTACACGGCGCAATCTCGTTGAGGGGAATTCTTTGCTTCGGAAACTCAGCGGTCGAAAGAAACAGAAATTGAACACCTAGCACACATAGCCTTGGTTTCTGTTGACCCCTCTGCAAAAAGTTTCACTTTTGTGGGTTTAGTGGAAAACCCCTTGATTTCAACCAACAAGTTAAAGTCTAAAGATCCAACCCGATAGCAGTCAAGTAGCAGGGTGTTTCTTTGGGGCCGGAAATTCAAGGGTCAGCTTCCCCTGAAGCAAACCAACAACAACATCTAGAAGGCGGCGTTTGTTTGAAAGGCAGGGATCGGTTTGCAATGTGCAACGGCCACGGAGTTGCCAACAAACGAATCTTACCATCAGCCTAAAGTGCTTCAAAAGATCGCCTGGATGATCCTCCAGCTTGCCTGGTTGGTTGGTTGGTTGGTTGGTTGGTTGGTTGGTTGGTTGGTTGGTTGGTTGGTTGGTTGGTTGGTTGGTTGGTTGGTTGGCTGGCTGGCTGGCTGGCTGATTGGTTGTTTGGTTGGATGGTTGGATGGTTTGTTGGTTGCCTAGAAACACTCGAATGTTTAGTAATGTGAAAGCAACTGCTCCGCCATGGTCCTTCCAAGCCTCATTGGCTTGTGTCACTAGGGGCGAGAACCACCTATTCTGCATCCGAGATGCGTTTAACCCCCGTCTACAGGAGAGCATCGAAAGATGATGTATGGCGAAAATCCGCAGGTTGACTTTCCCGGAACAAACCCGTTTAAACGGCAGCACGATATGAGGTCTCGAGAGAGGGGCCCCCTCCATGATTGACATTCGCCCCATGCTCCTAAACTAGGAATATGTGTCAAAATCGGCAGGGCGCTCCCCCCAAGTGGTGGCTTTGATTGAATGCGTCCCCTTTACCCCAACGCGAACAGGAAACCTTCCCAAGACGCGTGGCTCTCCCAAAGACTCGTGAACCCCCCCCCCTCCGGCCCCCTAAAGGTCGGCATGTCTCACATCCACAAAGAACCGGGAAGGGTCGCGCCTGTCCATGGGATAGTGACTCATCCTGTACTTTCCTCAGTTGCTGAGGAACGACTTTCCCCGCAAGGGAGGCTGTCCTTTGACTCGAATCTGTTTGGGGGGGAAGATGCGAGAAGATGAGGAGGGCTTCAAGAGAGGGGCTAGAGGGTTGGGGGGTTGGGGGGTTAGGGGGGTTAGGGGGTTCGGGGGGTTAGGGTGGTTAGGAGGTTGGGGGGTGTGGAGGTTGGGAGGAAAACAGTTCTCAAATTGACAGATGGGTTCCAAGAACAACGAGCTTCCTTTTGTTTATTCCATGTCAATCAAGGAAGTGTCCCACCACAAATCTGCAAGGACTTCTGTTGCAAAGATCCTCAGAACATGGGGGGTCTCATCATGCAACGCGAGCAACTGCAGGCTATGTGCCTCTTATCGTCAGGAGTCAAATAGCTGCACCGGCCACCTTTTTGGCAAGTTGGTTAGTTCTGCTTTGCGATGTTGGGAGTTGGGTGTTTCTTGCGGGTAGGATTGGAGTGTTGTGAAGTAAGCTCAAAGGGACACCGACTTTTTCTTGTTTGTTTCTTTTTTCTTTCGGGACGGGTCCACGATTTTGCGAGAAGCCGACCTCCCGACCACCGCTTCACCGCCCCGCCCATCGCCCCGCCCATCGCCCCGCCGAGCTGCCCTGGTAGCCCAAGTTGTGGAGGACCATCATGCATCTCGCCTGCCCATGGCAAACCGCCTTCGGCGCCTTGGGGCCCTCCGGTCGCTAGCGATTTAGTCATAGGAAGCAGGCTAGAAGCAGGGCACTTAGCTTGGTTGACGTTGGAAGGGGAGCAAAGATTCTCAAAAAAAAAGAAGCAATTCAGTGGTTGGAGTTCAACCACAACAAGCCAAAATGTGATATCTGTCCCACAACGTTACCATATTAAGCGTATGAGAACGTCATAAACCGCTCGCACCTGTTAGTCCCCGTGTGTTATCTCAACCAGACTTTCCAAGCACTCCGCCTTCAGGAAGAGGCACCTAGATAGCCAAGTTGCTGCTTTTTTCAGTCACTGTTGCTGCTTTTTGGGGTACAGTGCATGGAAAACAGCAGCAACTGGCGATCCAGGCAGCTTGTAATGCGCAAGACCGCCCTACCAAAGGCTCGGCGTCAGATTGGTTTCTTATGAAAACGACAAAGACGTGGCTTCATGACACGTTTGTGCCCTCTCCCACCTATCCCAGCCTTCAGAAAGGTACGGTTGCGCTTGTACTTGTAAAGCAAGTACACCTAGCAGTCACAGGAAACTCCTCGGCCACACAAATTTGTCTGAAAGCGCCCGGCAGGCAGCATGCCCGTCTGCCAGTCATTTGCGATGAAGCAAACCTGGCGAGGCTTGCTTGAGCGAGTCTCAAAACCTCGAGGTGAAGGTATGAATGTATCAACTTCGATTCATAGCCCGCTTTGGTGGAAATTATACATGTCTAGGGGTTGATTCCTTTCCCATTATTTTCAACCATCGTTCTTTTCAAAAACCGGCTTTCCCCTGGTTCTTTTTTTATGGTCTCCTGAAAACAAGGATCCCAGGAATGAATGGGGAAGATACCCCTGGAACATGGGAAGTTTATGTCTATCAACCATGTTTAAGGAATGTATTCCTCCCGCATCACTCGTCCACAGGCAAGTTCTGTGAGTCAAATCGCCTCCTGGCCGTAAATTGAGCCGCCCAAATTCAAGACCTCAGTTCCGAGGCCCTTCACGCGCAGTCGGTTTTCAAAGCGGACTGTCTGCTTACTTCGGCCAAGTTCGTAGGTTGGAAGCCTACGACCCTGGGAATCTCTTTTGAGGGTACCCTCTTTGCCGGGTTTCACGGGAAACCAACAGGTAAGCCACAACTTGTGGGGGTCCCAAAAAGGACACAACACCTAAAACTACGAACCTGGCCGAACGCGAAAACCGCTGAGGAGTCGGCTAAAGGCGCTTCTGCTGCTGCAATGCACAGAAGAGAGAAGCGGAAGCAATTGTCCTCGAGAATGTGGCCCCCCAAAAATGAGCTAATAGACTACTCGAAATGCGAAAGCAACTCATGTGTGTCACAATCAAAACCTGGTACCAAAAAGGTTCACCCAAATCATCTAAGGAAATTAAAAGGCGGATATCCGCACACATTTCTGGCTGGCCATCTGCCCCCTTGCTCATCTTCATCCAGGCCCGAATCGGTTTTGAAAACGTGGCTCATATGCTAGGTCCTCCAGTAAAGAGGTTACAGTAAGGGTGCCAACTTTTCTTGGTAGTCTACTTTTAGTAGGGGAACCGAATCTCCCAACCAAAAAAGAAACGGTCAAAAAAGCAAACCTGGCTGGGGGACCTAGTATGGTATGACCAAACCAAACCGCTCGCACCGACGATCGCATGTCTGCAAGCTCGGTCCGGGTATTCTCCGCCCGTGGGCTCGCCGTAGAGGCCTTGAGGTCGATGGAAGCCTTGGGATTCAAGTGGATCTAAACCACAATAAGCCAAAATGTAAAAATTGCTTCCCAACAAATGTTCCATGGTTATTTGGGTCGGCCAAGGCAAGTGGTAAGCTTAGCCCACTTCCACTCACCAAAGAATGGTATCATGAGGGTTTCTTGACTCTTGGCTTTACATGGATGGGTCTGGTCACTTCCGAGCGTGTTGACTGGGTAGGTTACAACCTAAGGCACCTAGGCTACTCACTTTGGACGAAAACCCAAGGAACAGTCTCTGGGACTGCTTCAACGGGCAGCCAAAGAAATGCCACAAATGCAAACGTCGTGAAATTAACTGAAATTCATTTGGGGACCCCTTGTTGGACATGTGTCTGGAGATTTATGCCCACCAACCGAAGTTGAAGTGTTCCCCGTAATAAATGTACCCCAAAGCACGACTTTTCCCCCAGAAGAAAACACACACACGTACATTGTTTGTTTTTTGTTTGTTTACGCTGGGGGGCCTTGTCAATTGAGCAGGGTTGGGGCCCCTTCAACATGTTTACACCCTACAAAGCTGGATATTGCCAACCAAACCCTTGGGTAGGCTTTTGCTGGTCCAGTTGAGTCATAATCAAAACCAGGTATTAACATGGTCGACCCAGAACCGCCGCCCGCAGCTATTTATGGCTGGGTGACTGTGACTCAGTTGAAGATGTTTTACCCTCAAACTACCATACAAAGCTGGATATGGCCAACCAAATTGGTTGGCGATTTCCCTTGGGTGGGCTTTTGCTGGTCCAGTTGAAGATTTTTGCTTCCCAAGTTGAACTGGAGCGAACATCGGAGGCAAAACGAGTCACCTTGCGAGGGCCCGACAGCTGTGATCCACAAAGACGTAATCACAGCCACGGCCATTGCCAAAGTCCTGCGAAGGCGCTCACCATCGAGCCCTTGCGGAGCCCAAAAAACCGCGACGAGTGAATCAGTTGACGTTTACAGGGAAGCCAAACAATTACATTTTAGCAGTTAAGTGGCTGGATTTCAGCCACTAAACCACAATAAGCAAAAATGTACAATGCTTCCCAACAACAACCATGAGTGAAGGAGTCCGTGCTTTCACCGAAACCGAGTTTCGGGTCCTGTCGCTGATGGTAGTAGACCAGCTCGTGCTCTTGGCCCGCGAGCCACGCCTACGCATCCCATCATCTCACAGATTGATGCTTGGATGGCTTCTGTTCTTGGGTGTGGGTGGTGGGGGGGGGGAGGTTGAAAGGGGTTAAGGTATACTCACTTGCCCAGTCTTCACCTGGAAATAGCACACGATCTGCTTTCTGCCGGTGAGGTTACGGTATGCCTAGGTGCTTGAGGTAGCCCAAAGCTAGGGTGACTCCTTTGGCTAGTCTCCTAGAACAGAGCCACAGAACACGCCAGTTAATCCCAGCGCCGCTCAATCTTTACTTGCCAAAGGGCGCCTTGGTACTCGGTGATGGCTGTTGCGGTGTTAAGCCCCAAAGGGCAAAACCGTTAGGGCCCTAATGATGATGAACCCCAGTTTGGGGGTTCAACGATAGACTTCCTGCGTTCAAGGGTACGTGGAACAAATCGCTTGATCCGACTGCCTGCCAGGTTTCAATGGTGGGAGGTAGGGTGAAGGTGACCTGCCGGAGTGGTGTTCATCCTGGTTTCCCCTTACCGGGGGAGCTTCTCAAAAACATTAAAAACACGCACACGTGCTGGTTCAAAGTAACCAAAAGGGGTCCCTCCAACAAAAGTAAGTTGAGTGCTTCTCGACATGGTGGAAAAGCCCAACACCTTTTGGTTGCTATTCTTAACGGGAAACCAAAGGGGCACAAACCATGTTAGTCCTCAGATCCTTTTCCTTCCACAAGTTCGTAGAACTTGCGGGTATTCGGAAACCCAACCACACCACCTAAAAACCTGCAAAAGCCTAAGGAACCGGAGGATTCGCTGGTCAACCGCCAAGCCAAGCAAGAAAACGATTCATCTCTACTCTTGGTATGGTAGCGAAAAACTTTTTTTTTGCAGACCCCAGTAAAAATGAACAGAACCAAACAACTAAAAGAACAAAATACATGCCAAGAACAGTGAAGGATTCTTTTGAGAACCCCCCAGCTGGCATGGCTTACCACGGCCGCAAACGCGGCCTTGGTCGAGCCCACTCGCTTGCAGCCCTCGTAGTTGGCATAGCGCGGCGACACGGCCATCGTCCGGTGTCCTTCGCTGACGCGCAAAAACCATAGGTGTCCTTTTAGGGGAAATAGATGGCCCTGGTAGATGATTAAACCACCAGGTAAACCAGGGCCATCTATTTGTTCCACCAAAATAACCAAAAAGGACACCTATGGCAAAAACGACTGGCTGCAATTTTCGTAGGGAGCCAGTTGGAATGACCCCGATTTCAGTCATCCCGGCTCTGGGAAGGCTGAGAGCGAGGGAACGTTTGGCAGAAGAGTCTTGCTCCGTTTCGGAGGTACCGTTTCGGACTTTCAAACTACCCTTTGAAATGGGATCTTGCTTCAACAGCATGGGGTGTGTTTCTCAAATAAGGATAAGCAGGAGCGTGTGTTTACAGGAGCCGCAACACGGTGCTCCTCTTAAAGTCCCTTCAAACCAAGGCGAGAAACGGTCCTTGTCATACTCGAGCACCCTCAAAACAAAAGTGGCCACCCAATGCTTGGTTGACGTTGGAAGGGGAGCAAACTCTTTAAATTTTAGCAGTTAAGTGGGGATGTCCCAAACCACAATAAGAAAAATGTAAAATGCTTCGCAACAAGAACTATGAATGATGTCCAAGGGGTCTCACGACGCTTACTGACTTGCCGTAGCTCAAGTTGAGTGAAGGCCTGTAACCAAAGCGGCCATGTGGTGGGGTTTTTGGAGCAGGCCATGCTATACCTCCAACCGGGTCCTTGCGTGTCAAACTAACACGAGACAACTCCATTTGTGTCCCGGATTTAAACTTGCAAAACACATTCACCAACCTTAAGAAGGACGGTCTCCCACAAAAAATAGACCAACAACGACTAACAAAGGCAAACAAACAAAAACCTGGAACCCAAATAACGAAACGGGGGCGGCGGACAAACAAAAAGACCCGTCTCCCCCCCGTGATTCGAAGACGCCGGCTCTCGACGAGTTTTTCGGAGATCCGCCTCGAATCGCAAACTCGTACGCGTAACTGGAGGCCACCATCGCCAGGCCCCCTGAGCCGAATCGAGGCCCCATCGCGGTTAAGTGGGGATTTCCCACTAAAAGCAAACAGTTAAATTTTGGCAGTTAAGTGGTTGGATTTCAACCACTCAACCACAATTTCAGCAAACATGTAATAAAATGTGTACCAACACCAACCATGGCGAGGCAAAGGACCCACCGAAGCAAAACAAAGTTGGAAAAATGAATACCGGGGTCGTGAAGAGCTGCTGGCAGTGGCTTGTTTTTCCCCAACTTCTTGGCATTTTTATGGCTCTCAGAAAACGCAACGTTCATGGAGTTCCCTTCCGGATGAAGACATGGTATTGATTCAAGATTGTTTTTTTTGAATAGGCCCTTTTAAGATGACCAGGTTTTGATTCAAGTGACAGCGCAAAAGCCACTGGGTGGGGCCGATGGATGGAATTCGCGGCCAAAATTTAGGTCTTGGCGCAGCAAAAACCGGGCATACCAAGCACAGCCAAGGGAACCTTGAACAGCGAGGAAATTCGCTGAGCAACCGGTTACCCGAATGTTGCTCAAACTACCTTGACTTTCAAACTTCCCTTAAAGCTGCAATATTGCCAATGCCGCAAAACAAATGAGTGGTTTCCCTCTATTCAGGGTAGTCGCAGGGTGCAGGTACGTCCTTTTGACACGCCGCTTTAGAACATCGGGCTCCATACCCAGCCCGGCGAACTCCGCCAAGCGCGGTTTCCGCGGCCAAACCGCTTCCGACGGAAGCGAAGGGAAGCCATGGCCTGTCTTGGACCAGGGGTTGATCTCTGAGGAAACGATCACCACCGGGGTGTTGAGATGCCGGGCCTGAGAGCCCCGAATCCGCACTCGCCGATTCGGGCAAAGGGATGGCATCAGATTGGTGGGGGATTCAGGTAACCACCAGCCACTGTTTGAGGAAAGTCTTCAATAAAATTCAATGGGATGTAAATAGGCAACCCCCCAAAACGTTGGCTGTCCACTTGTTTTCCTTCGAAAACAACATTCAAAGAGTACCCTCAAAAAAGACACACCCCAAAAAACCTTTTTGCGACATGATGGCGGTAGTCTGGCAACTTACCCTCCCCACAAACACAGCACATGTGAGAGCTACCCAAAGACAAAGTGTTGTCTAAACGTGGGCGTGAACAACCAAAAACGCATCCACTGGGCTTGCTGAGTGTGCCAGGCCTTGACTAAGGAAGATCTACTTGGAGTCTCCTTCTGACGTTGGCAATACTCATGGAGAGTCCAACTAGGTAGTTGTGCCAACATAATAATTACAAACGAATCGCCGCCGAAAGGCCGCTATGGCGTTCACCATTTCGCAGCCGTTGTTGCTTTTCTCTCAAGGGAGCCCAGTGTGTTGAGCGAATTCAAGTGTGTTGCACCCTGGTGTTACCCTCCGAAATGGGTGTATATGTTGTAGGATGTGAAGAAGAAAACTGGGGTACAACCTTCTAGGCACGACATTGGAACCCACAATTGCCCTAAACATATATATTGCAAGTAAGGGAACCATGCAGGAAACCCCGGATATGCCGCCCGTGATCTACATGGCTTTCAAACATTTTGGTGTGGTCAGTTTACTTGGACATGTTTGCAGCATCCACAGTCGTATTGTCTATCGCGCATTTCAATTCTAAGAAGCTGGCTCCATAGCGTGCAGGACGATCCACTGCTCGCTCCTGATTCGTTTCATTCGCCAGCTGCCGCAGGACTTTACCAAACCCCAAACCTGTTTCGGCCACCCTTTAAAATGGAGCAACGTTATACTCACTTCCCGGGTGGATTGGCCAACAAAAAGTCTGAGCTTGTTGTTTTCCACCAAACTGGTCTTCCCAAAAAGTTTAAAGTCCAGGTACTCAGGAAGTGAGTATAAATAATAGATGCTGTGAAGGAAACCCCATAGGATTGTTGCCTGTCAGCATTCGCAAGTCGAGAACCAACAAACAGTCCAACCCCTCGTGGCACTTCTGCTCACCGTCATATTCCATGCTCATATTCTTATATGCGAAAACTAGAGACCCTCCTTATTGTTTGGTGCCTTCTCTATTTCTTGAAAAATTGGCCCGAGGGGTCCAACTAGTCTTGAGCACGGTTGTGGGAGATATCCCTTTCTGTGATTACAATGCCTACGCCCATGCCTTTTGTCGCCTTTGGTGAGCAATCTAACGCCAACCATGTTCAATGTAGACCTTCAAACATCGCACTAACCACATGAAAACACAACAATGGGTGGTTTTCCCTCTAAGTCGTTAAGGAAATCCACATCAAAGTTGGTACCAGTACTCTCAACAAAAAAACCACACAAACAGAATGGAGACACGTCCGATACTTTGTTGCCAACTTAAGGCATAATCATGCGGAACCACGTCAGCAATCCTTGTGTAACCAATGCCGCCACGAGCTTTGACGCAGGGAAAATCACCCTTTCCAATCCCACAGTGGTGAATTCCCGTCACTGTCTCACTTTTCAGCGGATTTGTGCTCTACAAAGAGTAGCCCTCAATTGCCCTGTTTCCGACACAAAAATCAAGCCACACCAAAGGCGGTTGGCCCGGACTAAACAAAACCACCCAAAGATTATTCTTTCCCACAAACAAATCAAGCCGTGCCCAAGGCTCTTGGCCCGCATGTGTGACGCGGTTTTTTGTCCGCGTCTTCTCGCCCTGTTGCCATGCATAGGTGTCCTTTTTGGAAAATAGATTGCCCTGGTAGATGATTGAACCACCAGGTAAACCAGGAATCGCCTTCTATTTTTTTGGCAAAACCACCAAAAAGGACACCTATGGCAACATTTTAGTGCACCACCCATTTTAGAACCTATTTTAGTGGTTGGATTGGATGATGTTCACTGGGGGCTAACCGATTTGGGCTTTGACCCATGGTGAACCAGGGCCTTCTACCTGGAGTCTCCATAACCCTTTAAAAATGGGGTCATTCCCCAAAATAAAAGGGTCATGACCCCATGTTTAAAGGGTCATGGCGACTCCAGGTATTTGTTTAAGCAAAACAACCCAAAAGGACACCTCTTTCGCCATGGTTTTTTGGGATAGGTGCACCACCTATTTTAGTCCATTTTAGTGGGGATTGGTTGATGTTCACTGGGGGCTAACCGATTCGGGTTTTGACCCATGGCCATTTGTTTCCTCTCCGCGCCTCCATCTCCTCTCGCAGCCTGAGGCGCTCCGTGTTGTCCACCAGCTGCTCGAACGCCGAGAGCGACTTGATCCGGTTCATGTCACCTTCGAACGCCGAGGCGTGGTGCCAGGCGGTCGGGCTGAGTATTGGCCACTTGGCCACGGGTCAAAATCCATCGGTTTGCCCCCAGTGAACATCAACCAATCCCCACAAAAATAGGTTCTAAAATGGGTGGTGCACCTACCAACCAAAATGACACTATTGGATTTGACCCGCAGCCACTTAAACCGAAGCAAGCGCGAGTCTGGAAGAGGGCAAAATCGGTGCCTCAATTGGACCTGCGCAAAATGTGCCAGGCTCGATCATAAGCCATTTGAAACTAAGCAATCGCGAGTCTGGAAAATGATTTGTACAACTTGGACTTGTTGGTTGACTAGCCAATATAGGCAAGGGATGCAAAACCTAGAGGGAAGAAACCTTGCTTGCCTTCTTTTGGTAACAGGTGGGTTGGAGTCAAGCCGGTACCCAATGTGAATTCCATACACATCCGCCAACATGGGTTTGACGCACAACTGTCCGACAGAACGGTGGCTTCTCAACGCGGGTTGTGCTCTTCGAGGTTTGTTGGCGGGAGGAAGCCTGCTGGCCCAAATGCAATGGTTGTTGTGAGGTCTGTGGGGCCAGAGTGTTTCTAGGTTGAAAGGTTTGGGGTAAATATGAAGCAAGTAAACCACATGGCGCAAACGGAGTTTGCCTGGTTCCCGATGCAAGCAAACCCTGCCATAAGCCGTTGTACACCGGTACACTCGCGTTTTTGTGTTTTGCTTTTTGGCTCGCTATTTGCAATATCTAGGCAATCAACCGTTGGGGTTGGGCACGGCTTCAGTGCGGCTCCCTAGATGCATGGGAGGATTCTCTCTAGAGAAAGCCAGAACGTACCTTGGGTGAGATTGAAAGGGAAACCAGACCTCAGCTTGCCCCAGACCTCCAGTGGCTATGGGAGAAAGAGGCCGCATGTTCTTCAAGGGACCCACCCACCTCCCCCCCCCCCAACACAGAAACATCAGCAGGGGTTGGGGCACATTAGGTTTAACCAAACAAACCATGACCACCCAGAACCCCCTCAGCACTAGAGCCCTGGATGCCCTTTGTCGTAGACTCTTCGGCGTCTTGGCGTGCCTGAAGGTGACGTCGAGTTGGCAATCTCCTCGGCTCGATGTGCCATCCGAGTATGGATTTTCATGGGCGGACCCTCTGCTGGACCTCATTTAGGTCAGTGTTCTGTCCAACAGCCAGTTTTGGGGTGGTTCCTCATTCAACCTCATAGCCTCTGACCCCTGAGAGAAACCCGGCGGATGAACACGACGCAGGACAAGCGGACAATTGGTGCCACCACAACTCGAGAGCAGGGCTTTACCTTCCAAAGGATCCCCTTGACGGCGACTCAATCAACCCATGGACTGTTGGTGCCATGGCCTCACCTTCAGGCCTGGAGACACCTATGACTAGCTGGGAATCGGTTTCGGGCGACTTGGGTGTGGCAAAATCCGGGGGGGGGGGCGGGTGGGCAGGGCAAAATGAGATCTCTCCCTTTGGCTTCTGTTTCCGTTTCGTGACAGCTCAGGGGGGGTGTCCCTTGAAACCAATGTCTCGTTTTTGAGGGAAAACCATCAAGGGTGTGTCAAAGGGAATGGCCATCAGGGTGGTGTCTCTTCAGGGTGTGTTTGGTGAAGCCAATGTTTGCCCCAATTTCCCTTCAGGGTGTGTTTGGTGTTTTTGAATGGCCACCAAGAGGATACCAACTCCAAAACAGCTGCTGGCAACTGAGACCTGTGCTGCGCGGGCAGACACGTCCGTTTCGCTGGGCGCTGACTCGGACGCCTCGGAATATCTCAGTCATGTGGGTGTGTTTTTGTGGCGTTGGTACCCCTTTTTTGGTGGAATTTCAACGGAAGCCAGAAGGAAAACCACCCCTTTTGGGGGTCCAAACCCGAAAAAGAGACGAGCCACCCGTGTGATGTCTCTTAAACTTGGGCAAAGAACGTCCTTAGAACTTGGCTCCGTGTTGTCTGAACCAAACCCCTGGCTCCGCCATAGTAGCTGGACGCGAACAAAACTACCCTGAAAGGGACAACTCCATGTTGTTGGGCTCCAATTCCCTACTTTGATGCATATTTGCCCTGACAAGCCGTGTTTCTGGGTTTGAGAACAAAAACAACACCTCCGAATGTCCGCTTCCCGCCTCCTTGATGTCTGTGGTATCCACAGATTCCCCGGACCTTCTCGACCTGAGAAGGTCTGACAGGTTGCGTTTGGTTCACAACTTGGATGCAAAAAACCGGTGTCAGGCAAGCTGGGTTTAGCCATGGTTACAACTGGTGTAGCTGGGGTTGGTCCTCTTATAACCATGGTCATAACTGTTCACCTACTTTCTTTAACCATGGATGGGTTAGTGCTCTCGCAAACATAACCTACTTCCCTTCCTTTGGTCGAACATCCAAGAAACACATACGGACGTGTCTCAGAATGAGCAACACAACCTTAAATGTTCAAGATGGCTTAACTAAACAGTTGGCTTCCCCTGTAAAACAACCAGCTCGAACATGTCGCTTTCCAGTGGCTTCCCTTCAAATAATCCCATATCAACTCAAACGAAATAATTAGGGCGCCGTGCCCTTCCCTATGAAACAACCCCCTCGCGCAGTAGCAACCTCAAGCAAACCGCAAGATTTCCCTTGGCTTCCCTCTAAAACAAGTAGTTGGATTTCAACCACTAAACCACAATAAGCAAAAATGTAAACTGTTTCCCAACAACAACCATGCGTTGGAAGCCAACACTCCTCTAGACGCCCGCCCTCTCAGGCTCCATGTTGGGAGGGCAAGACTCGCGTCGCCTCTTTGGCATCGAAGAAACTGAGGCGCCAACTCCTGCTCTGCGGGCATCTTCAAATAGCCCATCTCACCCTCAGCCCACTGAATACTTCCATTTGCGTTTTCGCCACCCAGAAAAATGAGAGAAAATATGTCCAGTAGTGAAATCGATTCCCTTCAAAACCCAAAAGGAAACATACAACACGTTCATTTCGGCAAATGGAAGGAAGAGGATCCACCCCCTCCCCGGTTTCCCCTGTATAACCCGCCCAACAAAGACAAGCCACCAGTTCTCTCAGGACTGAAGGCCCGAACTGTTAGACCTGGATTGAATCTTCCAAAAACTGGGGCATGCATTGTTTGAAGGATTCCGACCCGCAAAATGGTGGTTTTCCTTACGGTTTCCCTTGAAAACCTCAAAAAAAGGTACCAACTCCAAAAAAAGACGAGCCACCCATATGTCGCCCTTACACATGGCTAGGATTGTTGTACTCAGCCATGGACATCAATGGTTGATGCAACCATCTTCAGACTTTCCGTACGTTTGTAGCCATGTCCATTGACCCTACTGAAAGGAACCCTAAAGCCTCAAAGGGACTGTCCAGATGTTGAAAACACTCTCTCACTTGACCAAAGGACCTGAAAATAAAAGGTTAACCTTGTGGGGTCATGACTAAAACTACACCAAACCCGGCAAACCAAAAGGTCAAAATGTCGATTCGCTTTGGGCAAGTAAGCTCTTCAAACTGGCTGCTGAAAAGTGATTTGCAAAAAAACAAATCGCTCAACCCAAGCTTGTGGGACAGCACAAGATTGGAATCAGAATGAAGGCCATGTGCCGACCTGTCTGACTTTCCAAAAAGGCGGTTGAACCAATCGAAACTCACCTGCTTTTCCAACAGGTGAATGATTGAAGCATTACAATAAAAAACACATATCCTCCTTTTCACTAGGTGATGTTTCAAACCACCCCTGCTTGGGACTCGCAAGCTGCTTGTTCGACCTCTTTACTCTTTGGTAATCACGGCGCCAAAATACGACACGCTCGGAGCTCGGGCCCTCTTCAGCTCCTCTCCTGAGTCGGATTTTGTTCAGCGTACCGCAAAGGCGCAACGCGTTGGTCGGTGGGTTCCGGCCACAGCTACTTCTGCCTCGCGGACCGTCCCTTATTCATTGGCTCAAGCAGAGGTACTGGATGCAAATAGCAAGATATTCCAATCCTGTTCTATCTTCACCCGTTCTCTTCCCCCGCAGCCCAATGTGCAAGGGGTTCCCGCAGCTTATGCCGCCTCACGGGGGTCTGAAGTGCTTCCAAACGCTCATTGAACTTTAGGGCCCGTGGTTGCTGCGAAGGGTTCGACTATTGCTTCATCCATCTGCTCTCGCCTGCGCACAAACGGCGGCAAAGGCAACCGGAAGGATTCCCCAGGCTGTGGCTGTTTTGAGGCGAGGTACCCGTTCTGCGGTTGATTTACTTGCGGTTTTGTTTGGTCCCTTTGTTAAAGCGTGTGTTTCGACACAAAGGGGACCGGCAAAATGTGTGGTGCTGGTGTCCCTTGAAAGCCGGCCCTTTCTTGGGTACCAAGACCAACAAACACACACCCAGCCACCCACAGGACTGGATTTGCCGGACATGAGAGTCGGGGGCTGAGTCTCAGGCGGCTCTTTGCACCTGGGAGACAAGGGCCTGCCCTTCTTGATAATACCCAAAGAGAGATCGTTCGTTCCCCCTGCTCCAAACACCCGACTTTTTCTTTGGGGAGGGGGGGCTTCTTTTTTCGGCAAGTCGATCAGTTTAAACCAGCTAGGGTAACATTGCCCCAAACACACCCGTTCTTTCCCCCTTCAAGTTGGCCGCTTTTTTCGGCAAATCCATCAGTCATATTACCTCCCTTTTTAGTCAGGGGGTGACATTTTACCACCCCAACCAAGCAATGGTATTTGGAGCTTGCGCAGGGTGGATTCACTTGAGTTCCTTCTCCTTCTGCCGATCCCTCAGTCCGTTTCGTTTGCAACCGGAACTCCGGACAGGCGATGGATCGAGTGCGGCTGACTCAACACGGCAAAGAAGAGCACACATCCCGACCCAAGGTGGCAGGCGGCTCCCATACTATGAAGTGTATTGGCTGGAACACCCACTTCAAGAGTCGGCAGCATACTTGTCTACTGTTTGCATGGGGAAACTCCAAAATGGGCGTTGCTCTGGTACCCCCAAACCAAGCAATCCAAACAATACACAACACACAAGCAAAGCCAAACACAAACACAAAGACAAAACAAGCGCAGGTCGAGCGCACACACACACACGCACACAAACACAAACAAACAAACAAACAAACAAACAAACAAACAAACAAACACAACCCACACACACACACACGCACACACAAAGAGCGACCAGGCGCAGGCAGGCACAGCCACAAACACAAACACAGGCACACACACACACAGACACACACACACACACACAGACACACACACACACACAGACACACACACAGACACACACACACAGACACACACACAGACACACACACAGACACACACACAGACACACAGACACACAGACACACAGACACACAGACACACAGACACACAGACACACAGACACACAGACACACAGACACACAGACACAGACACACAGACACAGACACACAGACACACAGACACACAGACACACAGACACACAGACACACAGACACACAGACACACAGACACACAGACACACAGACACACAGACACACAGACACACAGACACACAGACACACAGACACACAGACACACAGACACACAGACACACAGACACACAGACACACAGACACACAGACACACAGACACACAGACACACAGACACACAGACACACAGACACACAGACACACAGACACACAGACACACAGACACACAGACACACAGACACACAGACACACAGACACACAGACACACAGACACACAGACACACAGACACACAGACACACAGACACACAGACACACAGACACACAGACACACAGACACACAGACACACAGACACACAGACACACAGACACACAGACACACAGACACACAGACACACAGACACACAGACACACAGACACACAGACACACAGACACACAGACACACAGACACACAGACACACACACACACACACACACACACAGACGTATGTTTGCGTTCCAAACGCAAATCCGCGCACAGTTGTCAGCATTGCCCACTTCTGAGATACCAATGGAAGGCCTTCCAAAATGACTAATTTCTCGATATCGGAGGAGGTTTGTTGTTGGCGATTGTTGGTGTTTGTGTTTTCTGCCAAGATGCAAAACACACACACACAAGCGCCAACGAAACACACACACACACACACACACACACACACTGAATTGATTGCTGTAAACACTCATGCTTGCTTTCCACATGGTGTGGCATGGGGAACCCAAAAAACTTGCTGGTGCTCAGGGAATGACCGTCCGGGTGTTGGGAATGAAATCTAGGGATTCCCGAATACAGGACACCGCCAGTTGGATGGATTTTTCGGGGTTTCATTCCATTTCTCTTTCCCTCCTGAGAACCAGCAAGAAAATGCTAGGTCCTCCGGTAGAGAGGATAGAATAAGTCGGTACCCTTTTTCAATAAGGGTACCCGATTCTTTTTCTGTAGTCTATTTGAGTAGGGTCCCGAACCCTCCCAACCAAAAAAGCCGGTGAGAAAGGGCACCAATTGCTGGGGGACCTATGGCTGGCTTTGTTGCGGATTCCCTTTACCAAGCAAAAGTTGCCCTGCAGCTGGTCGCTTCTGAGGTTGCGGCGGCCCGGCTCCAGCTTTGTTGCCCACAGGCCTGGCAGATCCATTGGCTTTTCCTTTTCTGTTTTCGCTTTAAACCAACCTGGAACAAACCTCGAGGTGTGAAGGGATTGTCTCAAAAGGCTGGACCCTTCCCCCCTTTCAAAAAAAAACAACAAAAAAAAATGGTTGGTGTCCCCTCTGGGCTTCCCTGCGGTTTCCCTTTGGCATCCCTTGAGCGCAACCCTTTGGGATGCCTTAAAAACACAGGATTTCCTGAATCTCGCGGAATGGGATTCCCAAAGTTGCCAAGTGGGTGGAGGACCACAAAAAATGTGCTTCGCAGGGCAGCCCCTAGGAAATCAAAAGGGGCTGAGTGGGTCAAGGAGTCATTCTCTCTTTCCGGACCTACAAGAAACAAATGCAGGCATTGAAGGCTTCGCTCATGTGAGTCGCCGTCAGCAATGTATGTCAATATGCAGGTGCTCAACTAAGATGAGGCCAATTCTCTGAGCAAACTACTCGAATTCACAAACTGACAAATTCGGCAATAAAAAGACCCGTCGTAAGGGGCGTTCATCATGGATGAGCTTGTTTGCCCGCAGGTGAGTTTTGAAATTCGCCCAGAACGGTGAGTGTGGCCCATGCTGCTCTCTTTACTCCAGACGGTGAACATAAACTGATCATGTCAACAAACAAAATCACGGGGGTTCCACAAAGAGTTTGGGGCCCCATGCCCTTCACTGCGTGGATCCAGCCACAGTGGGCCAGGGGAACCCGCGAACCGATTGCTGGGAAAGGCCTGGGTGCAACAGCTGGGAGTCCAAAAAGAAAAAGCCTTCCAGCCCCCCAATTGGCATTCTTTTTTGGGACACATGAAAACAAAAATGGGTGATTTGGGTGTGTGTCGAAACCCCAGGAAAAACAAAAAAAACAAGTTACTTTTCTATGTGCGTGTAGACTGCCATAAAAACTCTTGAACACAAGAGACACACCCACCAACGCAAGCGCAAAAGGGTACAGAAACAACACATATATCCGTTTGGGTCTGTGTCAAGAGAGCGCACCAACCAAAAAATATGCCCCTTTGGTTTCCCACTACCCTGCCCCCTGCTAACATAGCACGTCACAGGGGGGTCCTTGAAGAGGACCCTTCCACAAACACCCCCTTTTGACCCCAAAACACGACGAAACCATTGAGCGAAAACCCGAGCCGGAGCAGCTCTTCTCCTCTGGCGCCTGCACACCTGGAGGTGGATAGGTTTCCTCTGGGTTGCCCCTTTAAAAGAACAATTACAGGGGTCAATATTTTGACAGTTTCTGGGGGTTGTCAAAGCCAACAAATGGAGCTGTTTCCCTTTGTGGGGGTGGGCTGAAAGAACAACAACAACTCCTCCAGATTTGAGAGATTAGAATAAGTTGGTACCAACGTTTCTTTTCTTTTTTTTTTCTGTAGGCTATATTTTAGTAGGGGAACCCAACCCCCCCCAAAAAAAAAAAAAAGAAAAGTGAAAGGGCACTACTGGGGGACCTAGACAATTACACAAGAGGTAAGCTCCAAAAACAACACACCCATTTATGAAAACAACACACCAATGTATGAATATGGGTGTGAAATTTGATTAGGGACCCTATGGCATCATTGAGGTGGGGATTCATGTCCACTTGTGAGGTGGTTCCCTCAAAAAGAAAAAAACAACAAAAAAGCAATGCCACATTGTGGGAGTATCCCTGGTTCTAGGGGTTCACCACTTTTGGAGGGGAGCACCCCCTTGCTAATAGTCAGGGGTTTAGTAATCCGGGGCATCCAGGAAACCAACCTCTTGAGGGGCTTGCCCCGAAAAAAGGACCACACACACACATGTTGTGTTGCCATGGCAACACATCAAATTATGTGTGTTGGGATTCTAAGAGAGCTCAGTATGATGTAGACCATGCACAATGCACATGTGGATTCGTCCGGACAAAAAAACATGTTACTCGCAAGCCAGAAATATGGAAGACCACTAAGGGACCTTCACGGGTAAAAGAAATTGTCCTTGATTCATAGCCACCAAATTTGAACGAGGTTCCAATTCCAGCACTCCAAAACCTCAAATAAGGATCCCCCAAGTGAAGGGCCTACATCAAAGCGACATCTGACTAGGCCAACGTTCAGCCTCATTATCATTCCAGCAAAGGGCAGAAGAAATCTACGGGTGGTGTTCATTGAAACCGCCACTGTTGGAGCTTCCAAAAAGAAAAATGGCTCGGACACGCAGAAGAAAACCTCAGGTTTCACGGAAAAGCCTGCGGATGCTTGTTCCACTCCCGGTCTCTCCTTCCGGTCTCTCCTTCCGCGTTTTTGGGGTCACACCAATGCCATGCCGCCCTACGCCAGGTTGAGCTCCCCGGCCGCAATCCACCATTCCTTGTCGCCCTTTCCGCTCCGGCAGGTGGATGGTGATGAATTGCACCAGGTGGTCCTGAGTCAAAAAAACAAACCGGCATCAACATGGTCTACCCAAAACCACGTAAAGAAATATAACGGCGGCTTGCACCCATTTCTGGCCAGGATTGTGTCTTGCTAACCTTTACCTACTCGGATTTGGATTGTGGCTCTCCTGAGTCCATGTGCCAAGGTCTAGGTACTTGGGGCTCTCGCTTTTTGAGACTACCCAGTTTGTGGGGTTGCTTTGAAGGAAAACCAAAGAAGTTGCGCACCATTTTAGGGGGTGCCCCACGTTTAGCATGGGCAAGCCGATGCATTGCTAGGTCTCTTGTCCTTCAACAATTAGATGCATTGTGCTGGTAAATGAGCTACCAAAATTGGCTCCCATTTTGGAGGTGTGAGCACTTGCTGTCTTTCTCGAACCGAAAATAAGAGAACCCCACACAAAAGAACTTTGATGAGCTCTTCTTGCCCCCCCCCCCCACGAGAGGGTAGTTTGCGAGCTATCCCTGAGAGATGGACTGCATTGGCCGAAGGGTCGCCTGTCACCCACTAGCGATGTTCACCAACTCGCTGTCCAACGGAAGCTATTCCCAAAATGTGTTCAAGGCCCGCCTGATCATACTTCGGGCAATTTATATGAATGGTTGGTAACCGAGTAACCGAGCTATAAGCGAACCACCAGAGAAAGTGGATGGCACTATTCCCTTTCTGCACTCAAACTAACCAACAAAAGCACAAAAACAACTAGAAAACCCCAAAAAAACACACAGTTTGGGGGCTGAAACCAACGATTCTCCCGCAGAAATGGGTGTTTTAACTCCATCTGATCATGAGCAGGTAACACGTCGTCCACTTTTCACCTGCCAAAGACGTCCGTACGCGAATTTCGAGGTTCCTCCGAGGGCGGGGCCCATTTCCAAAGGACCTTCTCGCCGGCCTCAGCGACACCAAGAAAAAGCTTGCCTAGGTCCTCCAGTAGAGAGGTTAGAATAAGTTGGTACCAACTTTTGTCTGTCTATTTAACCATACCTTGTGGTTTTTCCTTTAAAGCGAATCCCCAGACGGTTCATTCCCAACACCCGGAAGGTCATTCGAATTCCCTACTGAGCACCAGCAAGAAATCCGGTATCTATAGTTTCTATGATGCGAGTCTCATAGTTGGCGGGCGTGTCTTTCCTTAACCTTTTTGGTTGCGTTTAAGGGGAAACCAGGAAAACAAGTGTTTTTCCCTTCAAAGACGTGGTTTTTCCTTGGCCACGCACTCTTCGAACGTCACTTTAGCCCATTAATGAATCACAGAGAGGAGGCTTGGCTCTCAGCAGGGAATGAGACATGGAATGACCGAGAAAGACCATGCCACCGGCGGTTGCCTTTATCCGGGAATCCCCAAAACCGGTTCATTCAACCAACCCCTCGGTCTCGTTGTCGCACCGATCGCAAGTTTTTCATGCCCTCCAAAATGGCAGAACGTGGCCGCCAAAAGATGGAATGCCCTCCCTTGCGCTCACACAGAATTTGTGAGGCAGGGCGGGGTAAGCATGCTCAAAAGGCATGTGTGCCATGGGGCACCAGTTCAACGTGAACGCAGCGAGGCAAAACAATGCATAAGGTTCAAGGATTGATTTGTTGAACAACCCCCTAAACGATGCATGGCCATTCCTAGAACCCCCTCCCCGCCCCAAGGGTGCCCTTGTTGCTTGGTTTCCGCTTCCCATTCGTTGGTTATTGGGTCGTTTGGAAGTTCGGGCTGGTGTCCCATTTAACAAACCAGTGGTTCACATCCCCAAACCACCAGTTGAAATCTCAAAGAGCCTCCGAATTGAAGACAAATCGAAGCTAGCCACTTTTGGGTCTTTCCCTGAACTGACCAAGTCCCTTCAAGTCCTTTCGAGCAAGCTCTGAACCAAAAGCAGCGAGCCACTGAAGTTCTGGGAGGTCAAATAAGATCTGACTTCTGACCGCACAGTCATAGCACAGTCATAACTTGGTTTGCAGGGTCTCCAGCGTTTAGATTCCAAACGGCGGAGGGCTGTGAGTCTGAAGGGCGGATGCGCCAACCGCTTTTCAGTTGCCTGGGCTGTTCCCCATCGATCCCCTACAAAAAGAAAGCCGGGCTGTTCATCTTCGATCATAAAAGTCGAACACTTTCGTGGTTTAGTGGAACAACCTGCTACAAAACCAACAAAAAAAAAAACAGAAAACAACAATCTGGATACCTACTACTCTCAAACCAACTAAAAAGCAAATAGCAAAAACAAGACAACCACAATCTGGACACCTACTACAAAACCAACTATAGAAAGCAAAACCAAAGGAGCAATCCTAAGGAACCGGATGGAAGAACCCCCCCGCCCAAGCGGCCCGGTTTGATGGATCCCCTCCGGCGCGGTTTGCGGAGCCCTCGCCTCCAGGAAGATGCCCTCGCCCTCCCGGACGATGAGTTCCTCCTCGCCCTTTTGCAGCCTGGGCGCCAAGAACATTGGGGGGGAGGGGGGGGGGGGGGTGGGGGGGGGGGTGGGAGTGCGCGTTGAGGGGTGGTCTTCTTGGCGGGGGTGGGGGTGAGGTGGGGGGGGGGGAGGGGGTGGGGGTGCGGGTTGAGGGGGAGGGGGGGGTGGTCTTCTTGGCGGCTGGAAATTCACCGTGGAACCCTTTAAAAACAAGGTGGGGGCACTTGTTGCAGAGGGATGTGTTTGTTTTTTCGCTGAAAAGGAAGCCAAAGGGGAACCAGCCAGTCTTGTGCTTCCCCGATTTTGAGACAAACCAAAACAGCCGAGCACCAACTTTCGGCCAGTGATTGATGTTTCTCAGCGCGGAGCCGAAACTCGCCGGTGACCACCACCAGGTACTCATCGCAATCCACCATCTGAATGGCCTGGCCATATGGCTTTGGCTCAAAATAGGGTAACCCCAAAATGGCTTGCCCTGGTAAATGGAATGGACCAAAACCTGCGGTTTGAGCGACACCCATATCTTGCCAACTGAAAGACATGCCCGACATTCCTGATCAAAAGTGGACAACAAGCAACCATGCATCTGTAATCTGTAACAAAACAAAAACTAAGCAAGGCGCACCAGGGCGGACTCGAGCCACCATCGTCCCACCATCGTCGTGACACCAAAGACGCCTTATCCTTTGTTAATTCCACTACAATCCTCGCAAAATCTGAATGTAGCTCGCCCAAGTCCACAGGCAATCCTGAGGTTGAATGGACAAAATCCTGCACCACCTTTGCAGCGCATCAAAGCAACATTGAATATGGGGAGCGGTCTACGTGCTTGTTTAACTTGTTGATGTAGGCGGCGCAGGATTTCTTCCACCCACAATACAACTCATAAATAAACGGTTTATTTGCAACGGGGCTGACTCCACGTGGGGGACAAACAACATAGGTCATAACCTAGATTGCTAATAACCTAGGCAAGTGACCAACCACCAACCACTTACATGCTAGCAAACTTACCACTTACCACTTGCCGACTTGGCCCACCAAGTAAGTTTGGGAACGCGAGGCACCCGCCTCGCCGCAATCTGTCCGCGATCTGGCAACGCGGAGCCCCCTGGCAGTTCGATTCAAGGAAGCCCTTGACTGCCCGGGTCCGATGGATGAAACTTGGGCCCCAAGAGGCTAGAATAAGGGTACCCCTTTTTTTCTGCAGTCTATTTTAGTAGGGGAACCCTCCCAACCAAAAAAGTTGGTCAAAGGGCACCTAGCTGGGGGACCTAGTCCTCCACCCCGCAGAAATCGGCAGCATGTCGGCCCGTGCAAATCCTGGGCCTAGAAGAGTCACCACCAACTGGCTCCGGTCGGCCCAAGAACTCAGCGAACGACAGCCTTGGTGGCGACTGGACCATTTCTACCCAGAGGCTCCTGGCTTCGGCTTTCCATGGAAGACCCGACCCCTGACAGCCCGGGATTGCTTGGCAAGGTCTCAAAACCTGGCTGAGGGCCCTAAATCCCCCATACATACCTCCAAGTTTGAGTTATTTCAGTCTGCCCGCAGGGTCGTGTGTTTGGGGCGTTGCGGTGTGGGAGGGGGGGTTCCGTGAAAGGGTGTGTGTGTGTGTGTGTGTCTCCCAGACCCTCAACACTGCAATTTCCCAAGACTCCATGGTTTTGTCATTAAGCGCCGCGCAAATGGCTGCATTTGAATTGCAAGTGCGCCTAAGGGTCCGATCTGGGCAACTTGGGCTGTTTTTTGAGCTGCTTCAGAACTTTTCGCCCGCAAATGTTCCTTCTGCTCGTTGTGGCTGGTCAGGAGATCTCACTCGACAGCTGACGCAGAACCATGTGGGTTAGGGACATTCGACAGTGCTGAGAGAATTGCCTGGCATTTGTACTCCCTTGCAAATTTGCTCCCCCCCCCCTTCTGACCCTGAAATCATGCAACAGGAAATTGCATTGCATCTATGTCACTCCCTCCCCAAATTGCAATTCTGGGGGGGTGGAGGGGGAGGAGCAGGGGGAGGGGGTTGGGGCCCCCAAAGAAAAATTCCTCCGGGAGGCTTTCAGGTTCCAAAGTCCAGGGTCCGGGCGAGGCATTTGACACCGCATCCGTGGCCTCAAAGACGCGGAGTCGCGAAGCAAGCTGCAGGTCGTCAAATTGGGTGTGATCCAACAGCTGGAAGCTTTTGCCCAACAGCTGGAAGCTTTTTCCCAACAGCTGGAAGCTTGATTTTTCCCCAGCTGGAAGCTTTAACATCTCAGGAGGTAGGGTTCCACGAGGGTTCCATGAGGGTTCCACGAGGTTCTGCGAGGGCTGTGGGGTGGTGCGAGCACTAAAAAGAGCACCGCATGCTGTTGGGGATATCACCTGAGCTTATTTTTTAACGAGGGACCAGTCGTGAGGGGTGCCCGGGTACCAAGCAAAGCAAGTGTCCGAGTACCAAGCAAGTGTGATGTTGTTTGTTTTGTTTCGATTTGTTTTATGAGGGACCCTTTGGTGGACATCAGGAGGATGGGGAATGGTGTCCTACCATCCTTGAAGGGGGTTTCCACGAAAACAAACCCATGCGAGTTCAGTGATCCTAGCCAAGCTTTGTACAAGGGCCTCTGAGGAAATCCAAAGTTTAAAACGGCCTGTTCTGGTGCCAGCCTCAATTGAATTACCCTCCCTCCCACCAACACGGCACCTGACAGGGGAGTCCCTTCAAAAGAAAACTTGTTTTGCAGGTACCTCCCCACAGGTACCATCTTAGTTGGAGAAAGGATATAGTTAAAGGAAATTGGAGCCTTTAAATGAAGACCTCCAGGTGAAACAGGCCCGAATGCAATTCTGGGCGTGGTTTCAAGTGTGTGGAGGCTCCGGAACTCGTCCGAGCATCAAGGCCACCCTAGCATGGCTATCTTATCATCACCTCTTTCAGCCTTTGGTGGGTTTCCTCAAACCATCTTGTATTCTCGCTAGGTCTGCGCGTCAAGGTGTGCGGCATCTTGTATTCTCGCTAGGTCTGCGCGTCAAGGTGTGCTCACTTCAGTGGATTGGCAAAAGCGCCTGTCCTGTTTACCCTTGCCTCCGTTGGCTTCGGCCAATGGAAACAAAACGCAACCACTTCTTGTGGCTGGTTTCCCTTGACCAACAGGCAGAGGTATGGGAGCCCAGCATGGGCTTCAGCATTCCCTCAAACTCCCCGAAAAAAACTGGTCTGGAGTTGGGACCAAAATGGAATGTGTAGCCAGAAAGTGTCGATCGAGGCTCATGAGCTCTTCTTCCGTTTGCTGAAGTCCCTTGGTTAAAAACATGAGAACATATTTCCAGTGAAATCGTTTCCCTTCAACACCAACAAGGGAAAATATGTTCATTTCAGCAAATGCCAGTCTTTACACCACATCCATGGGGGGAGTTCCATGATGGCCTTCAGCCATGGCCGAACAGGATTTAAACAGGACATGTCCCATGGCTTTTTGAGGCGAAGGGTAGCGTTTGCGCAGGGAAACAACCGGACCCCATCTTCAGAGTTTGATATCCATGCTTACACAACCCGAAAAGTATGAGTTGCATCCGTTTAGTCAAGGGCGAAAGCTGGGTTGCTGTTGACCCCTCTGCTTGCAGAACTTAACTTCTCGTGGGTTCAATGGAAAACCCTTGATTTTTCCAAAAGTTAAAGTCTAAAGATCCAATTCTAAATTCAATGGAACCCCCTTGATTTTTCCAAAAGTGAAAGTCTAAAGATCCAATTCTAAATTCAATGGAAAACCCTTGATCTCCCCCAAAAGTTAAAGTCTAAAGATCCAATCCAACAGCAATCAAGAACACGCTTTTAAGATAGTTCCGCAGCCCGTTGAGACTGGATCACCCCAGATTCACTCATGAAGCGGTGAAACCACGTGGTGAAGCAGAGTACGCCGTGCCTTTGGGGCCGAGGTAGACCTAAGGGAAAACAAGGGGGATACCCTCTGGTGGTTGAGTCTTATTGCTTGATTTGCAATGTGCAGGGCAACAGTGTTTACCATCTCTGGTGTACCTGGACCCTCAGAATTCCCTTGAAAATGAGTTCTTGCCGGTGAAGTCCCATTATTCCGTAAATGTTGAGGATCTGGGTGCACCTCAACCAAAACAAAAAGGCAAGCCTGTCCCGGCCGCGCCTTCCGACGCCGCTCCGACACCGTGCGCCGCTGTTCTTCCTGTGGGAAAAATCAGCGGGAAATGGGGAAGATGATGGAAACACAGGTGTCCCCTTTTTCGTAAATAGATGGCCCTGGTAGATTATTGAACCACCAGGCAAACCAGGGCCCTTTATTCTTGTGAGCCAAACCAACCAAAAAGGACTCTTATGAATGGAAAATGCTAGGCAATGAAGGGAACATCATGGAACACAAGGAAACAGAAGGGAAACTAAAGGATGCTGAGGGAGGACGCAGGGAACTCTTGGGAACATGGAGGACGTCCACGTCTAAAAGGGAAACCCCCGTTTGGAAACGGAAGGGAAGGTCCAACTGTTGACCTACTTTGGTAACTACAAGGGCAACCATGAAGCACAAAGAGAGGGGTGAGAGGGTGAGAGGGAAAAAGGGAGAGAGGGAGAGACGGGTGAGAGGGAGAGAGAGAGAGAGAGAGAGAGATGGAGAGAGGGAGAGAGGGAGAGAGAGAGAGAGGGGGAAGCCATCTACAAACTTAAGTTGGAAAATCTGTAATTTACTACAATGGCTTGCCTAGCCCTGAGGAAAGGTTATTGCAAGCCTCTTCGAGTTTGAGCAACTTGAAACGAAGGAAATCCCTTGGCAACCTTCATAGGGTGAGATGAATAAATCAACATCCGTTGACCATTTGCAACCACATGCTTGGGTTCGTCTCTATCCTCAAGACTGGCTTCCTTTTGGCTTCCGCTTCAGATCATTTCTACCAACCGTTGACAATGTTCTTCAGGTCCCTACCTCCAGTTCCCCAACCCCCCAACAACCAACCCCCCGCCCAACCTCCCAACCTGCTAACCCCACAAACCCCTAACCCATTTCTTGAAAGCCCTCCTCATCTTCTCTCCTCTCCTCCCCCCAAAAAAATCGGCAAAACGACGCCTCGTGGTCGACGCGTGTGACGAAGCTGGCCACTCGCAAACTCATGTCCTCCACCAGCGACCTGAGGTTGGGTGGACGTCGACCCATACACCCCCGGAGTTGGCCCGGGGAAAGAAAGCAAAACCTTTTTGGCACCTCACAGCACCTTTTTGGTCCCAGCTTTTCGGCTTCTTCAACATCCCAAATCCCAAGTGCGCACTAAATTTGGCATTCCAACCGTTTCGTGCCTCAGGCTCGCTTCATCCGGCTCGGTCAAGGAGACCTGCCAGGACGGCACTCTCCGTATGCAGGGAGATTTACACTCCAGACTAGGTCCTCCAGTAGAGAGGTTAGAATAAGGGTACCATTTTGTCTGTAGTCTATTTTAGTAGGGGAACCCAAAAATCCCCCCCCCCCAAAAAAAAAGGTGAGAAAGGGCACCTAGCTGGGGGACCTAGAAGAGGACGACAGTCTCCTTTGCATTCATGAGCACATCAGCGGGCCAATCGAGGTCACGTTGCCGTATTTTGTGTGGCCTGCGGTCAATTGTCTTCCTTTTGAGGGTCCACTTTCATGCAACCAGACTGAGGGAGCCTTTGAAAGGGATCATCTGGCTGGTTCCATGTTAGTGGACACGAGGGTACTCTGTCTTCACAGGGTCCCGGAATGCAAAGTTCTGGAAGACATGCAACTCATGGCAGCTCACATGGAACACTTGAAGCAGTTAGAGTTTTAAAAAAAAGCTAGCGCTAGTTTTAAGGTTGGGGCTAGAATTGGGATAACGGTGCAGTCTGGATTAGCGTTTTTCTATACTATTGCAACAGTACAAGAAAGAATTGGGGGTGTGTTCAAAATGTTGGACCCCGTTTCGAACTTCTTTACAGGAGGCACAAAACGGCACCAGGGTGCCAAACGGCATCAGCAAAGAAAGACCCCCCCCCAAAATAGGTTGTTTCCTTTTTAACTCTTCTGGTTTTCCTTTGAAACAGCCCCAACGGCACCAAACAAAAAAACAACAACTCCCCCCCCACCGGAAAAAAAAAGACAACGTGAAGCAGCCCCAACATCATGCTGAAAAGCGGTCGTCCGACGGTCCCTGCGGTCACCTTACTTCTGAACTCTTTCTCGGTCTTCACGATCTTGGCCTCGAGGCCGCTCGCCTGACATCGCGACAGAAACCGCGCTGAGGGGCCAAGTCGTCGTGTGGATGGACCAAATCTGCCTCGCACCCCTTGATATAGGTTATCAGCCGGCATACCTGGAGTCTGCATGACCCTTCAAACATGGGGTCATCCCTTTATTTTGGGGAATGCCCCCATTTTCAAAGGGTCGTGGAGACTCCAGGTACTCGGATTGCATCCATCCCAAGTGCTAGATTTTGTCAATCTAAAGGAGTCGCTCCAAAAGGACTCAATCCCCTTGCCTCGGCTTATTCTGTGTCCCCTTCCATAAGAACTTTGGCCGAAAACAATGGATTCGAAAACTAGGAAAGGGGATGTTCAAGTTCTTCATTATTGGAACGTGGAGATGGGGATTTATGTCAACCAACTCTTGCGGGGTTCCCTATCAAGGTTGACAGTTTGAGGGCAAAATGAGAGCACTTTCAAAGACAAATGATGCCATCCGTATGTTCGGCAATCCAAATTGCGGCTGCAGAGCTGTGGAGCGCTATACTCTATTTCCAACAGCCATAGAAGTGGACCCAACAGAATAGTCTCGGTTGCTTTCTGCTCCCCTGCTAAAAGTTTAACTTTTGGGTTTCATGGAAAAACCGTTGGTTGGCAAAAAGTTAAAGTCCTAACATCCAGGCAAAATGCACCAAAGTAGTGTGATCAACGCTTGCTTTTGGGGTACTGCAATCGCAATGTGCACTCAAACTACCCGCTTTCCGTAACCCCCCACTAGTCAAAGGGAAAAGTGACCTGGGCTGTAACCTACAAGGCGAACTCCACAGAAAATTGCAGTTTGTGACCTTGGATAGCGACCACTTCCAAATTTGGCCAACCACCCAAGTACCCTCTACAGCTGTTCTCTACAGCTGTTGTGTCCTCCGATATTTGCTTGGCGTGTCGGGAACACAATGACACACACACACACACACACACCCGTATCCCCTACAAGAGGGGGGGAAGTACTGCATGGCAATTTTGTGACGTTCACACTTTGTCGCTTCCCTGAAACCTGAGGCTTATGAGGTTTCGGGGTTCGACTCCCTGATCGGCCAGTTTGATGCCGAAGGCCATTTTGGGGCTTTGCTCCGCGAAACAACACGAACGACACAAAGCCACGTTTCGCCATGTTGGCGGCCTGAGAGGGCACTGTGCACTAAGAGTTGCTCAGTGGCACCTGTTTTCCGATTTCTGCTGGGACTCCCACTAAAAATGGTCGACCATTTTTGTAAAAGAGTGCAGCCCCTTCAAAAAGCCCTCCGCATCGTTGGAAAAAGCAAAGAGGGTACAGCAACAGCGGTCGCCAAAATACAAACATCCTGAACTGGCCAGCCTGCTCGTCAATCTGCGATGATGCCTTGCAGGCAGGCAAGTGGAAGATGGTCAGCCGGAATCTAGGCCCTGATTTGCAACTAGATGAGTGACTTGCCACCATCATGGCAACGTCACAAGGAACAGCGACCATCTTTGTGTCATGCCCTGCATAAACATCATCATGCTAACAACTCGTGCTGCCTAGAGACCGCGGCAGAAAGAGGAACCCTTCGTCAGTTTCCATGATTGACCCCTAGTTGCCAGGAAAACCCCAACCCCTCGGGCACTGTCAAAAGCAACACCCATTGGCTGCTGTTTCAACCCACGCAGCTGAGCACCTCGCACAAATTGCCCGAAACCGATAGGACATGGACTCAACACCAATATGGCCACCCAAAACGGATGTGGCAGTCTTGCCCATTGTTAAGCTATGAGTCTTGGCAGCGGGGAAAAGGATGGGACGGGAGGGTGCCTCCGAAATCTTCCAGGGCCCTCCAGGTTCCATGCGTGGGAAAGGCTCCGTCTTGGTCGGCTATGTTTCTTCACCCTTCCCGAAAGAAATGGACACCTTCACCGGGAGGCTCCCGGGAGGTCGGCAAAAAATCGGAATGGACATCACGATTTGGACGAGCCGGTTCTCCACAGCAACGGTGGATGCAGGTTGAGCCAGGCTCACGTTCCGCGGCTAACTTACAATGATCTTCATACATGAAAAGGCACTGGTTGCATCTGCAGACTCGGCCCCAGATTGCCCCAGCTCGCTCGCCCCGGGCCGATCGCCCCCGCTCGCCCCCGGGCCGATGGCCCCCGCCTGCTGGAAGCGGCCGTGCAAGCGCTCCCAAGCCGCGCGCGGCAGAGTCCGGAAGTCCCCCGAGCCGCGGAGCCGGGGTTTCTCCTCAGGTTATGGGAAGTCCTGAGCCGTTTCTCAGTTGGGCCTGGAACTAAAAGCCTAGATAGCCAAGTGGCTGCTTTTTTCAGTCACTGTTGCTGGTTTTTGGGGGAAAGTGCATGGAAAAAAGCGATCGCAACTGGCGATCCAGGAGGTTAGCCTTTTGGGGCCATGACTAAAACTAGACCAACATTGGAAAACCAAAAGGTCAAAAGGTCGATTCGCTTTGAACAACTGAGGTTTAGAACTGGCCGCTTGGTGCCGTCTGGGGAGGTGAACAGATTCGGTGAGAAACAACACTGGGTCCTCCAGATTTGAGAGGTTGGAATGAGGGTACCAACTTTTTTTCTGTAGTCTATTTTAGTAGGGGAACCCTCCCCCAAAGTGGTAAAAGGGAGCTACGGGGGACCTAGAATAGAAGGGCTCAACAATGCAATTCCCCCGTACAGGTCCAAACAGAAACTATACAGCTCTCTCTTTTTGAAGTAAGTCGTGCTCCGATGGTGTACCTTCAGGCGACCAGCTTCGTGTGTCTCTTTTTTGAGCGAAGCTCCTTGCTGGGAATTTCCTTTTTGGAGACACACCCCGGCGTCCTTGATGTGGGCACATGGCACACACCACCAAAAAAGACCGTAACGAGTACCCCCCCGTTTGACCCCAAAAAAACACTCAACAAAATAATTACCACCGATCCGAATCGGGCGGGCCCCTTGCAAGCTGCTCTCACACAGCTGCGGTGAGCGCACCTTTGATTCAAACTCCGAGGATCCTCGCAGAAGAGACCGCCACTTTGGGACACGGCGGGTTTCATTGAACCTCCCACCTTTGGACCGGGTTTTAGACGGGGGCGTCTGGAAGAAAATACAAACACGATGCAAATGTTACCCATCCGCTTTTTGCATGTTAACGAGCAATGCCGGCAAATACAATTGCCCTCTTTGGGATATTGTTGACTTCGGTTTTCGCTCCTCCGGAAGGCTGGGCGCTTTTGGAGCAGGCTCCTCCTGACAACGGGCCGGGTGGGGGAAGGGGTTGGGGGAGGGGAAGGGGGGGAGGGGGAAGTGGGGTTTGCCTTCTGAATCCTTCACTCCTCGAAAAATCCACTTGGACCTTCTCCAAGAGGGTTCGACGGTAGGAAGTCCGTTTGTTATTCAACCAAGTAGCGAGTCTGAAAGGCAAACCTTGGGCGGGAGGTGGGAGGGGGGAGGGAATATCGAGGCAGGGTGGAAGGGTGTTCATTTACGAAGCGTTCCCCTGCCCTCGCACTGGAGCTATAAGGTCCGTTGGCCTACCAGGGCCCTCCTGACAGGCTCCATGTGCGGGAGAGTTCATTTCCCAAGGACTTGGCTTGCTCATTCTACTTGCAAGGATGCCCGAGAAAGGAAGCCTTCATCTGTGATCTAGCGAAACAGAAGGAGGGCTCAACAACATTGCAACTCCCCCTGTCTGTAGATGCATCCCAGCAGAAACTACAAGTTATCTTAGCGTGGTCCCGTGTATGTTGGCATCCAAAGGCTACCATGGCGTGTTTCGTTTGTGAGGGAAGTTCTTTCTTGGGATTTCACTATTTGGAGACACACCCCGGCGTCTCCACGCGGGGCTGCGACGGCGGTACCGTACTGCCGCAAAAAAAAACAATACAATTAAGCAGGGTCGGGCCCAGCAAGCTGTTGCACTTGTAGGCCACCTCAGATTCCAACCCTTGCATCTTAACGTTCCTCTTCGATGCGAGGAAGGCATCATCTCTTTGCATGGCCTAAAAATGATTCCAATACTGGAGGGCAGAGACCAGTGGATGCTCCCTTCAAAAGTTGCAACATAATGGGCTCCAGTGAAACTCCCACTTTTGGACCGGGTTTTTGACGGGGGCGTCTGGAAGAAAATGACACAAATGTTAGCCATCCGTTTTGCATGTTAGAGCAATGCCGGCAAATACAATTGCCCTCTTTGGGATACTGTTGACTTCGGTTTTCGCTCCTCCGGAAGGCTGGGCGCTTTTGGAGCAGGCTCCTCCTGACAACGGGCCGGGTGGGGGGGAAACCTGAGTAGGGAACCTGAAGAAAACGTGGAAGGGGTTGGGGGAGGGGAAGGGGGGGGAGGGGGAAGTGGGGTTTGCCTTCTGAATCCTTCACTCCTCGCAAAATCCAGTTGGACCTTCTCCAAGAGGATTCGACGGTAGGAAGTCCGGTTGTTATTCAACCAAGTAGCGAGGGCAAACCTTGGGCGGGAGGTGGGAGGTGGGAAGGGGGGGAATGGAGGGTGGAAGGGTGTTCATTTACGAAGCGTGCCCCTGTCCCCGCACTGGAAGCTATAAGGTCCCATGGTTGGTCTTCCAGGGCACTCCTGACAGGCTCCATGCGTGGGAAAGTACATTGATTTCAACTTACCATTGGAAGGATGCCCAAACAAGGACACCTTCAGCTGGGATCTAGCGAAAAAGAAGGAGGGCTCAACTGGCTCTCTCGGGGGTCTCTCTTGTGTTGGACACAAAAAAAAAGTTGTGTTTCAATGGGATACCTTCAGGCTACCATGTGTGCGTGTCTCATTTGTTGAGGGAAGTTCCATCTCAGGATTCCGCTATTTAGAAACAAACCCCGGCGTTCTCCATGTGGGGACGCAGCACCGAGAAGACAGTAAAGAGTACCGTACCTGCGGCAAAAACGAATAATACCACTGATCAGGGTCGGCCCAGCAAGTTGTTCAAGCAACATGTTTCAGCCATCCCTTTGATTCAAACTCTTGCATCTCGACGTCCCTCTTCGACGTGAGGAAGGCATCATCTCTTTGCATGGCCGAAAAAGAATGCAATACTGAGGACGGGGACCACTGGATACTCCCTTCAAGAGTAGCAACATAATGGGCTCCAGTGAAACTGCCACTTTTGGACCGGGTCTTAGACCGGGTGTCTGGAACAAACGAAAAAGCAACTACACCCATCTTTTTTTTGCATGATAAAGCAATGTCGGACAATGCCCTGTTCAGGTGGACTTCGGTTTGGACTCCTCGGGCAGGCTGGGCGCTTTTGGAGCAGGCTCCTCCTGGCAATTTGTGGGTGGGGGGCAGGCAGACTCGGAAGGGAACCTGAAGAAATCGTGGAAGGGGAATGCATTGCCCGACTCGGTCTTGGGCTGTACCATTTCAACTTACCATTATGAGTCTGAGGATGCCCAAGAAAATAAGCCTTCATCTGTAATCTAGAGAAACAAAAAAACTACTCAACAACAATGCTCTCCTGGGGTCTCCTTTGTGTTGGACACATTAACATCAGTCGTGTTTCAATGTGCGCGTCTCATTTGTTGAGGGAAGTTCCGTCTGGGGATTCCGCTATTTAGAAACAAACCCCAGCGTTCTCGACTTGGGGACGCAGCGCCGAGAAGACAGTAAAGAGTACCGTACGTGTGGCAAAAACGAATAATACCTCTCTGATCAGGGTCGGCCCAACAAGTTGTTCAAGCAACATGTTTCAGCCATCCCTTTGATTCAAACTCTTGCATCTCGACGTCCCTCTTCGACGTGAAAAAGGCATCTCTTTGCATGGCCGAAAAAGAATGCAATACTGAGGACGGGGACCACTGAATGCTCCCTTCATGAAACTGCCACTTTTGGACCGGGTGTTAGACAGGGTGTCTGGAACAAACGAAACAGCAACTACACCCATCCTTGTTGCGTGTTACAGCAATGCCGGCAAACACCATGCCCGCGTTGGGATATTGTGGACTTCGGATTTTGCTCCTCCGGAAGGCTGGGCGCTTTTGGAGCAGACTCCTCCTGGCAATTTGTGGGTGGGGGGCAGGCAGACTCGGAAGGGAACCTGAAGAAATCGTGGAAGGTTGCCCGACTCGGTCTTGGGCTGTACCATTTCAACTTACCATTCTGAGTCTGAGGATGCCCAAGAAAATAAGCCTTCATCTGTAATCTAGAGAAACGAAAGGAGTACTCAACAACAATGCTCTCCTGGGGTCTCCTTTGTGTTGGAAACATTAAAATCAGTCGTGTTTCAATGTTCGCGTCTCATTTGTTGAGGGAAGTTCTGTCTAGGGATTCCGCTATTTAGAAACAAACCCCAGCGTTCTCAACTTGGGGACGCAGCGCCGAGAAGACGGAAACAAAGAATGACACTGCTCGGGGTCGGCCCAGCAAGTTGTTCAAGCAACATGTTTCAGCCACCTTTGATTCAAACTCTTGCATCTCGACGTCCCTCTTCGACGCGAGGAAGGAATAATCTCTTTGCATGGCCGAAAAAGAGCTCCCTTCACCAGTAGCAACATAATGGGCTCCAGTGAAACTGCCACTTTTGGACCGGGTTTAGACAGGGTGTCTGGAACAAACCAAAAAGCAACTGCACCCATTCTTGTTGCGTGTTAGAGCAATGCCGGCAAACGCAATGCCCTCGTTGGACTTCGGTTTTGGCTCCTCCGGAAGGCTGGGCGCTTTTGGAGCAGGCTCCTCCTGGCATTTTGTCGGTGGCGGAGGAAGACTCGGAAGGGAACCTGAAGAATCGTGGAAGGGGAATGCATTGCCCGACTCGGTCTTGGGCTGTACCATTTCAACTTACCATTATGAGTCTGAGGATGCCCAAGAAAATAAGCCTTCATCTGTAATCTAGAGAAACAAAAAAACTACTCAACAACAATGCTCTCCTGGGGTCTCCTTTGTGTTGGACACATTAACATCAGTCGTGTTTCAATGTGCGCGTCTCATTTGTTGAGGGAAGTTCCGTCTGGGGATTCCGCTATTTAGAAACAAACCCCAGCGTTCTCAACATGGGGACGCAGCGCCGAGAAGACGGAAACGAAGAATACCACTGCTCGGGGTCGGCCCAGGAAGTTGTTCAAGCAACATGTTTCAGCCACCTTTGATTCAAACTCTTGCATCTCGACGTCCCTCTTCGACGCGAGGAAGGAATAATCTCTTTGCATGGCCGAAAAAGAGCTCCCTTCACCAGTAGCAACATAATGGGCTCCAGTGAAACTGCCACTTTTGGACCGGGTTTAGACAGGGTGTCTGGAACAAACCAAAAAGCAACTACACCCATCCTTGTTGCATGTTAGAGCAATGTCGGCAAACGCAATGCCCTCGTTGGACTTCGGTTTTGGCTCCTCCGGAAGGCTGGGCGCTTTTGGAGCAGGCTCCTCCTGGCAATTTGTCGTTGCGGGGAGGAAGACTCAGCAGGGATGCTGAAGAACACGTGGAAGGGGTTGAGGGGGGGTCAAGGTGAGGGGGAGGTTTGTCCTCGAAGAAAATCCAGTTGGAGTGTCTCCAAGAGGGTTCGACACTAGGGAAGTCTGCTTGTTGTTCAAGCAAGTAGCGAATCTGAAGGACAAACCTTGGGTGGGAAGAAGGAAGTTGTGGGGTGGTGGGAGGGTGGGAGGGTGTACATGTAAATTGCCAGCCAATGTGGGTATGTTCCGCGACGGGAGCAATTTTCAGCTGGGTGTCAAAGGGAGACCAAAGGTTGAACATGCATGAAAAAATACATGAGCATTTCTGGAGTACAACATTCCACTTCGACAAGACGTCATCCCATGGCCGGCAAGTGCAGCTTTGGATCCAGTCAGAGTGCCATGTTCATCCCTGTCCTCAAAGAAATGAATCCCCCTACACCCTCAAAATACCATGGGAAACTGGAACCCACCCCAGGATGTTTGCGGCAGCCCATTTTTTGGGGGAGTTTGAGGGTCCAGGCCCCAAAAAAAGGGGGCCTTCCCCAACAAGTATAGTCCTCCGGTTGATGAATCCGAAAATATGGGAGCCCCAAGACGAGCTTCTGTTCCCTTGTGGTATCCCTTTCAAACACCTTCCGGTTGTCCCGTTATTTGGGGTGGAAAAGAAAGAGATGTGGGGCAACACAAAGTGAATTTGATTGTGTCGCTTTTTAAGGGTACCTTTGTTGCATGGGCTTCAAGGGAAGCCACATGGAAACCGAAACCCATGTTGGGAGCACGTTTTGAGACAACCCCATTTTCGTGCCAACACGAGCACACACACAAACACGTAGCCCACCAGCAAAAAGGGCGCTGGAAATGGCCGAAAAACATCCTCCGCCATGTCCAGGTGCTCATAGTCGAACATGTCGATTCGACCTGAAGGTTGCTACTTGGATCTTCGTTGCCAAGTCTAGTGGTTAGCCACCTGGGTTGTATCTCGCTAATGAATGGGTTAACCCCACTGAAGGAGGCTGACAAGTAGGTTAATTGTAACCTTGGTGTCCAACAACTTACTAACTTGGCCGAACACCTAAGTAGGTCGTGTTGGTGTTGTACTTTTCTCCCGGGTACCCTTTAGGGGTGAATTGAAAGGGAACCAAAGGACAGCTACCCGTTCTGGCACCCGGTGCCCTTTTCTATCGAAGGCGCTGGGACATGAAGGCTGACTTGCGTCCTTTTGGCACAAAAGGATCTGGGGACATGTGAGACATGAACCAGTTGAGTCAGGTCGGGATCCATGTCATGGGCGACAATGATTGCTGGGTCCGGAAAAAAACAAGGGGGAAACAAAAACAGACGGTCCCCCTCCAAAGGGCTGAGGGACTGTCAATATTGCAAGCTAATAGGCAAACAAGCGAGCAACATACTCAACTAAGCCAACATACCGGATACCCTCCCTCCAGCAATCACGAAAGATGACCATTGGAGGGTTTTGAAAGACTACGTTCGTTTTCCGGGAAGCGCCCTATCTTCCATGATCCTTGGGAGGGGAAGTAAGAAGCGAACACATCATACACTTCACCAAGATTTGCGGAGAGCTGTTCAGCTCGGCCTCTGGGCCTCCCAGCACGTTGAGGCGACAGGCGCGACAGGCGTGCTTGCTTGGCTTCGGAAGACAGCTTGCGATAGGAGTTGCGTTGGCATTGGAAGGTCGACTTTTATTTTAATTTAAATTTATGTTTTTTAAACTTTTCCTTTTCGCCGCCGGGGAAGCATGACAAAGGCTGAGGTGAAACTCTCTGCCCGACGTCCAGGCAAACAACTTCTAGGGTGTAGCTCTAAAAGCTGAGCCAGAAACGTCAGGCAAGGCGAGGCCATGCGGTGAAACTCATGCGCGTTCCATCGGCAACTGGCTTTATCATAACCTCTGCCCTCCCTCAACCCCTCATGTCCTACCCAATGAAGAGTATATACAGTATATATAGACTAGCAGTTGTATATCTCAGTTGCCCAAAGGACCTGGAACTAAAAGGTTAACCTTTTGGGGCCATGACTAAACATAGACCAAAATGGGAAAACCAAAGGGTCAAAGGTCGGCTTTGAACAACTGAGATATGGGTGTGTCTGTTTTCTAGCGGGGGCCCATGAAAGCCGTGTATTGTTAGGAAAATTCTAAGAAATACGATATCCCGGTCGCCTCCGCAACCGGGTCTAAAACAAAACACGCACGCCGTGACTTTACGATGAATTCTATCCAGGGTTCTCTTAGGGCTCAACAGGGATTCGGATACTTTATACACCTGAACCTTGAAACTTGTAAATGGTGTTGTTTCCAACTTTCTTCTGATGTTGAAAACGCACCATGTTTCAAATGGTTGCACAATTCACCACCCATTTTAGAACCTATTCTAGTGGGGATTGGTTGATGTTCACTGGGGTTACGATTTGGGTTTTGGCCCATGGCCATATGGGTGTGTCTGTTTTCTAGGCCCCATGAAAGCCGTGTATTGTTAGGAAAACCCCAAGAAACACGATATCCCGGTCGCCGGGCCCCTCCACCGGGTCTAAAACAAAACCACGCACGCCGTGACTAAACGATGAACTCTATCCAGGCTTCTCTTAGGGCTCAACAGGCATCCGGATGCATTATACACCTGAACATTGCAACTTGTAGATGGTGAAACAAAACATGTTTCAAATGGCAAGGCAAAATGTTTCGATCTTTTAAGCAGCCCTGGACTCAAACGTAGAGCTTCCAATAAAGCCCTGCGGCTTTGCTCCCCCCTTTCCGGCACGCAAAGGGAAACCAACAAGGGCGACAGGCCCCGTGTTTGGGCAGGTAGGCCTTCCAAACATCCGTTCCACACGAAGAAAAAAACCGAAACTTGAGTATATGCGAATCCAACTATTCGAATCCAACTCCCTTCCGGATTTGTGTCCCTTTCTGATTTCTTGAGGGCAGCCTTTTGGCTTTTGGGTGAAACCAACGGGAGGTTTCTCCCTTCCCTCTGCCCGAAACGCCCGTGAGGGACCCCGGCAGTTCGCACCTCTTGGCGCGCCGCAAAACCGCCAGCACCACTGGCGCCCAGGCGACAAGTCCCCGGTACCGGGCGCCGGGTGGCTGGGGGGTTCCCCCCCAGCACACGCGGGCCTGCGCGCCTGGGGTACCCGTGCTGCTCCCTGTGCTCCCTGTGCTCTGGTCCCGCAGTGGGATTGTCCCTATGATTTTGCCACTAAAACGCCATAAAACGCCCCTACGGATCAACAGTTAACAACCCCCCACCGCCAACAAAAAATAAGAAAGAATGAGAACCAAACAAACAGAGCGAACCCCCCCAAAAAAGGAAAGGGACCCCCTTTTTTGTCTGGGGTAGCCAGTTAATTTGCGGGGGAGCGACAAACGATACCCGGGCTTCACAGATACTTGGATATTGCTGGTCGGACTTTGGCGAATCCCCAGAGATGACTTGACCGCATATGGGTAGCATTTCGTTGGTTTTGTCTTCCCAAAGACTAACCGCATGGGTTGATCTATGGAGGCACGATTTCCGCGTGGGACTTCAGCTTTGGGCATGATCCATTCGGGAATTCGCATGTTGATCCCGGATGAATGACACCTGGCAGATTAATATTGTTCCCCTATCACGCCAAGGAGTTTGCCAATCAGCCATTCGATGCCATTCGGTCCCTTTGGTGACAGCATTCACATGAGGAGTCATGTCCACCCAAAACTTCGCATGTGAGCTGCACAGACAACCGGGTTCCCAGAAAAGGCCAGGGTCCAGCTTGCACTTTTGCCAGTTGTTTGACCATTGAACCGTGAAACTCAAACCCGTCGAAAAACAGTCTGCCCGCCACCCATGAAACAGAGTGACACGGCGGGTGGCGGGTGGTTGCAGAACCTATCTTCTACTATGGGGACTGTCCCTTGCTGATGAGGTGGGAACTTCGAAGAAAGCACTCCACAAGCCCCTACTAAACTTCGTCTGGGTATATGTATATATATATATATATATATGTTAATATATATATATATGTTAATATATACATATATATATATACAAATTTCAAATATATATAATATCAATACAGGATTCCCTGCCCCTCAAGTTTGAAGGCCTTCCCTTTCATTTCTGTCCCTTTGAATCCGCTCCAAGAAGGACACCGAGTAGCAAAGGCCCCGACCCATGCCTCTGCCCGGCCTGTCACCAAGCCAGGCAGCGAGACATGCCCTGTGTGCACCGGCACCGGCAGCATCGAAAAGCCAAATGCCCAAGCTGCCAGCTGTAGGGGTCCACAGACCCTGAAACTCATGGCTCCAATTTGGATGTTGCCCATCTTCTGGCAAAAGATGTGTATCATACCTCCTGGTCCCTGAGATGCTATAAGTAGCCGGACATGCAGCTTGCATGTCTGAAGGACTTGCCTTTGGATATCATGTCCATTGTGCCCCGCAATCATTGAGGATGTTCCAATCATTGAAGTTGGATCGGGGCGGCCGCTGGAGCCAGCGCGGCAAAGAGGCAGCTCACTTGTACGAAAGTCGTACCACAGAAAATCAAGAGCCTACAATTCGCATGTCCAAAAACTCGGAATCGGCTGCGCACCCCTCCAAAAAAATGGCTCGGGTGGCTCCATTTAAATGTACATCTGCCTCCACGGTTTTGTGCGCACATCTGCCACGGGCGACCGGCAACAAAACGGCTTGGCGCTCACACGGCTGTCTTTTTCGAGGAAGTCAACTCGCTTGCTGCTCTTTGAGTTGGGCCTCAGAGGGAAGAGGCCGTCTTGTGTTGGCGGGAAGACAAGGCATGGGGGGGAGCGAGTGCAAACGAGTTTGCCCGGCGGTGGCTGAACGGGAAAAAAAACGCCAGCAGTTTCTTTCCGATTTCCTGGTTTTTCTGTGCGGGAGCTTAAAGGACAACATCCATGACGAAGCTGATTTTGCGTGTTGGCTTCTAAGGAACACCAAACAAAAACAAAACAAATCACTCATTCGAACGGCGAATGGGTCTTTGGTGGCCTGTAGGGGAGCACTCCAAGCAGCTTGGGAAAAAGGGCCCCCTAAAGATAGCCAAGTTGCTGCTCTTGTTCCGTCACTGCTGCTGGTTTTCGGTGTAAAGCGCATGGAACAAAAACAGCAGCTGGCGATCCAGGCCCACCCTCAGGCGGGGTTCGGGGGTGTGTCTGGCCGACTGGCGACTGGCGACGGGCGATCGATTTCAGGCCAGTGCCAAGAGTCGCATGATCTGCTGCGTGGCATCATCCCTCACGTCCTGTCGCGAGATGGCTCCCAGCCCTGAGGATAGGAAATTAGACCCCTGTTGCTTGTTGAGTAAACTTAAACATGGTAAATATAGGGTACCCATTTTTAGGTGGTTTTTGAGAGAGTTGTTTTTAGACGGCCCCTTTCTTAAAAGTACGCATGGTAGCGTTTCATTTGGGGGTGGCTGGTCTTTTGGTTTGAGGCTACCCTTTTCTTATAGGTACGTCCTCTTGTAGTGGCGTGCGAGATGTGGAGAATTATGTCTCCTCGGTAACCACTCTCCAAGTTAGAATCCCCACCATCGCCGTTTTATTATTATTTTATTATTTCCCCCCCCTCCCCCCCGTTTTGTTTGCGCGGCTTTCACCTAGAAAGGTTGGACCATGTCGGCCTTGGGCCTGACAAGCTGCGTCTTGGGTTTGAAGTTTGAAGTTTTGGGGGAATTTCGATAACTGGGGAAACCACCTCGCCGAATCGCAGAAAACAAAGAAGAAAACAAAATATACATCCCACGGGCAAAAGCGCATGGCTATTCCGTGTGTCTGACAATGTGGGGGTGTCTTGTTGCAGGGCTAGCCTTGGGTTGGTTTGAGAGAGAAACCAAACGGACCACCCGCATGTGCCTTTTTCGGTTCGTGTCTGTCTCCTGAGAACAAGAGACGCACCCGGTCATGGCAACTTGCAGGCCCATTTCGTAAGTCCAGACATGAGCGCCCTTTGGACTTTCCTCTTTGTGCCACCCCGCACATCTCTGGAAAAACCACAAAACACAGAAGGGGTTCTAGCCGGTGAGTTCGAACAAACCTGAAAAAAATGGGCGGCTCGGAAAATGGGCCTTCTTTGTTGGTACATCTTTTTTGAGGGGTCACTGGATTTCCCCTTCACAAATTGCAATTGACTGGTGGTTTCCATGGAAATTGGAATTTTTGAAGGCTGAAATGGAGCGATCGGGCTTGGTTTGAAGAGAAGTCCAAAGGAAGTCCTCTATTCTTGAGACGCCAAAATACACCCCAACCCGACCCGACTCAATCCCAATCGAGTCGGAATCGTCCTCATGAGGCCTCGGACATGACCCGCAAGTGACAACTTCTTGCCGGTGGAAACCGAAACTGGTTGCAAGCAAATGGATGGCTCGTCTTGTTTAAAGGGCACCCACCATTTTTTGGGTGGTTCTCCTTTTGGTTTCCCTGTAAAACCACCAAAATTGGGTAGCCTCCAAAAGAAGCCACCCAAATCCGGAGGGCAAAAGTCTTTCGAAGGCAAGCGATCCGTCTGGCAAGGTGAAGCGCTCAATGCCAAAGACGCAAATCAAGGGCTTGTCTTAGGGAGGTTGCTTGGGGTGAAAGGAGGCTTTGTACTTGGCTACACATTTTAATGGTTGGAACCCCCCTTCCCCGAAAAGTGGTTCGTTCTCATAAATCCCCATCGAACTTTGATGTCCACCTGTTCGGGTCCCTAATCGGAATTCATAGCCAAAATCGGCGGTATAGACTGCCCTTGCCTTGCAGAAGTGGTCTACCTCCACACCTCCCAACAACCCACCAACAACCCACCTAGTTGGGACGATCCCCTAAGCTTGACCATGTGTTGGTTGCATCTGTGAGGCCCGTGGGCACTGAATGGGATCATCCATCCCATGTTGGTTCCCTTTGGGGGAGGGGAGGCCATCAAGACCTATAGGGAAGGGGAGGAACCCCTCCAAAATGGGTATGAATTTTAATGAGGGAATTCTTGGTGGACATCAAAGTTCGGTGGGGATTTATGTTCACCAGCCACTTTTCAAGGGGTTCCAACCATTAAAGTTCATACTCATATGTGCTATGGTCAAAACTCCGATCTGTGGTTGCCATGGTCATGTCTCCTTGACTAATCTTCACGTTGCTGGCCATGCTCCCGGTTAAACTACTCACCCCAAGGATGGTTTGCCCGCGGCAGATATGCTGTGGAGTTGCCGGCAACCTTGATCTACCCATGCTGTGATGGCATCTCTGAGAGCCAGACTGCTGCGAGGTCTCTGGCCCTACCTGGGATCACAAACATCTCTCTGAATTGTACTCCTGTAAGCTCCAACGCCTGTTTCAAGGGTATGGTAGGTATAACGTCAAGAATCTACCCTGTGGAAGCGGGTAGTTGGGGTAGGGCATTGTATTCTGCTTTAGTGCGAGCCTCACAAAATAGCAAGCTCGTCAAATCCCGTTAGCTCTTCACCCATGGAGGTTTTGCATCGTCGGGCCCCCAAATGGGTGTGCCGCTTCGTGTCCACCCTCAGGGTTGTTTATAGTTCTCCTCTAAACTCATGTCAACATGACTAGGTCCTCCAGTAGAGAAGTTGGAAAAAGGGTACCAACTTTTTTCTGTAGTCTATTTTAGTAGGGGAACCCTCCCCAAAAAAAGAAACGGTAAACGGCACCTAGCTGGGGGACCTAAATGATGCAGGCGATGTTCACTCCATGGCATCCTCCACATCACCCTGCAGAGATCCCGGTGTCAAGGGAAACCAAACCACTTGAATGGACCCAAACAGATGAGTCAGATGATGCTTCAGTCGTGGTTAATCTTAAGACCTGATCTCGCCCACACAGGCCGCAAATCCAGGAATTTGCAAAAAACACAAACAAACTCAAAAAAAACAAACGAAAAACTCAATCTGAAATAGTCTGAATCTGGGAAGACTCAAAAGAAACTCAAAAAAAACTCAAGCAACAACTCAAGCAGGGGTCTGGGGAGGGTTCTGCGGGTGGGGGAGGGGCAAAATGCAAAGACAACCGCAGAAAACACAAAAAACAACTCAAAAAACAACTCAAAAAAACAACGCAAACAAAAACTCAAAAAAATACTCAAAAATACTCAAAACAGACTCAAAAAGAACTCAAAAGCCTCAAATATCCTGCTGTGTTTTTGTTGCGTTTTGTTTGAGTCTCCTGCTGTGTTTTTCTTGTTTTTTTTTGAGTCTCTTGCTGTGTATTTTTGTGTTGTTTTTGAGTCTGTGTTTTCAGTTGAGTTTGTTGGCTGAGTTTTTTCTGAGTTTTTTGTGTTCCGCTAAAACCTCTCCTGTCTGAGCCCGTCTGGTCATAAGGTTAATCAATCTCAAGACCCCAGGCTACTTCCTAATGTATTGGCTGGCAACCCTGGTTCTGCCCAACCCAAAGAAATGGTCTAGGTCCTCCAGTAGAGAGGTTAGAATAAGGGTACCATCTCTTTTCTGTCTATTTTGGTAGGGGAACCCTCCCCAAGAAAAGAAGCGGTAAAGTTGGCACCTAGCCGGGAAAGAAACGGTAAAAGGGAGCCCGGAAAAAAAGAGAGAGAAAAACGGTCAAAGGGCACCACTGGCTGGGGGAAATTTACTGGTAAGTTCCCTCCGTGATTCGCCCAGGGTTTCCAGCCGCCTGACGTCGCCTCTGAAGAAAGCGCCGTCTCTCAGTTCCCGGCGCGCGCTGGAGCCGGCTCCGGCGGCTTGGCGCCGGCCTTTCCCCGAGAGACGTTTGAGCGGTGGCCTCGTCCCTGTCCGGCCTCCCTGAACCCCCCCCCCAAAAAAAAAGAAGGCCACCCTCAAACCAAAGCAAACACGAGCCGCCCCGTCTGATCCAACACTGCGACTCTTGAACACACTCCGCTTGGAATTCACCCACCAACCATGTCGCAAGGGTCTGCCTAACCCCCAACTTCATCCCAAATCAAAGGCGGCGGGTCCTACCTGCGTGGCGGGTGTTTACTCATTCGCGTGGATCCGACGCAAACTGATTGATCCCCACTCCTGACTCCCTCGGTGGATTGGCCCGAACATGACCCGACTACAACGGGAATCCCGAAAAGTGTGGTGTCCGGAAACGCAGTAGGCGAGTAGAACGCAGCACCTGCCCTTTTTGTCTCAAACTACTTTGCAACGCACCAACAACAAAACACATGGACGAGGTGCTTGATTGTTTTGTTTGCCTTTGGTTTCTCTTTCAAACAACCCCAAAACGGGTACCCCTATTGTTTTTTTCAAGCATGTGTCGATTTCAAGCCTGCCTGCTGCTGCTGCTGCTGCTGCTGTCTGGCCTGCTGCGTGCGCAAACGCTGCAGCTCCTGCATACGCCTTGCGCCCGCGAGTCACCGACAAGCAAGCGCAGCGCATGACACACCCAGTGCTTCCAGGCAAGCCACTGTAAATAGTAGCTAACCAAGAGAAACCATGATATATAGCTTCCATTTGCAGACGAGCCTCCATATTTCCAGTGAGATAAATTTGTTTTAAATCCAAACAGGGGAACATATTCATACGTAAGCAATTGGAAGATAACCGAGAGGTAAGCACTGGGACAGGCACACAGCTTGGTTGGATATGGGGACTTGGTTGATGGGTCAGGAAAAAGGGCTTGGGTGCGCTTCAAAATAGGATTCGGAACTCCAAACACGTGGTTCTCCTTTTGCCCCCCTTGAAAACCAACCAAAAGGGTACCATCAAAATAAGGCACGCCCGCTTCTTGTTTCATGGTTCTTTTTGGGGAGATAACCCCCCCCCCCCCACAACTTGTGACCATGGTGGCCAGGTGGTCCTTTCATAAGGAAATTGATCTTTCAGCTACACTGCGCACAGGAGAGGCGCAGACATCAAACCAGGTGGGCCCCCCCTTCTCAAATGGCCTGGCTGGGTTTGGAAACCCTCACGGAGTTCCCCATATTAACAAAAACAACAACAACATCCCATTTGAAGGAAACGCGATGCAAAACACCGTTGAGGGCGCAGGGTTGCGGGAATTGCAACTCCGCTTCCGTGATACCAATGGAAATCCGAAACAAAACGGCTACTGCTCTCCAAGCAACTAACTTCTCTTCCTATCACAGAAGCGGTTGAACCAATCCGTCACAAAACCTTGCGCTGTCCAACATCGCCGGTGAGTCGAGCCACTTCCTCAAGCTTATGGGTTGTTCGCGTCCTAAAGGATGCGGATATGAACCCGTGAAAGATCGGCCGCTCTGAGTACCCAGACGATCCAATTCGATCCATTTAGGGCAGGTTTTGAGGTCCCAAACAATCCAGGGCTGTCCAACGGAGGGAGCCTCTGGGTAATGAAAAGACACCCGGAAGTCTTGAACCTGGGGTTCCTATGATCGGTGCTAGCCATCAACCAGACATTTCATGGGTTCCAATCCCAAAGAATATCAACAGTACAGGCCACCCCGCAATTTATGTTTGGACTGGGACCATTGTGGCATTCACAAATCCCGAGGATTTGATTTGGGCGTGTAAAATGAGGGGTTTGAATTGAACCTGGGTGTGAACCCGGAAAACTCCGCTTGTCTTTTCCTCCAAACCACATGGCTTTCGCTGTGGCTCAGTCTAAGGCCGGCTCCTCATTCCCTGCCGCGCGACGTTGGAAGGGTCCGGGCCCATCTCGAGTTCCTATGGCCAAAACTCCGAATCTGTGGGGGAGAAAGGCTCGTTTTGGACCGCCGCAAAGGCCGCCGGAAAAGGCCGGACTGAAGGGGATACCAACCAGAGCCTCTGATTTTGACCGTGCGGGCCACGGTAGCCCCTAACCCTATGGGTTGAATTCCCAAAGTGGCCATGACCATCACTCGTCCCCAAGCAGCCAGCCTTTTTGACCAAACTGGACATTTGACGAAGGTTTCAGGATGCGAAGGCCGAGCTTTCGCGCGGGACTGCATCCCTGAAAGTCCTGATGGTTCCACCTGTAAAGTATTATGTCAAATTGGTGGGGGGGGGGGGGTGGTTTCCCTTCAAAGCCATCCCACAGAGGAGACCCTTAATCTCCCTATGAGCCATATGGTGTGGGTGTCTTTTTGGGGAAACGCCTAATTTTGAGACAAAACGTATACCGTCAAAAGCTGGCAAACAAAAAAGAGGTACGCTTTCCCAGTGAGCCACACTCAGGCGTCCTTTTGGAGAAATCGATGTCACTTCATGAAAAGGAACACATCCTTTTCAGTTCTTGAGCAAACTGAAGCCAAGAAGGACACCTACCTGCCAAAGATATAGATAATATTCACCAACCTGATCTAAGGGATCCAGTAATGGGAACCCAGGATGAATATATGCCTGCTTGCTCTTGACCGGGGGGTGCCCTTCGTTCATCACTTGAGGGAGCACCCTATGGATAGTGCGTGTTCTACTTATCTACGAAATCAACATGGGACTCTCACACGTCGCCTTACGTGACCTTTGGAGTTCAAACCCCAAGAATGGTCGACCCAGTTTGGATAACAATCCTTACTCGGTGGCGAAATCTCTCCGCTCCCCTGCAGAAAGTGAATATATGTTAGTGGTTTAGTGGAAAACCCATTAGTTGGCAAAAAGCTAAAGTCCTAACAGCCAAGCAAATTGCACCAAAGCTTAGGTAACAACGGTGGTTGCATGAACCCCCATTGTTTGGATGGTTTGGAATCCAAGGTTAGTATGGGACTTTCAGAAGTCGTCTTGCCCGGACCTATGACCCATGGCTTGAACGGGTCCTTCTTGAGTCCTTGCAGAGCCTGCTGCACCCGCTCCAATGCCTCGAGTGGCGAAAGAAGCTGCAAATCTAGTCTTGCACTTGCTGAAGTTCTCGAGAAAAACAGCAGTGATACTGTGGATGGACAAAATCCTGCGCCAGAAACCCTGGAAGGTTGATTCCACTGAAAATACCAACAAACGAATGGCTTCCCATGGTTTTCTATTGGTGCAGGATTTTGTCCCCAGAGTAGGTGTCCTTCAAAAATCAATAGGGGAAAACACATATTCCGAAGCAAATGGAAGTAGGTATGTTGGTTTGCTTTCCCTGCACATCAACCATTTTCCATGCCGGATGTTTTAACATGTCACGTGGGGGGTTACAATGTGTGTTTTCCCAGTAAAAATGGCCCCCCAGGAAGACATAGTTGGATTCTGCGGGGCTCATTGGAACTCACTGTGGCTCGTCAGCAGATGTCCCGAGCCCCAAGATCACGTACAAACAGAGTTGATAAATAACTTCAGAATTAATCTCACATGGCCGCGTCTTTTTCAGGGTGCGCTTTTGGCGGTGGCTTCAAGGAGAAGCCAAAATGGCAACCACTCATTTCAACTTGTTGGAGACAAGGTCGCACCCAGAGTACACGCCTTGGTGAAACCTCCTTATGTGGGTCATGCTCATGGTTCGCCCACGGGAGTGGCAACCCCCACTAAACCCTAAAATGCAAAAGAACAAACTTTCTGGGATGGCTGAGAGCCTCCAAGGTTCATCACCATGCCTACTACTGTGGATGGACGAAATCCTGCACCACCAAACAACGCCTGGAATGATTTGATTCCCTGTAAATACCAACAAATAATGGTTTCAACCATGGTTTCAGAGTGGTGCGAAATGGATTTCAAGCAACCAAGTGTCTTGCCCCAGATCAAAGCGCGTGAGATCACCTCCCACTCGCCTCATCGCAGGCAGCTTCGCCCACGGCTGCAGTGGCGGCACCTGACAGCGGCGCTGGCCAAGGCGATTTGAGTTGATCGAGGCAACGCCAGCCATGAAATGAGTCAAGCTCAAAACCCGGGTAATTGGAGGGTACGGTATTGCAAGGGTCGCAATCCCAGATTACCATGCTTCAAGGATTAAGACGGCGGTAATTGGAGGGTGAGAGCAGATCCATTTCCTAAATGGGTGCCACCTTTTTAAGTCCCTGACATGGGTCTGGGTAGATCTGAGTCACTTGCTCAAAACCCTTTGTATTATGGTCGCAATCCCAGGTTACCATGCTTCAAGGACTAAGAAGGCGGATATCCGCAACCATTTCTGGCTGGGACTGCCCCTTACTCACCTTCATCTACCCGGGTTTTGATTGTGGCTCAAATGGTCTACCCAGAACCATGTCAGGAATTAAAAAGGCGGGACCCATTTATGGCAGGGGAACTGCTCTTACCCTCCGATTAGCCGGGTGTTCATTGTGACTCAATTGTTGTTGCTCCCCCAAGTTAGGTACCCAACAAATTGCTCAGTTTCCTTTACGCTTGACTTAAATACAGGTTTTGCTATACCCAAACTGGCAGACTCATCTTGCCACTCGCCTTCCTTGCAGGAGTGATCGAATCGGACCGAACCGTGAGTTCGTCACGAAGAAACTCCCGCAGTCATCGATGTCAAAGCCACCATACATCGGTCTGCACCCCCAAACTCAGTTTGAACCCGTAGGGTTACTAGAAATTTGGCAATGACCCGACCAAGGTGAGTCGGGATCCGATGTTGCCCCTCCCAATCAGTCTCACAGCTCCAGCCAGAAACAGTGTGATAAGCTTTTGGGGCCATGACAACAAGGGTCAAAATGCTGATTAGCCATGGGCAAGCGTAAGGTACAGCAATGCGGCACCTCGCTTGTCGGGGTGCAGCAGCCGCATGATCTGACGATATCTGGACCTTGGAACTGAGCAGTGCGCGTGCAAGCCGCTGCAAAAAGGCAGCAAACCCAAATGAACCTCATCATTTGTGGGGTACCCTACGTTAGGAGACATGTACACACACACACACACACACGCAAAACAACAAGAAGAACTGATCTGCGCGCATGTCGCACGCCAGCCTTGAAGCATAGGCTTAGGCTCCAACCTAAGTGTCCTTTTGCAAGAAGATGCAAGAAGAAGAACTTGTTGGGGGGTTAGTGGAAAACACCGTTATTTCTCAAAAAGTTAAAGTCTAAAGATCCAACCCAATAGCAGTCAAGAATGGGTGGTGCACCTACCCCAAAAATTGTACCATTGGTTTTGACCCACAGCCAAATCTCAACCCAGGAGGACACCTGCCCCCAGGGGCAGTAGTGAAGCCTCCGAGAGATCCTCTCTCCAAACTGAAACAACAAGAACCCAGGGGTTCAAATCCCCAAACCACCAATCCAAACCACCAACTAAACATGACCTAAATGCGTTTCCCAAAACACACCTAAACCAGGACTGCTTTGCTGCAGATAACAGAACCACTCGACTGGATGTGTGGTGTTAAACTGTCCCCTGGTGCTCCGGAAACAACCCGCCTTCTCTGCGATTCTCTCGAAAACCAGGCTAAGCATGTTGCAAACCAAGGCTTGGCATCATTCCAAAACTCGCCTGCCAATTCGCCAGCCGCAAATAAAAGGTTCGCCTTTTGGGGCCATGACTAAGAAAAACATGGACCAACTCAGAGAAACAAACACAGTTGAAGGTCGGCTCTGGGCAAGTGAGACTCGGTTGCTTTCTGCTCCCCTGCTAAAAGCGAATCACTTTTAGTGGTTTAATACGGAAAACCCATTAGTTGGCAAGAAGTTAAAGTCCTATCATCCAAGCAAAATGCACCAAAGCATTCAATGGCTGCCAATTTTGTTGACGGAAATCCCGCAAAAGAAGAGCTCCAAGACTGGTCAGTTGCATTGAACAGGGCTCTGGGCAAGTACCTTGGTTGCTGTCGACCCCTCTGGAAAAAAAGCTTCACTTTCTGGTGGGTTTAGTGTAAAACACCCCTTGATTTCCTCCAAAAAGTTCGAGTCTAAAAGTTCCGTTGCCCCATAGCAGTGAAGCCCAGCGAGGTGCTCTGGTCTCACCCCAGGCCGGTGCTGTGCGGCAGGCAGCTCCAGATCATTCTCCGGGCCTTGCGGAAGCGGAGAGGCGTGTTTTTGTCTCATGGGTCTTTGGGGATGTGGTTTAAAGGAACACCAAAGGGAACACCGCCATGGTGTGTTTTAAAGGAAGACCGAAAAATCCACAGGGCTCCTTAAAAGATCTCCATTTTGCCTGCCCATTGGAAACTCCGCAACTCCGATTCTCCAAGCTCTCAAGGGCACGCCAATGGCCAAACGGCCCCTTCTTGGACTCCGTCGGATTCCAAACACGATGATAGGTTGGATGGACGAAATCCTGCACCAAGAAACCCTAGAACCAAAGGGAACACCGCCATTCTGTGGAGTCCCTGCCGTAAAAATAGGCCTTCATCAAGAGACATGCCCAAATCGGATTGATTCTGAGAAACCTGACTTGGCCCAAGGCCTCTACCCTCATGTGGCAATAGGTGTTTCGGGAAAATAGATGGCCCTGGTAGTTGATTGAACAGATAAACCAGGAATCGCCCTCAATCTTTAAACCAAATCAAGCAAAAAGGACACCTATGACCTAATCCCACTAAACCACAACAAGCAAAAATAAAAATAAAAATCCCAACAACAACCACGAAGGCCTCTACCCTCATGTGGCTGTCGCACGAGTGGGGACGCTGACCGGACCCGCTCCGGGGCCCAGGCTCAGCCCCAGAATCTCCCGGTAGTCGTCCACCGCGGCGGCCCTGAACCGAGCGGCTCGCCACTTCGTGGACCGATTTTGCCCCGATTTTGGCAAACGTGCCCAAGAACTCTTGCTGGTCACAAGAACATGAAGGGTATGCAAAACATGGACGGCACTGCCAACTCCACGCCAGCACTCCAGGCGCCAGTTGGCAGTTGGTTTATCCAATTCTACGGCTTGTCATGCTTTCTCCATCCCAACTCACAATTCGTCCAGCCCCCAAAGCGCCACAAGGTCCTTATTGGTTCCTTTTCTCCTGCCAACAACCTTGCTCTGGAACCTGGTGGGGCAGGCCGAACCGGCCCAGCCCTCTGACGGCTTCCATTTCGGCGGGAATACCCTCTGTCGCCCAACCACTCTTACACCCCCTGTTCCCCAAAATTGAGTCGCTGGGAACCGAAGGAAGGGGCCCCTTTTGGAGCAAAATTCTTCTTGTCTTGGGAAACCGAAAGGACACCCGAGATCCGTTTTTTCGGCGTCTAGGTATGGTAGTCGTCAGCCTTAAAGTTTGCAGGTCGACTGAAACCAGTCAGCCTGTACTTAGGAGGGGGGGTTCTCACAGACCTTTGATGCGCCGCCTGCTTCTCCAAATTAGGGCTTAAGTATGCCATCTGGGTATGGGTCAAAATTTTCCACGACAGGGGGACCGCAGGTTTCGGTGGTGGTTTCAAGTTAGCCGGGTCCCGTGTTGGCTACCTGTTTTTGACCTACACCCAAAGAAAGGTGCTGCTCTTCCTTCGGTGTTTTCCTTCCACCATCTGCACTGGGCCAGACTTCCTCTCCCCCCCCGCGAGAACTGAGATGAAAGGGAAAATGAAGGAGAAAAAGAGGCGAGCCAAAAAAAACATGCTAAAAGGAATTGGGTTCCCTGCTTCGAAGACAGACCCGCGAACAAAAGCATGGCAAATTCCCGTCTTCCACACATAGATAGTTGCTTCTTGGCATCCCTGCTCGGGAGGGGGGGGGCTATGTCAAATCGAACTTACAGGAAAGCATTTGGAAAGCAAGAAACGAAGAGCACCTTTCGAGGTCATAACCCCATGCGTCCGAAGAGGAAGCAAACAAACAAACCAGGTTGGGGGTTCCATTTCCTAATTTTGGTACAAACCCATTGTTCATGCACGTCACTTGGGTGGTCGGCCAAGTTAGTAAGTGGCCAGTTTCCTAGGTTTAACCTACTTACAGCTGGGCTATCTCCCTCTCTCTGGGGCTGGGTCTTCAATACTTGATGCCACCCGCAAGCAGTGCCATATAAGTGGCTGTCAAATGCAAACAGCTGCAATCTCCTCTTTTCCATGTGCGGGCTGTTAAGGCTGAACGTGACAAAGGGGTACTGACGCAGTGAGAAAACTCTCCTCTAAGCAGCCATGCCGTAAAGGCAGTTCGGCTAAAACTGTTCCTCTGCCAGTTCTGATTCCCCGACGTGCCCCGTCAAGAAACACCAATCATGTCGAATGCAAAGTCAGGATCTAGAGGCATCTGCATGCAGCATCATCGACAGCAAAAGTGATGGGCTGGGAAGGGACTGAGTAAGTACAGGGAAGCAGTTAAATTAAAGCTGTACGGAGTGACTGGCAACCACTCAAAACTCACCTTGGGTCTTGTCGCGCCCTTCACGAACCACCAACCTTTCCACTCTTGCCCTCCTCCTCCTCGCCAGTGAGAGCCTTGGTCGCCTCAACGGGCCCCGTCTGCTTTGCGGCTTCAACGCCTTCCTTCACCTTCTCTTTGGCGTCAGGCACATTGGGCTTCTCAGCTTGCCCACCGACCAGCTGGTGCTTCAAAGCCTCATAGCCGTGAACCATTTTCTCCTGCGCAGCGGATAGACTGCCTTGCACCTTGTCCATGAAAGTTGGGTCTTGCTTCCGCGACTCGTCTGAAGGCTTCTTAGCCACTTGCTGCACCTTCTCCTTGGCAGCGACGTAGCCCTCAGCCGCCTTCTCTTGCGCGGTCGCAAGGCCTTGCTCGATCTTCGTCTGCAGTCCGTGGTCCTCTGTTGTCGTGGCAGCATCGTAGCCCTCGGCCGCCTTCTCTTGCGCGCTCTCAAGGCCTTGCGCAATCCTCTCCTGCAGGCCCGCATTCTCGGCATTGTCATCCTTGGTGTCCTTGCCACCCACTAGCTCCTTCGTGGCCTTGTAGCCTTCTGCAGCTGTCTGCTGCGCTGCTGTCAGGCTCTGGCTCACTCTTTCCTGGAGCGGCCCCTGGCTGGACATAGCGAGATGCGAAAGGATGCGAGGAGACTGTGCAAGCGATGGATGGGCTTGGTCCAGCGAGCACGCCTTTCCTTTGAGACCACCATGAAACAACCAAACAAACAAAGCCACAAACACATGCACACAGGCAATTCGCAGGCCAACAAAGCAAAACCAACCAACCAACCAACCAACAAACCAACCAACAAACAAACAAGCAAGCAAGCAAGCAAACAAACAACAGACAAACAACCAAAAAACAACAACGCTAACAAACAACTAAACAAAACAAAGAAACAAAACAACAATTGCACCAACCAAACCAAAAGCCAACAAGTCTTCAAGCAGTTTGACAAACATGTAAGCACACAAATCCCGTAGAAAAACACAACGGGGAAACATGCAAAAGAGAGCCAAACTTTGGCTGCGAAACGCAGCCTTGGCAAATACAACAAGGTCAACAGCCGCCAGGCATCTTCCCCCCCCAAAAAAAAACAACCAACGATCTGCGCGATACTTTGATTCCCCATGGATCGAGTTTCCCGGGCCGGAAATAACTCGCAACTCGCACCCGGGGTGAGCCCGCCTGGTGGGGGTGAGCCCAAAGCCAGGCTCGGACTTGGACCGTGCCGTTCGGCAGGGATGCGTCCAAGACCAGAATACTTTTTTGGGACTTACAATGTTACAAGTCAGCCAAATCGCACCCCCAGTTTTCACATCCGATTCGATCCAACCACTAAAATAGGTTCTAACATGAGTGGTGAATTCACCTACCCCAAAATGGTACCATTGGTTTCGACCCACAGCCAGGTTAACCACTTGCTTGCTTGACCGAACACGCAGGCAGCTCCGCAACAAAAAACCCTTCAGGTCCCGTCTGCCAGCCTGATGCGAGACACCTCCGACGCCAGCGTCTGTTCCTCAGGCCTTGGCCAGTGACGGACCTCAGCCTCCGTTTGGCCATGGGCTTTTCAAAATCCAAATCGCACCCCCAGTTTTCACATCCCAATCCCCACTAAAATAGGTTCTAAAATGGGTGGTGAATTCACCTACCCCAGAAAGGTACCATTCCACGTGCGAATGCGTCTGGAAAACGACTTAAAAGCATGGAATTGCACAGCCTCAGGGTGTCCGGCACGAGATGGCCCAGACCCAAAAAGCATCGAATTCCAGCCTTGACATCGAAAACCGGGGAAACGGGAACACATCGTCTAAACCGCTTTCACGGAAGTCAGACTCCCAGCTGGCAGAGAACAGCCACAGGTCCCCCCCACTCCGTGGCAATGCTTGTGGCTTCCTCCCATTTTCCCAGGTTTTCCTTTGCCCCAAAATATGAGATGGCTTTGTCTCAAAGGGGACCCTCAGAACTGGCCGTCCTCCTCTTGTTTCCCCCTTACACCCACCCTGAAAAGGGTAAAATAGCGGCCCCCCAAACAGGTAAGTTGGCTCCCTTTTGGCTTAAACCTTAGCAAACCAAAAGTTGCAGACAGGTACGTGCCCGGACCAGGACTGGGTGTTGGGCTGCATAGTCAAGTGTAGGCGCCACTCTCCCGGTTCTAAGGAGACAAGAGATTAACCATGTTTGAGGGGTCCCGCAAACATATTTGGACACCCTGAAATGTACAGGAATCTGCCGCAGGAAGCCAGCAAACCTTTTAAGAACGATCCCAAGAGAGATTTTGACCCCTGTTTTGGGGGGAATTCGGGGAGTCCCATACCTTCGGCCAATAAGCCCAACTGGAAGTTGCCCTGCGCGGAGCCGACTGATCTTGGCGCTTTCTCAGACCAATTTATTTTGGGGCCCGCGCATCCGATGCCCGGCCTGTTGCCGGGCTCGCTCCAGTGCATCTTCCAAGGCCACCTGATCGAAGCTGACGCATGCAACTGGCTGCTTGGATGCTCAACCAACGCCAGGACAGGAGGTTATAACCTCGTGGTGCTCATCATGCGCTCTTGATCCTCTTGTAAAAAGGCTGCAAATGTGAAAGGAGCGACATGGTTATAAGTTATAAGGGAGCCAGTTACAACCATATTTTGTAACCTACTTACCCGAGGTGAATTAAATGCATCCAACTGATGAAAGGAATGGACACGCTGAGAGCAGCCTCCTACATGTGCGACTACGTTTGCTAGCAAAATGAGAACATATGTCCAGTATTGAAACAGACCAACAGGGGGAAAGCAAATAAAAGGTCTTGTTTACTTCCATGACATTTCCATTGTGCCTGTTGGGTGCAGCGTCACTCACTTAGCAGTGAACCTCCATTTTCCTCATCGATCCGTAGGTAAACATGGTCATGGTCCTGATCGCTTGCGATCCGTCCCTTAAACCCCGGCTGGCACTTTTGCGGTTGGCCGACCCGATCCCAGCGGCTCGCTCTCCTCGGGACATCTGAATAATCGGAGGGGGTTCCATTTCCGGTCTGGAAATCCCATGCGCCTTGTTGTTGCTACCCCCCAAAAGGGATCTCGGAACTTTCCTTTCGGTTTCCCTTTCAAACCGCTCCAAGCACGGGGCTGGGTCCCCACCACCAACAGACAGAGATCGGAGGCCCGGCCTCCTCCCCCAAGATCAGGCGTCCCAATGCAGCTCCGAAGGCCGGGTTGGCATCCTCCTTCGTTTCAACCGGAAAGGCTTTCTCGAAACGGAAAGGGGCATTTAAAATTCAGGCAACCAACCACTTAGGATTAGGTGAGTCATGATCAAAACCTGGTACAACAATACAAGGATGCACAGAGAACCATGTAAAGAACTAAGAAGGCGGCCGCATGTGAGTCACAATCAAAACCCCGTATTAACATGGTCTACCCAGAACCATGTGAAGAATCAAGAAGGCGGCTGCAGCTATTTATGGTTGGGACTGTCCCTTACTAACCTTCATCTACCCGGGTTTTGATTGTGGCTCATCTGGGATTCAGGCAACCAACCACTTAGGATTAGGTGGTTCCAGCTCTTGAAACAACCGTTTAGGTGGATCCAACTCTCAAGTTCATGGCCAGGTATCAGACAATCCAGACGGAACCATCCAAGCGAAATTGTAAAGAATAAGTCTTCGAAATGGTGGATACCATCCAAGACTCAGGAAACCACCAACTTAGGTGGTTCCAACTTTGAAAATTAAAGGCCAAATGATGGGGCTAGTCCGGGCTAGTCATACAAATTGCAGCCCGCAAAGCCATAACAGGTCTTGTTCCTGTAGTTTGTGCATGGCGGTTGCCCTTGGTTTTTGTACTAGTAACTGGAACCCACCAAAATGGCTTGGTTTCCGTTTGATGTCCCTTCAAAACCAACCCAAAGGGGCCCCAGAAACAAAACACTCACCTAGTCTTCGAATGGGGCAAACCGGCTAAGCACCTAAAACGAAATCTTCACATTTAGGCCAACTAGCAAGTTCCCAAGTACCTGAAAATTATCTGAAAACAACTCCCAAAGCCCATGTTGATTGAATAACACTGGCGTCAGCTTTCTGATTAAAATGCCCTTGAAACATCCCAACACAAACCAATCAGAATGAAGCCAATACACAACTAGCCGGCTGAAACATGGCTTGCATTTTGAGAAAGCATGCCCCTGACTGCTTCTCTCCTAAGTCACCAGCCGCTAGGCCAAACTCGGCCCGGGGACGGGTGAACTTTCTGTCCCCTCAGGGCAACGAAGGAAACTCAAAGAACAAAAGGGCGATGTAAACTGCACAAAGTCTCCCACTGTGGAAGACTGCTTGTGCCCTTGAATTTCCGGTGCACCAAGCCAGGTTTGTTTGTGGAAGGGGCAGGCAAACGTGGGCGCCAGCACTGCTCGCTCCTGTCTTTGGCGAGTTCTGGGAGGCTCATCTTCACCTCGGAGCAGTGCGGGTTTGACCTGCCCCTCGTTGGGATGGGAAAAGAACAACCGAAGAGTTCTAGAGGTCACACAAGGATAAAGGTAGCCTTTTCACCGTGGCTTCAAGGGACACCGAAAAGGACACCCATTTATCTTTAGGGTCCAAATCCATAGTTTGGTACGTGTCGCGGGGATGCAAAGCCCCCGACTTGCTTGATGTAAAAAGGCAGAGCAACCAAAAAGCCGCTCAGCACATTGGTTGAGTGAGAAACAACACCTTTCATCCATAAGGGTCCCCAAACTAGGTCCGGCGTGCATAGATTGCAATGGCGTTGCGTGACACGACAGCAGTAAAATTTGCAGTCTGCAAGTGTGTTTTGGAAGCACCATGCAATGCAAGTTCGGAGTCTCAACTCTTAGGTTTTGACACAGCACTTCCCCCGGCGTCTTTGGTAGCAAAACTTCGGTAGCATCTTTGCCCCGAACACTAAATCTGTTCTTATCAGAACAGATCTGCCAACAGGTACAAAACTTCGGTAGCATCTTTGCCCCGGCCAACAGATGTGATGTCCTCAACGCCCACTGAAACAGCAGAAGCTCAACGCGGGGGCGCAAGCCATTGAAGCTCTGTGTCTTCAACTTCCGGTTCAAACAGCAAGGAACAACCGTCTTGAGAGAAAGCCACCAACGGTCCATGCATTGGGTCCCTCCCCACGCTTCGCATATTCATGGTCCTGGTGTGAAACCTGTTTGTACCGCAACTGCATTCGTCGCCACCACTCCTGGGGCTTTGTCCAACTAAGGAGGGACCCAATGCATGGACCGTTGGTGGCTCTCTCTCAAGACGTTTGTTCCTTGCTGTTTGAGCCGGAAGTTGAAGACACAGAGCTTCAATGGCTTGCACCCCCGCGTTGAGCTTCTGCTGTTTCAGTGGGCGTGCAGGACATCTGTTGTCCGGGGCAAAGATGCTACTTGTCATTGGTTCCTCCTGAACCAAACACCTGCGTTTGCCTCGCCAGTGTTGCGCTGCTGTCCAAATGCTACCATCCCCACCCCCCACCCAACCCCCCCTCCCCCCATCACACCACGGAAGCCTGCATGAGAGAAACACGACACGAAAACATGCGGCGATCTGTTCGCGCCCAGCCAACTACAAGACCTAAACGTCGCCAGCAAACAACAAGCGCGTTTTTTAGGGACACCTGTTTCTGAGAAACACCCAGTAAAACTCTGATCGGCTATGATCGCTATTAGGACCCCCTTGAATTGCTGTGTATTCATCTGACAACTACCAAGTCTTGGCAAAAGTTGAACAAACAAACCAGCGGGGACGTGGTGGAAGCAAAAATGTGGGGGTATTCCCTTGGGACCATCCTCCTTAAAATTCAGTCTAGGTGCCTGTCAGGGGTATCCTCCTGTATCCCTTCCCCCTTGCCGTATCCCTGACCATTTCCGCATTTGCTTAAGTCTCTTGGTCACAAAATGAGAACATATGTCCAGTAGTGAGATCAATCGATTCCCTTTGAAACCAACAGGGAAAACGAACCTAGGTCCTCCGGTAGAGAGGTTAGAGTAAGGGTGGGGCCTTGTCTTAATCTGAGCATTTGCCAGCGGTAAATCGCCAAAGGCCAAGCGTGTGCCGTGCAATCCGAGTTCCGAGCCATCGGAGATCTCGTGCACGTGCACCACGGGGCGCTTCTGCCTACGGGGCGGAGCTGAGGCCATCCCTGCGAAGCCGGGCTGCCCCTACTCACTTGGCGGTGGGTCAAAAATATGTTCCATTTGGAAACGTGAACCAAAACCTGGTCGCCTGGTTTAATTTTGACCCATCACTGCTTCAGCTGGCATAAGCCCAAACTGTCTGTTTAAATGGGACGAGTCCAAAGTTCGGGAACTCAGGAAATGAGAATGAGGTCTTGTTTAGGGCTTGCTCCCTCCAGCCCCTAGCTCCATGAATGATCCAGGTCAAAACCCCTGTACTGCTTAGAGTGAAAGTCCAAACCTGTCAGTCCAGAAACATACTCGACACCTGACCCCAGCCATCTTCTGGCTAGTTCCTTACACATCTTCATGTCCCACACCCATAGGAAACCCTGGAAAAAAAGGACACCACATGTGGCTTCAGATTTTGGCAGAACCAAAAAACAAACGGCTACAAACCCATAGGCGCCTGCCCCCAACACTTGCTTTTGTGGGCTGTCCATGAAACATCGCCAAAAACACAAGGGGTGGCCGCCCCGAACAAGGCATCCCGCTGGCTCTGCACATTGGGGGACCAAAACATTGAGTTCGCAAGATGAGATCCGTGGCTTCAGCCCTTTCACCCCAAACCCTGTTTGCGGGTGTAAAAAAACGGTTGGCCAGACGTAGACCGCGTGCGAAAACGGATCTGTTCGCCGCTTGATTGGGAAAGTGAAAGAAACAAAACAAAAGGAGAAACACAAAAGCTTGGTGAAACTTTGCCGTTGGATATAATTATTTGGCCGTTAAATATGTCACCTGTTGCCGTTCGTTGATTTATTTGGCAATGGTCGGTCGAACCTGGATACCCAACCAACTTGGGTTTGTAGGTTTTTAACTATCATCTCTACTCTTGGTATGGTAGCAAAAAACTTATTTTCTGCAGACCCCCAGTAAAAATGAACAAAAGCAAACAACTAAAAAACCAAAAAACATGCCAAGAACAGTGAAGCTATGGTTACAACTGGTGTAACCGGGGTGATGGTTCCCTTATAACCATGGCTTGCCTAGGTTGGTTGAAAAATCCAAGAAACATGTTGTGTATGAGAATGCGGTGAGCCATCCCATTTGCGGGTTGATCAATTTTCCTGCCCCAAAATCAACCATGGGTAACTTTTCTCCGTTTAGTGTGACATATAATCTTTTTCGGTGGTTTTCCTATTGGTCGTCCCATGTAAAGCACCTTTCGATCAGCCCCCATTTGGAGAATCAAAGGAAAAAGCCCGATAAAACCCAGTTACCCAAGACATCCTTACATTATACACCTGAACGTTGCAACTTGTAAATGGTGGTTCCCCTCTATTTTGGTGTTGAAAGAGCCATGTTTCAACTGGTGGCAAAATGGAGATCTTTTAAGGAGCCCTGCTACCCTTGGTAGGGAAAACACCCCATCCTGTCTCCGCCAGTTTCCGGTCGGAAACCGTTCCCATTTTCCGCCAGCGAGGCTCCAGCGCTGCAAGTTCCGGAGGCCACTGGGAAGGGACATCGCACCTCAGGTTTCATGGGTGTGTCTTTGGCACCGCTTTTTTGGATACTTACCCCTTAAAACTCCAAGCCCTGGGGAAGCTAATCTTTTACAGACATATAGCCCATGTTACCCAAAAAGTTGAAAAGTTGTGTTGACGTTGGGTTTGGGGAGCATTTTTTTTAAATAGCAGGTAAGTGGATTTGGATTTCAACCACTAAACCGCAATAAGCAAGAATGCAAAAAAATGTGTCGAAACGACAACCATGATAGGTTCACAGGAGAAGAAAAGGAGACCAGGTTTTGTTTGCTGGTACCGTGTTGGGATGGGTTTAAAGGAGAAAAAAGGAGAACCGCCAATTTTGAGGGTCCCCTTTTCTGAGACAATCCCGTGACATGGATGTCTCGACAACCAAACGGGCGCCACCTCGACACATGCGCGGATGCTTCTCAGGAACTGGACCCCAGCTGCCTAGAACTGAGCGACTTGTGCGTCACCAACCCAGTTGTAGAGGCTCACACCCAAAAAACTTGAGTTTTAAGCTTTTTACCATACTGCAAAGTGTCACAGGCGTTTGTCTCCAAATTGGAAAGTTGACCCTTGAAAATGCCCAGCTTGCTGTGTGCCAAGTTTACGAATTTGAGTCTCTCAGCACCGGGACCTATTACTTGCACCGAGCTTACCAAGAAACACCCCTCTGGCACGCACGCACGCACGCACACACAAACAGCAAACCTGACCCAACCCAACTCAACCCAACCCACCACACAAACCAAAGACAAAAAAACACCAGGAACAGGAACGCAAGCCGCAAGCAAAGCAAAGAGCCTTTGAACTTGGCATCCCCGCTCATCTGACTGGAACGAGTACATCTTGGGCTTTTGACCTCGGCACGGGAGCTGTCCGGCCGAAGCCCACCATGTCCGAACCGCGAACCAAGAGACCAGTGGCGCATCCATTTCGGCAATGTTTGGTCGCGCCATGTCGCACAAGGACATAGAATCTGCTGACAACTCACATGTGTGCATGATCCAAACGCCCTATGTTGTCATGGTCTGCAGTGCCCGAAAAAGGAGCCCTTATGCTCTTGGTCTAAAGTATTCTCAGGCAAAAAGGAATTTTGACCATGGCAAATGTGAAGACTGGGTCGTGCCTCTGCAGTCCACGCTTTCGCTAGTCAGCCATCGCCCAAGAATCGGCCTTCGTGGCTGTCCAGCACCTACAGTATGTTAAAAAAGCTCATTGCGAGCTTCTAAGGCCTTCATCATACAGTTCTGCGACAGGCATGGCTCTAGTTGATATAACCTCTTCTGCGCGGACTTGTGCTCTGCTGAAGATGCCGGGATCTGTTCCACGCTGGATCCATGTTGTCTGCATGTCACCTGCCGCCCTTTCCTCTTAAGCCGAAAACGCCATCAGCCGAGCTAGCCTGAGTGACATCTTGACGCCAAAGCAAACTGAACATCAACCACTTAGCAACCTGAGCGCCGCCCAAAGCCCATGGACCATTGGGTTTGCGAACATATTGTTGCTTGCCTTCTAGGATCCTTTGTTTTGCGAAGTAGACACAGCCACCTACTAAAATGGGCAACAGGGATTTTGGGGCGCTGCTCCCTTGGGTGTTCAACCGTTCAACCCAAGGTAGGAGGTAGTAGCGGTCGTGCAACCTGCTTCCGACCTGACAGCTGGATAGGCCAAAGCCCCAAAGCTCAATTTCTCAATGCAACGACCTGGACAGCATAGAACCGGTGCTCATTGATTGTGGTAGTCTGGTTTTTGATTCCGGTCGTCTACTTTAACAGCTCTAAGCTCATGTTAACAACTCTAAGTTCATGTTAACAGCCTTAGGTTCATGGGCTTCCCTGGCAAATGGTTTATAAAACAAATGAGTCCAAACCAGCAGAACCAGACCGATTTTTCCAATTCAAAGTAAGCAAGCAAGGACACCTTGACGGGCGTGAAAGAAAACAAACTCTTGGAACAGACTTTCCGGCCTCGTTGTTTTACCATGATCAAAGTCACTCCCTAAGTGGTGGGTTAAGGGGAGCAACCCCACGTTCTTACTTTGACAACCCCCAAAAACCGTCAAAATACTTTGGACAAACGAACAAGCGAGGATACGAGGCGGGGATATGGGGGAATTTGAATTTCCCTGGGCGCCACTTCCCAGATCAAACTGGGTCAAGGTACATCAAACCGGGGAATCCCTGGTTTCCCCCCTGTTTTTCTGCTAGTTGGTTTCCCTGAATACTCATACTGTATACTGCTAGGTCCTCCAGTAGAGAGGTTAGAATAAGGGTACCAACTTTTTTCTGTAGTCTAGTTTAGTAGGGGAACCCTCCCCCAAACAAGAAACGGTGAAAGGGCACCTAGCTGGGGGACCTAGACTGACCCCGGACTTTGCGCTCTTTCCACAGTGTCGCATGGGCCGGCACCTATGGCCACTCGTCTGAAGCTGAGGTACCATGGGCGTCAGCTCAAACCACGTAAGCCGAACTAAGCTTGAGTGAGTCGAAATCTAAATCGGCATTAAAATGGTCGACCCAGAACCGAGTAAGAAATTAGACAGGCGGCTGCACCCATTTGTGGTTGGTCTTTTTTTACTATCCTTCATCTGGCCGGATTGGTTTTTTTTTGTAGCTCAAGTGACATTGTACACACACGTACATGAAAGCGAATAGCATCGCAACAAGTTGTGGGGCGCAACTCTGTCAGGCCATGTCCAAGTGGGAAGCAGATGCACTCTTGGCTCTAATTCCCTCTTGGACCACCGCTGCTCAGGTTGGAAACCTCTCAGGTCGTCCTGGGCAAATTGTAGTTTGTCACCCAAGAAGCGGGCAATTCTATCAAAGGAACCTTCATGGATAAGCTTGCCGCATGCCCAGAAAATTTGCCCAGAACCATGGCCAGTAGCATCTTGGTTCATCTGATGCGTATTTCAGCACCATGGTTCTGGGTCGTCAACTTGTTCCAAAAGCGAGTGTCTTGATCGCCGATCTGCACTGGTACCTTCTGAGATGCTGGAAACACCTTCTTGAACACCCACAATCGCCGATTGTCCACGGAAAACATTCGCCCCATATGTGGCACCACGGTGATGCATGGGATGTCGGTCACATCCTTCACGCCATACCGCAGCTCTGCCTCCATTTTTTCCAGCGGACGTCCATCTTGAAAGAAGCGCTTGATGGAGTCCTACTTGCTGGAAGCTTTTGCTGGCCGGACCCATCAGCAGTGAATATGAAATAGAGTTCTGAACACGTGACGTGGAACGCCAACCACCTGAGAATCCTTCGAAACATGTTCAAACAAGCGTTGAACATTCTATAGGTGTCCCTTTCCCAGGCAAAGACCTGGCAAGCGTTGCACGGCAAGTGGCCTAAACTCATTTGGCCATGGGTCAAATCCAAATCGTACCCCCAGTGAGCATCCCAATCCCCACTAAAATAGACTAAAATTGGTGCTGCACCTACCCTAAACTGGTACCATTGGTTTTGACCCACAGCCACCTGGAAAAAAAAGGAACCCGTTTTGACGAAGACCATTTGTAGTGGGGCAGCCACCAACAAAAAAAATGGAAAAGGGGTGCCACTGAACGACTGAGACTAGCAATCAACTTCCTGGGTGTAGAAGATGTCGCGGAGGGCAATCCTGTGCATAAAGTCATCGGCTGAGATTCTCATCTGCGCCATGCCCATGGCCAAACCATTCCTCAGCAAACCACCAGAGTAATTTCCCTACGCGCATGTCAATATACTTCAAGGCAGGCACGCAAAAAAAACGTCCCAGTGGTTCACAAAACCCGCTTTGTAGGCCCAAATGCTGTATATTAGACACGTAAAATTTACAAGTGAAACAATTTGACTCCCATTCTCCAGTCGAGGAGCACTAACTGCTTCAACTTCACCCGTTCTGGTGGCTGGAAGGTCTCTGTGCGCAAGGGCTTGGCCTCCTGCAACCTCTGGATTGTGGTGTTCCGGGCCGTACCTGCGAGCCAACGAAATCCATTGAATTTGCCCCCGGGGGTGCCATTTTTGGCTACATCCGGGTATCCCAATCCCGAGTCCATGAAATCTTAGGCGGGCACCATCTCTGAACTCGATCCGCACTCCGCGCGGCGTCTCCGGAAGCAGCGCCGTGATCTTGGCACGCTTGCCGAAGTATTCGTGCCAGGAGCCAGAGTAATAGAGTTCATCTCCAATCCGGAAGTTAGATTCCCAGAGCTTGGGCGGGCGCCTGGACACGTTGCAGGTGGTTCTCAACGAGTCATCGCTGAAGCGAATGCGGATCGCGGCAGAATCCTTCATGAAGCTTTCAACTTTAGCTGGCTGACCAAAGTATGAAGCTCCTGACCATTTGTTCACCACGGTTCCTGTGTAGAAAACCTCCCCTTCCAATTGATGCCCCGTGTGGTGCGTTGGCTCTGTAGAACTCAGGTTCGCGTGACGTATTTTCCGTGACTGCCGAAATCCGCCGGGCAATGGCGGTTCTACTTGAGACCAGTTTTTCGTCCACTTCTCCTCCCCGTCGGAAAACCTCATAAGGACCGTGTTGCCAGTTCTTCGTATCACGAGGCCCGACTGTGCGAAATACTGCAGCCCATTCTTGGGCCGCTCGCCAGTCCAGGTTCCGACGTAGAAGACGTACACCATTCCCAGATCCCAGAGTGCGCTTGCTCAAAGCGCACAGTCAAGACTATGGCGGAATGAGTACGGCCCCCAAAACCCCTGAGTTGGCTTCAATAAATGGATACAGTAGAAATCGGGAGCGACCATCTCACTTGCTTGGCTTCACATAAGCATATACGGCTGAGGCCAAATCGGACTCAGGAGAGTCTTCTGGAACTGGATGTGGTTCAACCCTCAAAATGCCCAAATGAAAATGGAGAGATTGCCCCAATATGGGGTGAATTTCCATTAGTTTGTGGGTAGTTTGAGGGCCCAGGTTGTCGCAATAACCCAAGCCACAGGAAGCTTCTGCACTTGCCCGAGGCATGTCTTGAGAACGAGGAACCCGTCGCCAGTTCTCGTAGGTTTTTGAGGGCACACAGACACGCAGACAGTGCGTCAATCTTCTGTTGATTGGAGTTTTGGATTGGAGTTTTGAATTGAAGTTTTGGAGTGGAGGTTTGGAGTGGATTTTCGGATTGGAGTATTGGAGTGGTGTTTTGGAGTGGTGGTTGCAATTGGTGCTTTGGATTGGTCGTTTTCTATCGGTTTCACCACCAATCCAAACCACCAATCAAGGCTTGGCTGACTCAGACTCCACAGTTTTGGCCTTCGAAGTGTACATTCGTCATCTGCACAGCAAATTAGTTGCACGCCAAAAAACTCCGCAATGTCACATGCCAGGCGTGCCGGCATTGAACGAGCAGCAAAAGGCACAGCTCAGCATTAAGCACTGGTTTGGTAGACAAGCCACAAACAAATTGCATGAGCTTCACAAGAAATACTGGGTTAATGCCATCACACCTGAGCTCCGAATTCTCGTGCAGTCAGCGGCCTGGCCGAGCCAAACGTGGGGTCGTTCTGAGTTCTGACAGAAGGCTGTGGCTCCAAAAAACCGGTACAAAAATGGCACCCTGGCAAGTGGAAACATGGGCCAAAACCTGCGTAACCCCTTCTGTTTAATTTTGAGCCACACCCACATGGAAGTTAGCAAAAAGGCCAACTAACCAAGAGGAAAGTAGTCTTTCTACCGGGGTCTGTGCACAAACCTATGGAATCGCTGGTGGGAGGGTACCTGGGCTGTCCGTTTTCAGATCTGCTAAAAGTGAGTTTGACTTGTGGGTCCTTCTGAAAACTTGGCCCCGCGGGTGAGAAGATCCTGAGCATGGCCAGCTCCGAGCTCGGGTCTCAAGTCCAAGGGGCCTTTTGAACATCTCAGTTGCCCCTTCGGGACCTGGAACTAGGTGATCACCTTTTGGGTTGCCATGACTAAAAATAGGCCAAAATTTGGGAAAACCGTTTTAGGTCAAAAGGTCGATTCGCTTTGAAGAACTGAGTTGAGCGACTTGGACCGCAAACTGGCAACATTTCACCATGGACCGGAGAGTTTGACCGGACCTCGTTTGACACCTCAATCCATGTGCATGTTAGTCCGCAATGCCTCACCTGGCTGGACTGGATAAAGGTTTGTCTCAACATAGGGGAACCAAACAAATGGCTGGAATCGATTTGGTTTCCCTTTGTATAAAACCAGGGTAACCCTCAAAATAAACATACACACACAATGTCACATGCACAGGTGTCCTTTTGGAAAAATCGATGGCCTGGTAAATGGAATAAAACCCATCTAAACCAGTGTCTTCTATTTTTTACCACACTAACCTGAAAAGGACACATATGGTCACATGGCCTGGCTTTTTTTGGTTGACCGCACCGCGTGTTTATGGCTCCCCAAGCAATCCTTTGGAACTCGGTACCCGAATGCCCAGTGATGACTCCTTGTTGGGGATGCGGGATCACAACTGCGGAATCCGCCAAACCAAAAGGGAAAAGGTGCACAACGAGGTTATTGTCACGCAACACCTCAATCAGTCTGGAGGGTTGCCTCAATCAGAATCTATATTGGTCGTCTCTATCGCAAGCAAATGGCTTTCTCATTACAATGGCTGTCTAGATATTCCATGAAGGGATTAATGACTATATCCTTTTGCCAACCAAGAAAACGGGCACGTTTGGTTAGCTATGGCTGCAAAGTCTTCCAAGTACACAAATCAAGCAGCCGGCCTGATTTCAGGAGCTCAGCGCATGCCTGCAAGAGAATGGCTACTATGTGTCTTCTTTCGCAGGCGCGCCCTTTGTGTTGGTGAATTCAGGGAAGTCACAAGAAACCATCAATCTGAATCTGGGAGGGACCAGCAATTATCGGGGCAACCCAGCATTTCGGGTTGCAACCCGCAATTTTAGGGGAGCAAACTCATTCTTGAGGGCCCAAAACCCAAATGAGCAGCACCCAAGACTCCCTTTCCTTTGAGTTCCGAAACAGCCCGGATGCTACACGGATGCTACACGGCTACTCCACTCCGACCCAGGAACTGGATTGCTCACTTTGAGTCAGAATCAACTCCTACTAAACAAGGTCTACCCAGTACCGCTTTACCAAGGAGTCAACTAAGGCGGAGAGTCCCTTACCCTATTTCAGCTTGGGGCTTCTTTTAGCTTGAAGGGATTGTTTTTACCCCTTCATATACCCAGGCAAGGAGCGTATCTACCGTCGCCTTGCCTTCACTGCGCCTAGGCAGCTTCGGCACTGGCTTGGCCTCAAGACCGCGCCAAAAGCGAGGCCGGAGCTGAGGAAACCAAAGGCCTCCCCGTCACGAAACGCTTGGCCGGAGTTGAATCGATGCGCCCCATGGTAACATTCCGAGTAACATGGCGCTCTCAATACCCATCGCCTGGCAACCCAATAGTTGTGAGGGTTGACAAAGCGTTGGATTTAGCCACTTTGATGTGGACCATAGCACCATCTCAAGCTTCGCAGGGCTCTGATCCAAGGTTTCGGATCAACCCTTTCTCGGAGCGTGGGCCCGAGTTTCTCTCTCCTTACCCCAGTGCTTCCAGTGTCCCAGTCTCGTAGGCAACCAAACAAATCCACAACTTACAAACCAAAGCTGAACAATCCCACTGCTATCCCAAACAAACCCGAGCAAGCCCCTTTCAACGGCTTGCAGCTCGCAGCCTCGGATGACCAGACGTCAGCAGTTCATGGCTCCAGTTCAGAAGTCCTCTCCCCCACACGTAACCCACTCAAACTTGGTTGACGTTGGGTTTGGGGAGCAAACATTCTCAAATTTTGGCAGTTAGGTGGATTTGGATTTCAACCACTAAACCACCACAAGCAAAAATGTATAAATGTGTCCCAACGACAACCATGTAAAGGAGTTGTTCACTGGGGAGATTCGCCACTTAGCTGACGTGGAATGGACAACGTCGCAGCCCTGGGGCCACTTTCAAGAGCCGAGCCCAAAGTGCCTCTGGGCGTCCAAGACCTGACTCCGCTCAGAGGCTCGGTCCGGGTACACAGACTGCCACATGTAATCCATGTCCAAGCGGTGAATATTGAAATCTGGAACAAGCCAAGTTGGTGAGCCCTGTAGCTAAGCCCCTCTGAAGCCCTGATGCTTCGGGCCGCTCACCATCTAGCGATCAGCCCCAAACAATCCAAGCACCGCTTGGAATGCTGAGCTGCCTACGAGGCGAGTGGCGTTCCTGAGCTTCTCCCATGCAAATCGCAGAAACGCCCATGCAAAGCAATGACCAGCTTCCTGCCAGTTGGTGGTCTGGATTGGCGGTTTGGTGGTGCTCTTTCCCATTTACCCTCTACAAGTTGCAAGAACCACGGGCTCAAATCCGCAAACCATCAATCCAAACCACCAACTAAGGGTTGCCTGAAATGAAGCTGTCTCAGGGAAGCTGTCTGAGGAGCTGGCAAAGACCGCCTTGGCCCTGGGACGATGCGATGCTGTCGATTCCCAAATGTTGCAAGTGCAACGGAGCCCCCGAAACTTGTCACGGCTGTCACTTCCCAAATCTTGAGATATTGCCATGGTTTGAGGCTGTTTTGCTTGCAATGCTCAGGAAATCCTAGGGAATCGCAGTCCCAATCTGTCCCCCTTACCATAGTTATAGGCATGCTCACCTAAGATTGGTCCAAAAGACGATGTGAAAAGGCTCAAAAGGGGAACATAGAGGGGACCCCTGTTTTCCCAGTGGATCCACTTCCAAAGCAGGTAATCAAGGGCTCGCCACCCTTTAAACACCGACAGAACATGGCTGGTTGCCTACTATAATAAGGGTAACCGGGATCCACTGGATGTGGTTTCAGGTTAGTTGCCTGCAATGTTTGAGTCCAACATGTCGTCGGATCGCGCGCATGGATCCGCGGGCCGAGACTGGGGCAGCAGCCCGGGAGACCGAAGAAGCTCTGTCTCGGCCTATCGCCACTTGAAGTGGTGTGGGGATTGGAACCCCTGGTTCTTGTACAAGGAATCTACCCCCTAACCCATCGAGAGGAAATCCCCTCGTGGTTGGATGTGGTTTGTTTGCAAAAGGGCATCTGTATTGGCTGCCCCAGCTTTGGACAATCCCGGGGGGGAGGGGGGAGGGGTGGTTGGCTGAATTGCCCCCTGTTTCAAAAGGTTAACCTTTGCCGGTCAACTGGACACCCAACCACAAAACCAACTAAAAACACCTAAACAGCTCAGGGACCGGATGCCTGGGACGCCAAACGTCCACGTTTGGGGAATGAACTTTTGGCGAAGCCTCTTTGAGGTTGTCTGCTTGGGCCAAAAGGCGCTTCACCTCTGAGGCAATCCCTTGCTTTGACAAGCTGGCGGTGACTTTTTGTGCTGAAACTTACCTTTCAATGGTCCAATGCAACACCAATTTGGCGGGGGGGGGGGGTTCCCTGGTGTTCCCGACCACTGCGGAAAAACCTCCCTTGCTACATATGCAAAAGTTATTTAAACTTCTGCAAAGGTCAAAACACCTCTGATTTTTTTCCAGTTCCAAACGTCTAAGAAACCGTATGCCTGGGAACCGCCAAACGGCCGATTTTAAATAGGGGACCCCTTGGTTCCCTATCAAAAACCATCCAATCGGGTCGCCCTGGTTCCAAGGCAAAATCATAAGTATAATAAAACGGCAACGGTGCCCTTTTGGGTTTCCCTACAAATACCAGTCCAAAAAGAGCACTTGCTGTCCTACTTAGAACTAGGCTAGCTCCACTTGGCGGGCTACCTAGTAACCACTTCCAGCGCTTCCAGTTGACAATAGCAGGTTTCCAGGGTGTCTTATGTCTAGGTTTCACATCATGGTTTCCCTCATTTCCCTGCTATACTGGTACCTGTCCACAGATACCCTGCTAGACATTTAACCTTTAGTGGGTCAACTGGACACCCATCCACAAAACCAGCCAAACAACCACCAAACAGCCAAGTCGAACACCGCACGGCAGGGCACCAAGCCCCGAAAAACACGAGCCTCCCAAAGGCGACACGACTCAACCCCCCCAGACGCTCCGATTCGATCAATTTGGGGCCCTCCAAACAGCCAGTTGTTGAGATCGGGTCCCAAACAATCCCAGGCTGTCTAATGGAGGGGTCGGTCTTCCATGGAAAGCCGAAGCCAGGAGCCTCTGGGCCCCAAACCAAAATACCCGGCGCCCCAAAAACGGGGGAGGCGAGCCCGGAGCGCCTGCGCCCGGCGTGTGGGCGTTCCCAGCTTGGGGCAGCGCTTCGGAGAGCTACCTCGCGGTCGCGGCGGCTGGAGGGTAGCGGTGGGTGCGGTGGTTCGGAGCCCATGTGGCTGTGGTCGTCCAAAAATATGGTCACCCCAAAATGGGTTGCCCGATCGGTAAATGGACACATGGACGATTTAACCTGCGGTCCAATTCCTGGTGGTTTAAGTTTTGACCCACGCCCAGGTAAGCCACAATCAAAACGCGGTATTGAAAAAAGGGGGTTCTTAGGCGGTGCCCAATGGATTTCATCCACGGAGTTTAGAAAACAACAAGCATGCCCCACTCAGTGAAAATCAAAACCCGGTATTGCGATGATCGACCCAGAACCATGCTTCAAGAATTAAGAAGGTGGCCACAGCGATTTATGGTTGGGATTGTCTCTTACCTAACCTTCATCTACCCGGGTTTTGACCGTGGCTCATGTGCAATGGTTGCCAAAAGTTAAGAAAATCGCGAAAAAGGGGAGCTCCAAGACTGGTCCGTTGCATTGAACTCACAAGCCCAAGAGTGAAAGAAAGTACTCAAATGCGAGAAAAAGGATCCGTTCAACCTCCCCCCCCTCCAAAAAAAAGTGTGCTCCCTTTTTGTTTTCCCTTTAACACCAACCAAAAGGCACCCGTTTGGCTGTCTTTGTTCGAGCTGTTCCGGGGCTGTTGTTTTACGGAAACATCAGAGGAAAAGCAAAAATGTGTATTTTGTGGATTTTCAACATCCTCAGCATCACGAGTTGGATTTGTTAGGCTGGGTTTAGGGTGGGTTTAGGTTGGCTCCAGTTTGAGACAACCCCATGGACTTGGCTGCCACAAGCTCGTAAAAGAAACCCCTTTCGGCTTCCTTTCATGCGAAACGGGTCACGCGTCAGGTAAGTATTGACTCGGTTGCGAAATCTGCTCCCCTGCTGAAAGCTTAACTTTTAGTGGTTGAGTGGAAAACCCATTAGTTGGCAAACAGTTAAAGTCCGAACAGCCAAGCAAAATGCCCCAAAGTTAAATATCCCCAGTTAAGTCTCCCAAGTATAACTTCCCAGCATAAAACTAGCTGAACGGGGATAGTTACAAAAGTGGGAAAATATTAATCACTGACAATGTGGGTTGGCCTCCACGTACTCCAAACACCCACTTCATTAGGGTATGATGCTAAGCACTCACACAACAAGACCGAATTTACAGTGGTACGATGCTACCTCACATTCTTGAGCCTTTGTTTCCCATCTGACCTGATATCCTCGTTGCTCCTTCCCATTCCCTTGAATTTCCAATGTTTGTTTAGAAAGATTCAAACAAATGGCCTGAGAGGAAGACTAATTGACCAGTCGGCACCAGCGTCCATTAAAACGATACTTGGGACAACACCCCAGCTGAATCTTTGGGGGTTCAACACTTTTGGACCTATGGGAATTCCTTATTTTCTGGGCCCCACATCTATCAAAGGTCAACAAGAACGTATGGAGGGGGCGTGACAGAATTGCTCCTACCACGACTTGGAAGTCCAACAACTAGAGAGCCGGCCCAAAACAACGCCTTTAAACAAAAGGCGTCGTCTCGTCTCGCACCGCGAACGAAACGGTGTGGGCCTATTCCCCACTTCCGTCTGGACCCGGACAGGGATCTGGCAGGAAGTTGTGAGAACTCAATTCCGCACGAGTGGATTGGCCCGAAAATGTCTGGAGTTCTTCTGTGTAGCACAGAAATGGCAACCAGACCCAAAAAGTAGTTCAAAGTCCGAAACGGAACTCAGGGAGCGAGGCCACTGGAACCTCGCCGAAAACGAGGCCACAAATGGACAGCCCTTCAAGATCAGTCCAGCTGACTTGAGCTGAGTGTAGCTGAGTCAAGCTGAAACACAGCAACATCCAAATTCATCCAAAGAATCCCCTGCAAGGAAAGCACGTGTTGTTGGCAGCCAAGCAACCATTCCTTAATGTTGCGGACATCTTCCGTGGTGGAGGGGTTGAACTCGCACAGAAGGTGCTCTCTTCACTGGTGCACAATGCTCTTGTCGCTACCGGCTTTTGCGAGAACAAAACACACCAGCGCAACAGGATCGGGCAATTCAACACCCTCTTATCTAAACACATATTGTTCAAACATCAAAAACCTATTGCTTCGAACACATCATACCATACCGAGACACCCATTGTTTCAAGGAGCCGAAATTGGCCTGGCTGTTTAAGCACGTGTGAGCGGCAATCAAGCTGGTCAAAAGGGTGTACGCAAATCAATCTAGAATCTCAAGAGCGGCCGCACCTATCCTCAACTCACTTCCTGAGTGGATTGGCCAAAAAACACTTATTGTTTACCACTAAAGTGAGTTTCCCAAAAAGCTTAGAGTCCGAAACGGAACTCAGGGAGTGAGTCAACAACCCGGGATTTGATTTGTGGCTCAATCTACCCCAGTGCGAAAACATGCGCGGATCGGCGGCATGGAGCGAACACTCGGGCAGGGCGATGGGCTTTCTTCTTCGAAACCTGAGCGGGGAAGTAGCTGGGTGGCTGTTTTGGTTGAGGCTTCCCTGTCTTTTGTAGGGAACCCTTGTCGGTTGGTGTTGAGACCAACGTAACAGCAAAAAAACATTTTAGGGAGGTCCACCAAAAAAAGGCCCCCCCATGGTTCGTTGTTTTCCACGTGAATTTGCAGAGTACATGGCAATTGATTTCATGAATGAATGTCATGCTGAATCCTTTCTAAAATGCACGCCAACCCATGTAAATCCTAATGGAATTCATGTTGAATGCCTCCTGAAATGCATGCTAGCCTATGCAAATCTTAATGCGCTTCATGCAAAAGTTGTTGGCCCAATACTACTTTAGAATTGGCCCAAAACTAAATTAGAATCCACCCCAAACAAAATAGGAAAAACATGCCCGCCCGTGCAAACCCTCATGAATTTCCTTCTCAATCCCTCTTGGAAAACATGCCAGCCCGTGCAAACCCTCATGAATTTACTTCTCAATCCCTCCTAGAGTGCATGCCAGCCCATGCAAACCCTCATGAATTTCCTTCCCAATCCCTCCTGGAATGCATGCCAGCCCATGCAAACCCTCATGAAATGCATGCAAAAGTTCTTGGCTCAATACTACTTTAGACATGGCCCAATTCTAAACTAGTATTCCCCCAAAGCAAAATAAGGAAAAACAACATGCCCAATACTACTTTTGAATTGGCCCAATTCTGAAGTAGTATTCGAAAACCAAAAAACAGAGCCCAATACTAAACTCCTTTAAACAAAGCCCGACCCTGAAACACCTGAGGAAACCAACAAAAAACCAAGAAAAGCTGGGAGACAAACCAACTAAAAAGCTAAAAAAGAAACGAGTTGCGCCGGACGTTCCCTGGTTAAACCACCGCTCCGGCAAACTCGCCTGCTATCAATGGCCCGGTCGCTTCGCCGAGAACCTGAACTCCTCCTCGCGCGCCAGGGGGAGGAGGGGGGGGTGTTTCTTGGTTTGCTTCTGTTGCTCATAGGCAACATGTACAATGTGCAGACATTCCGCTGCCATTTGGTTCAGAGCGTCCTCGGCTCGAACGAATCGTGCATCGTGACATGGCGCGGCTCTGGCAGCTCTGGAAGCAGGGACACGAAGGACATACGCAGCGCGCGTCGGGCCAACTCAGCCTCCTTCTGAAGCAGACGGCTGCCGCCGCCCTCTAAGAAATCGGCCAGCAGCAACAGATATTCGTCCATGAAGTGGTCCAGTCTGGCGAGCCGCAGCTCTCACGAACAGTTCGACACAGGCGGCCAAGTAGACACAAGAAGCGAGCGGAGACGCACTGGTCGTACTGCCCCACAATGATGCTCAGCATGTGCTGCAGCAGCAGCAGCAGCAGCAGCAGCAGCTGAATAAGGGCCACAGGTCGCGCTGCTTGCAGCGGCAAAGCGGCGAGCGCGGTGCCGCGTGAATGAGCGGCCTGAACCAAGGTGTTCACTTCTCGCTGTAAGGCGTCGTCAGACGCTGCGCGCGTGTCCCAACGAGCAAGATCATCGACGGCGTCTGTGTCCGTCAGCAGTGCCAGCTGTGTCGCTCGCCCCTGCTTCAGCTCCGACACAAAGTGTGCAGAAGCGATCTCGGAGCTCAGCAAAGACACTTCGTTGAATCTGCGCACTGTCCGCCCATTCTGCGTGCCGCCCTCTATCTCAATAGTCTCTACGGTGTCTTGAAACAAAACTTTGCGGTGGGCTCGCAGCGGCTTCGGCGAGGCCTGTACTGGCGCTCCCGCAGAAGCCTGCACTGGCGAAGCCTTCAAGGCTGGCTGGAGGAAAGATAAACGGACACCCTGTTCGTGGAGAATGTTCGGAGCAATTTGGAGAAAGATAAACGGGGCAAAGGTACCCCGCTGAGATCCGTTCTTGAGGCTCGGTATCCTTTTCCAAAGGGAACCAAAAGTCCAGGGGCAACTTCCAACCATTCTTTCCAGGAATCCTTCTTTCTAGAAAACCACACACCCTGGGGAAATGGCTGGATTTTGAAAAGAGCGATGGCTGAAAAGAATGGGGAATCAACCCCTAGAAAATGGAAACCATTTGGGGGTTCCTCGTGGCCAAATGGACGTCTCAAAATGTTGGAGCCTCTGGGCGATTGGCTTCAGAATGGTTGCCATCCCGAATTTGGGTGTTTTCTGTGTTGCCCTGAGCTGCGCCTATTAAGGTGACATGACATGTCCTATGTTGAGACACTTCCATGGTGTTGCTCCAACACAACACAGCAGCAGCAGCAAGTAGAAGCAAGAGAAGAAGGAGAGCCACATGGGTGCCAGGGATGGACCAAGCCTCGTGCTCCCCGGAACCTCAGGCCCCAGCCAAGACGTCTGGGAGGCGTCCTAAGTCTGGAAGCTAAAGAACTCGGCCGAACTGAGACTTTTTTGCTGAAAGTTGAGTCAGGGCAAAATCCAGGAACCCAGCAAGGAGGGCAGAAGCAACTCAACAACCAAAGAACCAAAGAACCGAACGACACCACAAGCAGCAAGCAAGAACCACTCAACAACTCACAACGCCTGGCTTTGCGAAAAAGTTCATTAGGGCACCCCCGCTGGGCCTGTAAACAGGGAAGAGGAGCCGTCCATCGAGTCCTGGGAGTCCGGCCTCGTCAAGGTCTCCAGGTCTCGGCCTCTCGAAGGATTCGCTGACCGCTTTTCGGAAGGAAAAGAACCGCCGGGGTTCGTCCCTTCAAACAGGGGACACTGGATTTCCCCTTCAAACGTTGCAGGTTTCCGTTATGGTTTGATCGCCCAAACCAAGCCACCAATCAGGGCTACTTTGCGAAGTTTGTCCGTTTTGACCGCGTGTCCTCCATTTCCTGCTTTGGAAAATAAACAGCTTCAATGGACACCGGCAGTCAATTGCAAGCGTTTGAAGGGGAAATCTAGTGACCCCCGTTTGGAATCTCCGAAAGTGGTTTGCTTTGGTGGTTGAGACCTTAGAACCTTTCTGAGTTGGTGGCAAACGGAACTGGGGTTCAAATCCTTAAACCACGAATGCACTGGCTAAGGGATAGCTGCTCAAAAGGAACATGGAATAACAAGAGAGCACCCATGTGCCCGAGCCGATATGCCAAGAGTCAACAAAACGTTAAGCAGCTGTTGCAACGTTGAGGTCAGCCACGGATCAATGCACTTGACCTGTCCCACCTGCTGTGGGGTATGATGTCAATCCGTGTGTGTGTGTGTGTGTATATATATATATATATATTTGCACGATTAAGGACGCCAGTTGCTTGAAGGCTGTACATCAGCAAAACATGAATTTGGTTCAGAATATGAGGCAACCAACAACAAGGCGCCAGGGGCACTTGTCAGACGTGCCGAATGCTTCTGGAGTCGCTAGGAGGGGGGGTCCAAGGAAGGGTTCCCTAAGGCGCTTTAAGAAACCCTAAAAAGACCCAAGAGCAACGCGAAAGGGGCCCTCAACTACCCCCCTTCTGTCAACTTCCATCAAATCTGGGTGAATTATGAAAATTTCCCCAGCCGGAAATATGGTGGTAGGGATATTCCCCACGTAAACCACCATTTGGGGTGAATTCGGTCGTGTGAGGTCGTGAGAAATCACCCAGAGGCTCCTGGCTTCGGCTTTCCATGGAAGACCCGACCCCTCCATTAGACAATTGATCGAATTGGAGCGTCGGGCAGATCAAATGCCGAAATCGCCGCGCCTTTGTCTTTGCTAGGGCTGGAGAACTGCATCGACACATTCTCCTTGCCCTGGCCTGCAGCCTCCCAAGTGCGAGACAAATCCACGGCACGTCTCCCGCATTAGCTGTGGATGGACGAAGTGAAACCATGGGAAACAAACCCTGGTTTTGTTGGCATTTAACAGCGGAATCATCGTTCCAAGCAGGACACCTGTCAAAGGCCAACGTCGGTCTCAGCGGACTCCGCGAAATCCGCTGCCCGGCGCCTCCTTCAGCTTGCTCTTTTGCTGGAGCGCCTCAGTGAGCAGGAAGCCTTTCACACCGCAAAAGCAAAGCTAGGTCCTCCAGGGTACTGCAGTCGATTTTAGTGGGGGACCTTGGGCCCCAAGAGGTTAGAATAAGTCTACCAACTTTTTTTCCGTAGACTACTTTAGTGGGGAACCTTCCCAACCAAAAAACAGACACGGTAAAAAAGGGCGCCTAGCTGGGGGACCTAGAAAGGGATGTATGAAGATGGGGACTCAATGGTCACTTTCCTATTCACTTGCTTGTTCCAAAAACACGCACACAGACACTTAGACACTGAGACACTGACACGAACAAAGACACAGACACACAAACACTCACAGTGACACAGACACACAAGCACACGCCCACGCGCACACGCGCACACAGACCCACAAACACTGACAGTGACAGACGCAGAGACGCACAAACACACGACACAGAAGGACCGACGGCCCCGAACCGAGCCGTGAGCAAAAGACCAAAGCGGGTGCCCCCAATCCACATGCAAGGCCGGTCATAAGCGAAGCTAAACGACAACCCCCCCCCCCCCGACAAAACCATTGATCCGCGTATGTATCCCCTTATTTTGCTGGGGAGCCTGTGCTGGACATCGCTTGCATGGGGAGTTGTGTCCACCAAGAATCTGTGGAGAGTGTGACATCATTCCAGTCTTGTCTGATTCAGAGAATTGCCCAGAGATCATGTAATATGACAATGGTGTGCAGCCCGAAGAAAATCGTGACACATATCCATGTGACACGCAAGCGATTACTTGAGGATAGGTGTGGCATTTGGGGTGTTTTTTTCCTATTTGTTGGTTGGGCTCCTCCTGTTCTCTTCAAGCTAACTTGAAGTCCCCGAAGCTCCCCCAAAAGCATTTCACTCTCTTTAAAGTATGGTTCTGCTCTCATCCCAGAAGTCCTTGCTACTGGAGTCACCCTCCCCCCCCAAAGCGGCTCCACGTTTTGGGGGGGGAAACCGGAGGCCCTCCGGATTTGTGGTCTTGCCTCGGTGTTCCTCTTGTTTAAAAGAACCACCCAAAAGCCACCCTGGAAAATGCCATATCTGTGTAACTGGCGTGACCAACGGTAGACTAAGGAGCAACAAAATTGGTCAGTGACTCCTCCAAAAAGAACAAGTGACTGCACCCAGTGAACAGCAGAGAAGTCCTCCCCCCAAGCAAAAAGATTGGCAATTCAAGACACCAAACAAAACAAGCCCAGGTATCCCCAACCCTCCTAAGAAGCTGGGCTTGTTTGGTTTTGATTAGATTGAAACAAAACAAGCCCAGGTATCCCCAACCCTCCTAGAAAGCTGGTTTTGCTTAGATTGGTATTCAAGAAACAAACCAAACCAAACCAACCAACCGCCCAATAAGCCCTCCACAACCCTCCGGAACCGCTCCTTACAACCTCCGTTTGCGTTTTCGTCCCCTGGAAAAAATAATAAAACATATGGCCATGGGTCAAAAGCCCGTACCGCGAGTGAACATCCCAATCCCCACTAAAATAGACTAAAATGGGTGGTGCACCTACCCCAAAATGGTACCATTGGTTTTGACCAAGAGACATATGTCCAGTAGTGAAATTGATTCCCTTTATAACCAAGAGAAAAAAACACAAAATATTCTTAAATGGAAGCAATGGCTTTGCATGGGTCCATGGGGAAACAAAACACATTCTTAACCAACAAATCGATTCCCTTTTATAACCAAGAAGAAAAACAAAAACACATTCTTAACCAAAAAAGCGATTCCCTGTATAACCAAGGGGAACAAATCAACACATTCTTAACCAAAAAAGCGATTCCCTGTATAACCAAGGGGAACAAATCAACACATTCGTAACCAAAAAAGCGATTCCCTGTATAACCAAGGGGAACAAATCAACACATTCTTAACCAAAAAAGCGATTCCCTGTATAACCAAGGGGAACAAATCAACACATTCTTAACCAACAAAGCGATTCCCTGTATAACCAAGGGGAACACATCAACACATTCTTAACCAAAAAGCGATTCCCTGTATAACCAAGGGGAACACATCAACACATTCTTAACCAAAACAGCGATTCCCTTTATAACCAAGGGGAAAAACAAAAACACATTCTTAACCAACAAAGCGATTCCCTTTATAACCAAGGGGAACAAATCAACACATTCTTAACCAAAAAAGCGATTCCCTGTATAACCAAGGGGAACAAATCAACACATTCGTAACCAAAAAAGCGATTCCCTGTATATCCAAGGGGAACAAATCAACACATTCTTAACCAAAACAGCGATTCCCTTTATAACCAAGGGGAAAAACATCAACACATTCTTAACCAACAAAGCGATTCCCTGTATAACGAAGGGGAACACATCAACACATTCTTAACCAACAAAGCGATTCCCTGTATAACCAAGGGGAACACATCAACACATTCTTAACCAAATGGACTTCCAAACTGCGACTTCACGCCCCGACGCCGGTTCGCCGAAGCAGCCGTCCGGCCTTGGCCGCCTCCACCGCGGCGCGGCGCAGGGCCTCGCGGGCGTTGCTGGGGCTCGTCTCCTGGAAGCGCCAAAATCGGATCGAAGACGCGAAAGCAAAGCTTCCAGTTGCAAATACCGTGGATGGTCGCGAAATCCAAAAACCACTTTGAAAAATGGGAAACATTGTTTGTTGGTATTTACAGGGGAATCATCATTCCAGGGCAGGATTTCGTCCATCATAAACAAGAAACTCCAGTAGTGATAGTTTTTATTTAAAGCCAATGGGGAAAATCAACAATACTCCTAAGCAAATGGAGAAAGCAGGCTGCTTCGCAGGGGTCGCCAGATTTCCACCTCGCAAGTGGAGTTCATTTTGCTGGTGGGTCCAATGAAACGATCGCCACTTTTGGAGGTCCAAAAAGGGGAAATGGAGGAGATCCGGTTTGTGTTGATCTTCATTGTTTTTCTGCCATGGTTCAAGGGCTTGGCCCAAGGCTTCCACCACCCTACCCCCTTCGGGGATGCCCCAAACCACCGGGACCCAGAAAAAAAAGTTGCACCGCATTCGGAGAGTCCGCGGAAGCCATTTGGGATATACAACTAAGCCACGGGTGTATACCCCAATGAAGCCTCAAGGGCTAGCTTGGGGGTTATTGATGGGATCCAATTGCCTGTGGGTCAAGAATAGGTACCCAAAATGGGCTGCCCTGAATGGAACCAAAGACTAAAACCTGCGGTCCGATTCCTGGCTTCATTTATGGCCCACACCCAATTTGTCTGCTTGGTGCCTGGGCGAAAGCAATTCCCTTTCGCTGGTGCCGTCGACTTTCACCCAGGCCAAGCTAGCGAGCGAGATCCACTTGAGATGCCTGCGAAGACTCCCTGGAAAAACTGTATGTGAGAAATGGCCTAGATCTCTGACCTCATTGGGCCGTGAGCCTTCCATCGGATGGTCTGCTTGGCAAAAGGGCTCTTCAAGCATCTGGTTCACATTCAAAGTGCATACCCTCTGCTCCAAATACCCTTTTAGAGTTTGAGGGCAAACCCCGACTGCAACAAGAAGAGGTCGGTACACATGCCAAACCTGGGTTTCAAGATAAATATCAACCAAAAAAGGTGAGTAATGTCATTACTATGCCAAACCTGGGTTAGGTTAATACATCACAAAGGCGGGGTATTTGGGAGCAGGGTGGGTATCTATTTTGCCACACGCCTCTTCCTTTCACTCTGAGGCTGACTCCTCCACCGGTGTCGGAGCGGGCACGATGGCCGACTTCGGCATGGCTGGAGACTCCTCCAGATCCGGCCGGAGCAAGGAGTGGGTGGGGTGACTTACACGGTTCTTGGGGTGGACTGAGAAATGAAAGGGAAACCATCCTTTTAGGGAGCTTCCCTTGTTGGAGACAAGCCCATAGAGGCACGACTCCTAAGGTTGAATTTAATCATGCCCTGGAAACTCAGAGGGAAGTGTGCCAACCACTATGCCAAGAAGCAGTTCTCCACTTGGGCAACAACCCACGAGTAAATAAGCCCAGGAGGTACTCCGCAACGTTTCGAATCTCCAGAACCCTCCCTGAAAGCTGCTCCAAACCACTCCAGAGCTTTCTGGGCAGAGACCCCATAGCTTTCAGCTGCTGGGGGAAAAGGACAAAACTTTGTCTGGCCTTCCTGCCTGCCTGCCTGCCTCTCTGTTGGTTGCTGACGTGTGTGTTTGTTGCAGCGTTCTTCCAACCATTCCTCATGAAACCGTGTCTACAACCTCTATGAACAAGTGATGACGCTTCCGTGGCCATACTATTTGACCTTCACACAGTGCATAGCAAACGGCCATGACACATATTAGATCTATAGTCTTTCCGCTTGCCGTATCTGCAACGGACTGCAAGTAAGCCAGCTGATACAACTCACATCTGCCACTGTTTTTTTTTTGTTGTTGTTTCCGGTTTGATGCCCAAAAAGGAAGAGGTGTCTTATCAAAATGAGCGGCTTAAGTCGTTACAACAATGGCCAATGCCCCCCCGCATCCGTCGTCCAAACACGCTGCGCAAACCTCGCACGGAAGGAAATACAGTCTAAAAAGCCCCGTTCCAACCTTTCCAACATGCGGAAACTGGAAGAAACGATGCCATTTAACTGTTGCCTTTCAAAACACTGGCCAACTAAAAGACGCTTGCTGACCAGGACTGGGCTTCAACGTAAGAACGTTGGACGCGGCATAAAATTACAAGATGCTCAAGATCCAACAGCAACCCACACCCGCTGCATGGAATCTGGACCTGGATTTCATCAACACATGCTTGGTTGGATTTCAACCACTAAACCGCAACAAGCAAAAATGTAAAATGTGTCCCAACAACAACCATGAAAACAGGGGGGCTCCCAAAAAATGCGGTGCCCTTTTTGGTTTGCCAAACCAGCCCAAAGGGCACCAAATTTCCGGAAACCTGGGGCCCGCGCCGGCACTCGCGAAGCTTCTGCCAAAGACTGCCAGTACACCTCGTGCTGATTCCTCTCTGGTTGCCTTCATCAGGGATCCTTACATCATACACCTGAACATTGCAACTTGTACATGGTGGTGTCCAACTTCATTTTGGTGTTGAAAAAGCAACATGTTTCAACTGGTCGCAAAATGGAGATCTTTAATGGTGGTTTCCAACTTCATTTTGTTGAAAAAGCCACATGCTTCAACTGGTCGCAAAATTTGGAGATATTTTAGCAGCAACATGTTTCAACTGGTTGCAAAATGTTGAAAAAGCACCATGTTTCAACTGGTCGCACAAATTGGAGATATTTTATCGTTTCAACTGGTCGCAAAATGTGTATCTTTTATCTTTTAAGGAGCCCTAGTTCATTTTCCTTTGAAACAACACCAAAGGATCCGAAGAACTTCTCGCTGGGGGCCCGGCCGCATCTGCAGCGACCTGCCGAAAAGGAGACGGAGACGCCGCGAGGCGCTGGAGTCATGACATCGAGCCGGGAGTTGAACTGGCGGAATCAATGGGTGTGGAAAATTAAGACGTATAGACATCAGAGAGAGAGGGAGAGGGAGAGGGAGAGGGGGAGAGAGAAAGAGAGAGAGAGAAAGAGAGAAAGAGAAAGAGAGAGAGAGAGAGAGAGAGAGAGAGAGAGAGAGCGCACCCCGTCTTAGTTTCAAGTTTCAAGTGGCTATTTAGAAACCTAGCAAAAACGCCGAGTCGGTGAATACTGTGGATCGACAAACTCCTTTTGGCACTGGCGGTGTCCAAAACTACGGGGACAAGCTTCGACCCTGCCTCAAACAGTTTTTCGGTCACCCCAATGTGGAATGCCCGTTTTTCCTTTTTTTGGACGCTGGGGGGAAGGGAGGGGAGGGGGGGGGAGCCCAAAGGCCTTTATCAGGGCTTAACAAGGTGTTTTTTGGGCTCCCTCCCCCTCCCCTCCCTCCCCCCCAGCCATGAGTTCCGTTGGTCCGAACTTCATCCGTCTTTCCGCCAAGGTTTCCACGGGGTGTTGAGAGCGCGGGTCCCGGGGGCCGAATCACCTCAGTGGAAAGAGACAAGCGCCAGTGGAATTCTCAAACCTGAAATGGTCCACCTGGACCCTCAAAGAACCCTTTAAAAATTGGGTAGTTTGCCGCAACATTCTGGGGTGAACAATCACCGTTTTCATGGGTTTGGAGGGTCCAGGTACCCAAATGCCAAGAGTTGATCTTTCGGGCTTGACCAGAAGCGATGACGGAAGCCCCCTTTCCTTCTTAAGTCTTTTGGCTGGCTGATTTGCAATTGAAAAAAACACCTCAAACAAAAAAACATAGGAACACAGGGAAACCACAACAGGGGATCCTGGCGACCAAACCCATCTGAAACCCCGCCTCGCGGAATTGCCGGTGCAGGTCTTCATAGGCCTGCTGCCTCGAACGCGTCCAGAGTTTGAACCCCCAACTGGCGCTGCCCCCAACGTGCGATCGGTGCGAGAGAGCGGCAGGGAATGAGAAATGGTGTCTGACCGCGATTGAAACCATCCAACTGGTGGTTTCCGTTGTTCGGGAATCGCTGGGTGCATTCCATTTCTCATTCCCTGAGCACCAGCAAGAAATGCCGCTGTCCCTATTCGCAAAGGGGGGAAACCACAGCTTGGTAATTCTTTCAATGGGAGCCCAAAGGAAATCAACCATCTTCATGTATCCATGGGCCGTCTCAGTTCCTTCTTGTGTCCCAAAGCCACCAATTCAGAACGCCCAGGGGAGGGACGCCGGAAGCCCCAGGTCCCGGCCGTATCAAACTTTCTGGTGCGATAGGGAATGACGGGAATGAACCTGGGGATTCCCAAGGCAACCATGGGGAATAGTTTCTAGGGTCCATTTCTCATTCCCTGCCTATCGCACCAGCAAGCCTTCGGCCTTCGGCTTGGGGTCTGGGCATGTCCTTTCTGTCCCATGTTCATTTCAAACACTTCAGTCATGGTGTTGGCCACAATTGCACCAAGCTTTGTTTGGGGCACAGTCAAATTGGAGGCCCCGTACAGCTTAAGGCAACTTCAAGCCTGGAATTCCAATTCCGGGTCATTAAGGTGACCCCCCAAAACAGCAAAACGTGGCACTTTCAACAAAAAACACATCGTAGTTGTTTTTTTTCTTTTGAGAACCAGCATGCCACGTGTGCGATAGGACACATCCAGTCGAGATTCGCCTTCCCTTCGGCTTCCTTTGAAGAAAAAAAAACCAAAGGAGAGCCAAACAACCCATGTTTGAGGGTGTTCTCGTGAAAAACTCACAGACTCACAACCAGATTGTGCTTTTGAATCCTCCCAGACACTCCGGTGCCCTTGTTTTCATTATTTTTGTTTGGGGGGAAGCCCTCTAAAATTAAGTATGCAACAAACAAACATCAGTTGTTCGTTGTTGGCATGGAAATCCACGGGTCTGTCTTGGAACCTGGGCGATATCTACACCAAAGCCTCAACTCATTTGCGTTGCTTTTGGGCCCAGGGCAAAAATCGACCTACATTTCCAGGAGCGAACTTGATTCCCAACAAAGCCCAGCAAATCACCTGTACACTTTCTGAATTTCTGAATCTTTCTGAAAAGAAAAGAGAAGATTTCACCCAAATCCCAACAAATCCGTCGACAAATCCCGACAAAAACCTGTACACTTTTTGCTCTCGCCGCAGAAATGGTTTCAAGGGAACACACGTCCATCCCATGGGGCCCATGGGGCCCTGGGGCTCGGGCAGGCGGTGCCCGGCGTCGTGCAGCCGCAGCAGCTCCTGGCGCGCCGCCTTGAGGCCCCCCGCCTCGGTGTTCGGTTTTTGGCGGAACAGGGCTCCCTATATTTCCCCTTAAAACATCACCCCCACCAAGGGCTACTCACCTTTCATGGACCAAAAAGGTGGTGTTGAAAACCACCAAAAAGGGGAAATATAGGGACCCCTGCCGAATCCCCCCTACCTTAATGTCAAGGGGGGGAGGGGAGGGGTTGAGGGAGCCCCAAAAGGCCCTAGATAAGGCCTTATTAAGGGCTTAAGGCCTAAATATTGGGCTTCCTCTTTCGGGATTTCCGGAAAACGGAACCGGGATGGGTTAGGGGGCATTCCCTCATGAAACCGCAGGACAAAAAGGATCTCACACCAACCGTGGCGAAGGCGTTGCTTGCTTGCTTGCTTTGCTGCTGGTTTTGATCGAGAACGGTGGAAAACAACTAAATGTAAAAGGTTGAAGGGTAAGCCAACTGCGGCAACAGTTGTCTCAGTTGCGCAAAGGACCTGGAACTAAAAGGTTAACCTTTTGGCGCCATGACTAAATATGGACCAAAATGGGAAAACTAAAAGGTCAAAAGGTCGATTCGCTTTGAACAACTGAGGTTGTTGAACCAATCAGAAGGATTGCCATACGGCTCACTGAAGGTGAGGCCCCCCGCAAGCACATCTCCACGATGGCGGAGGTAGTGCACCTGGATCAGCGCGGATCCGGACTCGACGCGGAATATGGATGGCTCATGGGAGACCAACACGAAACCGAAAAGCTGCCTAGAAAGCCACCGATTGCTGTCGTCCGGATGAAACGAAAGGCCCATGATAGTCAGAGGTGGTTCTTCTTGATCGTCCGTAGGGGATCCCTCAGATGAGTATGGTCCGGCAAGCCAAAGTCAACATGACGCTGTTGCACTTTCGGCAAAAGACTACCCAGTACAGGTGGGGAAGGCATTGGAATCTCCCCAAAGGGAAGCCCGGAAGCCCCTGGAATTTCGGCCGCGATCCCAGCCTCGTCTTCCACGTCATCGAAGCTTTTCCAACCTCATCTCTCGTTGAAGCTGACTTCAAGGCCTTCGCTCGCTCGCTGCCTCGCTCGTGTGCCTTTGGATCTCAGGCCATGGCAGGAAGTATCCTCCAGGTACTCATCCAGCTCCAGGCTTGGGGACCTTAGGCGTCCAAGTCTGCCGCTGTGGGAAGCCAAACGCCTCGAGTGAGCCGTCTGGGTTCTGATCAAACCTGCGGCGATGTCGGCCACTCTGAGCGCTCAGCTCCTCAGTCGCTTTAGACTCACTCATGGCGCTGCATACAAAAACACTCAGACGAATTTGCGTAGCCAAAACGACGGGTCTGGTAGGTGACTATCTCAACTGGAAGTCTCGGTCTCAAGTGATTTCCTGCTTTGTTCTCTGTTTTCTGCCACGGCGCTCCGCTCGAGCCGAGACTGAACATGCGAGCAAAGACACTGCGTATCGAATTACAAGAACCACCAAGCTGATGCGTTTAGCTACTGATGAATTACATGTTCTTATATATAGTTATAAGCGAAGCCAAACGACCTCGCCAACATGAACTGCTTCATTATGGGTCTTTTATACCACTGTTAGCTAACGATGGAGCCCATTCGAAGCCAACACTAACCCACTTCACCCGCTCCAGCTATGGAAACTGAACATGGACATCAACAATCACATGTTTACTTTTGGTGTCTGACTCATTTCTCGTCGGAAGTTGGCCATTCAAACCAAGCAATCAAGCGCCGCAACGGGATTGTTTCTCCATATTGCCCTTCTTATCACGGAGGGGAGGAGGGGTCTCTGGGTACTAAGCTTGACTCCACAAAACTTCAAGCTGCTCATAGCTAAGCAAAGAACTGGATTCGGTACTGGACCATTGGTCAAGTGGCCAGCAACACACGTGAGGGGTTGACTGTGAAAAAACTCGGAGCATACACTTTCTTCATGTGTTTGGTCTATTGGAACCAGCTGTGGCAAATGAACAGCATGATTCTTCTGCTCGAGACAAGCGAGACATTGACATCGGCTCTGCGTTTGGTGAATCCCAGGCAAGCCCCGATAGCAGGCAACTAGGCTTGTCCTCAGCTGGTAAATGGAATCACAGCTCAGAGACGCCACTTGAGTGTGCGCCGCTTTGCTCTTGGAATGTTTGGTTAAATCGAAACTTGCCACGCACACAGCTGAAAGGTAGAAGTGCTTTAGCAGCATTGCACGGACTTGTGATGGTGCTAGTGGCAGTCGCTAGTGGTGCTGGTGCTGCTGATGAGATATGATGAGAAAAAATAGTGATTTCCAGAAAGCACTTGAATCAAACTGAATCTGGAATTAATTCCACAACGTCTTCATGAGAACGATTGGAAAGAGGAAGAGCACGACAATGGCGATGCCCATGCCAGCTCTTCCAGCGATGGCGACTCGGCGAAGGACATCGGTCTGGGTCCCTGACAGAATCCTTGGTTCTCAAAAGGACATGGGAAATTTGGGGGGTCCCCAATGTCCTCCCCAAGTGAACAATAGACTACAAAGAGCTTCGCCCAGTTGCTCAAACCTTGACCAGAAACTTTGTTTCTGCAGCCCACTAAAGGTGAATTGAACCAATAATGATGCAATGAGGGAGCTTCATCAAAATGGCAACGTTTTCCTAAAAGGACCTCAGTGGCGCACTCTGCCCTCTGCTTTAGGTCCTCTCAAACCTCCTTACTTCCGCCGCCTTTAAAAGGCGAAGCAGAAGGAAACGCGTGGCTTCGCCAGCAAGTGAAACAGAAATGAGCGCCCCGGTTCATCCGCAAAGGTTTATATAGGCCTCATGGCCCCAAACCCCGTGGTACCGCCTAGTCAAATGGGGGTGGTGAAAAGGTGCGCAGCTTGATCCTCATGTTGCACCTGCTGCAAACTCCAATGCTGTCCTTTTGCAACTAAACACAATATGTTGTGCTTTTGCCTCTTCACAATATGGGCTTGTCTTCCTTTTGAGGGTGCATGTTTTTTGGTGGTTGTAAAGGGACACCAAAGCGAAAACCATCATTTTGTGGGTCCCCTAAGAAAACCAAACCATATGTCTTTCATGTCAGTGGCTAGTGTTAACTCACTGAGACTTGGCCGAGCGCCCCTTGCAACGGAAAAATCAGCTCTGCTTCAGGTTCGGTGTGCCTGGGCGAATGGCAGGTCGGCCCGTCGGAGGGGCCTTGTCCACTGGGTGAAACTCGCGTTCATGTGAGTCACAATCAAAACCCGGTGTTGAAATGGCCGTAATCCAGAACCATGCTTCAAGAATTAAGAAGGCGGCCGCAACTATTTCTGGCTGGGACTGCCCCCTAACCTTCCTGTAAAGGCGTCAACAGCAGCTAGGAGCTCCCCTTTAGTTGAATCACATCCACCCAATCATCACTTAGCTGACAGTATTGCCAGGGTATCGTCTTTGGGTAGGTCAGTTTTGCAGGTTCATCCTAAAGGCTTTTGGTGGTATTCTTGGTTGATATTCACTCGTGACCTTTCCAGTTCCATCGTGATGAGACTTTTTGCTGTCGCAGGACCAGGACTTGTTTGGGTGGCCCCCGTTTTTTAGTAGGCAAGCAGCACTAGGTCCTCCAGTAGAGAGGCTGGAATAAGGGTACCCTTTTGTCTGTAGTCTATTTTAGTAGGGAAACCCTCCCCCCCAAAAAAATGGTAACAGGGCACTACTGGGGGACCTAGAGCAATTCTCCTCATGGTTGAAGCATGGGAATCCCCCAGGACCAATGTTAAAGGGGCCCATTGTGGCTCGACGTTGCTCTTGTTTGGGGAGCATATCTCGATCGTAGAGGACAGCACCCTCTCAAGCGAACAAGCAACGACTACACTGACAGGGAAAGGGGAACAGAAAACCACGAACCACGAAAGTCAAATATACAGGAACATGGAATAGGGACCATTCCATACATTCATTCAGACTGGCTCGGATGGGTCCTGAAGGTCCATTTGCACCATCTCCCATTCTGAGGCAAGCAACAAGCCAAAGCCAGCCGCATGGGAAGGCTGGGCCTCATGCGTATGTGGCATGAAGAATCCCAAATGTTGTTTTGCGTTGGTTTTCTTTTTGGCCCTTCACAAGGGTACCCTTAAAAAGTCACATACGCATACTCACTTCCTCAGTGGATGATATTACGAAAAGTCCAAACTGTTTGTGAAGCCACTAAGATGGTCTTCCCAAAACGTATATAAAGTCCAGGATCTCAGGGAGTGAGCATGTCATTCCTTTGTGGGTACCCCTTTTTGGTGGTTGCAAAATCCAAAAGGCAAACCACCAATTTGGGGGGTCCCCCCAAACAAGATGCACCCACTTGGGTGGTCGGCCAGCAGGTGGTGATATTCACCTAGTATGAGAGCGTTGGCCTGGTAGAATTATACAATGGCCCTCCAGAAGATAACCTTCCAAACAAAGCCACCTGCACCGAATGTCCCTTTGCTTGTTAGCTTTTGGCGCGCTACTGCCAATTGGAGACGCCGAGCAAACCTGGAAACAGGCGCTTAAGATGCTCGCACAACTCCATTGTGGATACATAGAGGTTATGACCTTACTTACCAACCACTTATTTGGCCGAAGATCCAACTGGCTGTGGCTCAAAAAACCGGTACCAAAATGGGTTGCCCTGGTAAGTGGAAGCATGGACCAAAACCAGCGGTTTGCCCCTCCTGTTTAATTTGGCTGTGGGACATGCTGTGGGTCAAACATGGGTACCCAAAATGGAACCTTGGGAAATGGAACCCACAAAAACCGGCGGTCCGATTGGTGGCCTAATTTTGACCCAAACCCATTTTGAGCCACACCCAAGTAGCCAGGGGGCCCTGGATCCCCGAGCTTCCTTCCGAGCGGCTCTTGGTCTTGCGCATCTCCTCTCTGGCTGCAGCTCGTGCCAAGTCCTGGCCGCCGTTTGGGGTAGGCGGGTTCAGTAGGGCACCTTTTGGAGAGTCCGACATGCGCGGCCCGTCTCTTCTTTTCAGATTCTTGCTTTCTCTTTGTGTGTGAAATGGAATTCCGAAACAAGTGGACTGTCCCTTCTTGTCTTTTTGGGGTGAGGGGTGAGGGCTGGTGCCTTTGTTGAGGGGAACCTGTTGGTATCTCCAAATGGTCACTGAGAGGCTCAGGGGAAGCCTACTAGCTTGGTTCGCCATGACGCCTTTGCACACTCCTTCATCTACCAGGGTTTTAAGGACACTCAGTTGCTCTGTTGGCCACCATGGTTTTTTAGGGGGGACCCCCCAAAATCGTGAGTGTTCTTTTGGTTCCCCTTAAAACCCCACCAAAAAACGGGGTCCCACCACCGAAAAGACAAACCCATGTTTGCTTGGCAAAGACTGGTGCGCCATGGTGCGCCTCTTGCATCCCTGAGCAGCCGCGAGGGCAAAGCAGAGCCTGGCCCGCATTCGGAAGCGAGGGATACGTGGGCATGTTTTTTTCAGGTCGGATTCGGGGAAAACCCAAAATGACAGACACCATTTTTGTTGGGTCCCCGCACTTTGACTTTCAAACCCATTGGGGTTTCAGGGAACACCGAAACACACCAATTTGACACAAACCTGGGGTCTTCCGCCGAGTGGCTCGTACTTAGGTCCCCCAAAGTATCCTAAGTGGGGTTTGCCCAGTGTGTGAGCCTATAGAACCTGCAGGGATCCGGGTTCACCAAAACACGGCAAAGCAGACTCTCACACGTGCAAACGAATGTCTGCGCTTGGGAACTCCTCTCTGTACAGTGAACATGAATGACCCCTGGCCTTCGCGCGGAGCGCGCGAATTGCTCTGCCCTTCACAGCACCTGACGCCATTCCAGGTGGAACAAACTGAAGCTGTGGTGCTTCGGCGATGTTTGTCGGAAACGGACCCCGAACAATTAGGCTTCGGCCAGGGGAAACCATCATACCGAAGCGTTACCCACTGTTGACCCCTCAGCTTTGCATCAGGTTGTCTTTTTCCCGCCCTGATCAGTCATTGTGTGGTGTCAACATTGTGTCAACTGCCACAGGGATTGGAGCAGCTTGGACCCCATGGCTTGTGCCCTCCCAACATGGGAAGTGATTTACGTTGTCCGAGCCAATCCAAAGGGAAAACAGGGAAACCACTTTGCCAGCTGGGCTGAAAGAATCCTATGAGACATGCCCAAATACACAAAGGAAACAGCTTGGCCATGGTGTCTTACCTTTCCTGGATCCACAAAAGTATGACCCATCCGAAATCAACGACTCCTTCTGCGTGCTTCCTACTAACGGCTTGATTTCCTGTACAATGTCCTGGTTCGCTGGATTCGTTGACCCCTGAGTTTCTACAATGTTCCTGCAAGGATACATCCCAGACCCAAAACCCCTTGCTCAACAAGAGCTTGGTTGACGTTGGAAGGGGAGCAACAAAAAATAGGTTTTAGCAGCTAAGTGGGGATTTCCTACTAAACCACAATAAGCAAAAATGTAAAATGGTTCCCAATAACCACCATGAGAGGCTCCAAAGAAAACAAGTGCCACACCCGCCTTCGGGGACCGAAACTCGAACCCGGCGGTCGGGCTCGACGCCTCCGGATGGCTCCTTCCAAAAGCTCTTCCGCCCGCCCTCGCCGGCGATGATGTCCCGGGCGAAGCTGCCATCAGGCGAGAGGAAAGCCGGATGCGCCCCGGCTGCAGGTTGAGAGTTGGAACCACTTTTCAGAGAACATCACCTCGAAATTGGTTGGACTGAATCTTCATGAGCGGTCTCCCTGAAATGTTTGGCTTCCTTTTTGGCTTCCATTGGTTCCCTAATACCAAAAGGGGCATCCACCATTTTGGTGGAAAACCCTGCATTGAAGCAACCATGTCACTCACCACTAATCTCAAAGTTATACCCCTTTAATAGAAACTCGCTTCTCGGGTGTGATCGAACATATGTGTACTGGGGACAATTGGCCCAGAGTCACCCCCGAAGTGGTTGGTTATGGTAGTAATCCCTAGAAAGAGTCAACATAATGACTGGCAACGTTGGCATTGATGCGGGCCAAACCATGTTGGAGCGGTCTCCAACCATTCAAATTCTCCGCGCCACGTCTTCCCTCCCTCGCCACACAAATTGCTCAAGCTTGGCTTGGCCTGTCTCAAACTGGGGAGACCTCTCTTTGGGTGCCAGTGGAAACCAAAAGCAAACCAACCATCTGCAGATGGATCCAGTAAAGTGAACTACCATTTCAAAACCTCACTTCCTGAGTGAACTGGCCAAACAAAGTCCAACTGTTTGTTTGCGACCAACATGCTCTTCCCCAAAAAGCTTAAAACGCCCAGGGACTCAGGAAGTGAGAAACATGTTTGCTTCATTTTCTGCAGAGTGAATTCTGGGAAAAATGGATAATCTCTACTATGGTGGTGTAGAGGGAAACCATTTCAAATAACTCCACTTTACATGAATGACCACCGCGTTTAGCAAGCTATTCTAGGATCCTTGGTCATATGGCGGGGAAATCCCAGTTTTGGGGTCATCCAAGAGCCATCGCCGTCTCGCCTCATCGCCCTTTCTGGCTGCTGGACATGTTTGTCAATGCCGGTCTCGTAGTAGTCCTGCGTGATTCACCACTTTTTGGGGTGTGCATCCCTTGAAATATACAAAAAGTACGTTCAGATTCAGCTTCATGCATAGTCACCCCTGGCATACAACATAGTTTTGGAGGAGCCCCCACCAACCAAGCTTGCGGTGGCTTTTGAGTGCAATGCATCCATCGCGTTGGCAGAGGCTCAAGGCTCCCGATGCTTCCGCTTTGAACTCCATTTCAGTTGGCAACCAAAACGTGCCCTTCAAGGGGAACCAAATCGGGATTTTTTCTAGCAAGCCAAGTCTGTTTATCTCCAAATTCTCCACTCATCGTCCTGGACGCCAATGCAAAACACGGGATCTTTGAACAAACCGCCGCTGGGCTTGTCTTTTATTGGAGTAACAAGGGAAACCAACAGGAATACCGATATCATGTTTATGTCTTTTTGGAGTAACAAGGGAAACCAACAGGAATACCGATATCATGTTTATGTCTTTTTGGAGTAACAAGGGAAACCAACAGGAATACCGATATCATGTTTATGTCTTTTTGGAGTAACAAGGGAAACCAACAGGAATACCGATATCATGTTTATGTCTTTTTGGAGTAACAAGGGAAACCAACAGGAATACCGATATCATGTTTATGTCTTTTTGGAGTAACAAGGGAAACCAACAGGAATACCGATATCATGTTTATGTCTTTTTGGAGTAACAAGGGAAACCAACAGGAATACCGACATCATGTTTATGTCTTTTTTGGAGTAACAAGGGAAACCAAAAGGAACACCGTCATTTGTTTTTTGACTTTTTTTTGGGGGGGGGGCTATTTTGAGACAAACCTGGGATGTTCCCGTCCGCATGTTTGGGCTTCTCAGGCTTGGAGAAGAACTCGTGGGTGTAGACTGCTTGGTCTGCCCAAGCCTCGCTGAAATCAGATGGACGCTGGATCCGGGTGTCTCTTCCATGAGCAAAAGTTGTTTGTTGTTGTAGATCCAATGGAAAAGCATAATTTAAACTCAAAGACTCAAAAGGTGTTTTTTGGGCAATTTGGTCATGATGGTCATGTGCTTGCAAAGGGTATGGGAGAATTCGGGTTCCCCCCTTGATTTTGTCCACTGGATATTTCGAGCGAAGCTCGCATGAGCCACAAGCATAGTCATTGTGTCCCCGACTCACATTGAACTGTGTCAGCAACCGGCATGTTCTAAGAACAACTTTGAGTGTGCCGCATGTCATCCTCTTCATCGTAGATCACAGTATCGACCGTTGCTTATATGTCGTTCATGAGTAACCTGCGCCCTAGTTAGTACTCAAGGGTGTGGGGAGTATAGGGGTTGACAGTACTGATCTGGAGCCAACTCGCAATCAAATGATATAAGCATTTTAATCTCAGACCCGAAATGTCGCAAGCCCTTTGTACTGTGTTCTTCCCAGGCATGTGGCACACATGAATTTCACCACAAGCTTCGTGTTGCATTCAATTGGAACTTCCTTCTAAACGGCTGGAGACATTACGTTTTTGGACATCTTCCAAAGGTGGGGTGTGTTGAGGGAACACAGCCCCACATTCCGTTTGTGCAATTGGTATTTCCTTTGGGACACCTTTTCAACCCAGAATCAACTGGCCCATTTTGCGAGCGGAAAATGTCGATTCAGCAGGGACCCTCCCCAAACAGCAAGTCCCTCCCCACAAACAACAAATCCCCCCACTGGCTCAGACAATCATGACATAGGGGAAGCCCCTGGCATGGTTCCATTTCATCTCCACGTCCCACACCCAGTGGCCACGGAAGAACGAGCACAGTTTTGTTTGGTCGTTGTTTTGTTTGCAAGGGTGTTCCCTCCCAGACAGGGCTGTGGGAATGACCACAGCCCTAAGATACCACAGGGCTAACCCCCCGTTTTCAGGGGGAGATTCCCGAAAGTATCACAGTGGGGATAAACCCCCTGATCCCACCCTGCTCCAAAACAAACTCGACAAAAGGAATTGCCACCCTCTGGAGAAATCTCGGCACACTGCTTGGTTGCCCCTTCAAAGGAAGCCAAAAGGAACCCTCCAGTTGAACACAGAAAAACACACACACACACACAAAAAAAACTAGGCTAGACCTAGACACCCAAACCTAGACCTACACAAAAGGCATTTCAACACACACCCAAAATCAGAAATTCAAAGGCCTAGAGGCCCCAGTGTCGGGGTCCTCAAATTTTGAGACCAGAAAAGCCGAAGCTTCTCTCAGGTCGCCGCAGGCTTCTCCCGCTTGAGGCACGAGAACTCGTCCGCGTTCTCCTGTGGATTGCTGGGAACACAATTGAATGGACCCAAAAACCTTCACCAACTAACCTAAACAGGGATCCGGATGCATTATACACCTGAACATTGCAACTAATGGTGGTGTCCAACTTTATTTTGTTGAAAAAGCCACATGCTTCAACTGGTTGCAAAATGGAGATCTTTTAAGGAGCCCTGCTAATCCCAAGGAACCGGACGATGTGCTGGTCCAGCGCACCCTCCAAAAAGAACAACTCAGACCGCCAGTGGCCAACAAACATGGGTACAATAATAGATGGTTGGTTTGGTACCTGTCTCCCATGACCCTTGGAAAATGGGGTCAGTACCCAAAAGAAAGGGGTACTGACCCCATTTTCAAAGGGTCATGGAGAGTCGAGTCTAGGTAGTTGCTTTTTGGTTAAAGGCTCCAAAAACACAATGGGACCAAAGGGGCACCGGAGGTCACGGCCAGCTTGACCTCATCATTCGCTCCTCCAATGCCTTCTTCTTCATTGCTCCATCTGTCCTCAGCACGGGCGCTAAGGGTCACGAGGCAAGCACGTTGTTCGGTGTCGAGCAAGGAAGTCTGCGAAGTTGCCCCGAATCCCGGGCAGTTGTTGACTCGGTTTACAGGCGATGTTCCAAGGCGAAAACATCAACCCAAACAAACTGTAAACTGGCAGCGCAAAGGTGATGTTTAACGCCCTCCCAGGTTTATGCTCCAACATTCAGATATTGGGAATGGGCATATCTCGAGTCAAAAGAGGCGGTTCCCGACATAACGGGCCTCGCGAAAATTCGTGTTTTCTCGGACTCAACTTAGACTCGGGACGATCTTCCGCAAGGAGGCTTTGGAATTCTATCCTCCACTTGCTTCAAGTCCCCTGCGGGGGGAAAAAAACAAAAACTAGATGTGTCCAGCTTCATAGATTATGGTTGAAACCCAGGGACCAAAACAAATTATTCCGAACAGCAAACTGACAAAATTACTGGATTCCCTTTGAAACCCGATATTACTACCTTAAAGACTAGTTTTGCTTTCCGAAGACCTTTCGTCGCTGGAACCCGGGGCCCCATTTCCTCGTCTCTCCGCGTCGTTCCCTTCCAGTTGGTTAAGAATTCTGGGAAAGCAAAAAATCCAGTAGTGATAAATTCCTTTTAAAACCAACACGGGAAAATATGGTTATATTATTATCAGTATTATTAATACTATTGTTCTTATTATTATGATTATTATGATTGTTAATACAAAGAAACAACTTAAGCAAAAATGGAAGTTCCGCGGTCGTTTTTCCGCGCCTTTTTCCCGAGGCCCCGGGCTTCCGGAGCGCGTCCTGGCGCTCCAAGGCCTTGGCTCTCTTCAGCTTCCGCTCCAGGCCTCGCACAACTTTCGGCGATGTCGGCGCCTGTTTTTGGCTCGCTCTTTGGGTGCAACGGTCCGTTGGGACCCGCCAAAAATTGCATCCCTGGCCACCTGGGGGGTACAAAGGATATGCGAATTAGGGGGACACTTCCAATTCCATTCTTTTCAGGGATCCGAATCTTTTCAGAAAACCATCAGAACCCCAGGGGAGAAAAAAGAACAGATCCGGTTTTTGAAAAGAACGATGATTGACAAGAATGGTTGGAATCACCCCCTAGAGATATGCTCTTATACCTCCCAAAGGCCAGGAGCTTCGGCCTTCAATGGCCCGACCCCTCCATTAGACACCCCGGGAATTGGTGGTTGGGGCCCGGTCTCAAAGCCAGGTTGCCTAAATTGATTGGGAGCAGCTGGGGAGTGAAGAACTCCTGGTATTTTGAAGATACCAAGGGAACATTGACAAAATCCCTGAAAATCAAGAAAAGCGTAGTCCTTTGGATTACTTGGACAGCCTGAGAGAAACCAAAAGGAAACTCACCCGGCGGGAGGGGTGACCTTTGGAGTGAAGAGTCCCCAGGGATTTTGAAGATACCAAGGGGAAATTCCCCAGAACTGCTGGAAAATCGAGAGAAACATCCCTTGGAGCACTGTGAAGATGCCTTATGAGTTGGATTGCAGCCTAACCAAAAGGTTTGGCTCACCCGGATGGACTGGAGAACTTTGAGAAACGCAGATTGTAAACCTGTGTCCTCGGATGGCAACATACCATTCAGACAGCTCTTGCCACATCTCAGGACCATTTTGGTTTTAGGGGCAAGAGTAGATTGCAAAACTTTTTGGATGTGGGTTGATGAAGGGCACTACGGTAGAACTCTGCCTGGAAAAACTGCGCATTCCCAACGTGACCAATCACCCGCATCCCGCTCTCATGCCCCCCAGCCCCACCCCCAAAAAAAACAGACACCCTACCTAGACAGTCCACGACGAATCGTTGTGGTTTTGGGTCAACATTAGTTAAACCACCAAGGGGCCGCAGGTTTTAGTTTTAGTCCTTCTCTTCATTTCCCGGCTTCCACTGTGGGAACCCATATTTCTGACTCCACACCCAAACCATGCGATTCCTCCCATCCAAATAAAGGGACCCTCGAAGCTCTGGTCACCTCGAAACTTAGATACCCAATCTGATGCTCGAAGGGATCAAAAGGCCCCTTTTGACCGCCTATGGTTGGGGTTGTCCCTCACCTTACCTTGCGTTCGCCCAAATATCGCCATGAAATTCGCACCCCCCAATATGGGGGGGGGGGGACTTTGGTTTTCCTTCGGGTTTCAACAGGGATCCTTACATTATACATTTGATCATTGCAACTTGTAAATGGTGATTTCCAACTTCATGTTGGTGTTGAAAAAGCAACATGCTTCAAATGGTTGCGAAATGGAGATCTTCCTTTGTTTTGGTGTAAAAAGCCATATTTCAAATGATCTTTTAAGAAGCCCTGCTCAATCTGATCCCATCAAAACGAGTCCAATCCCCGCGAAGGACGAGGCCCTGGCGCTCTTGGTACATCTTCTCCTTCGGAGCCAGCGGCTTCACCTCGGGCCAGTTCAGGGAGGGAGCTCTGCTCGGGGGGGTCGGTTGTTTATATATATATATATACATATGGCGGTGGGTCAAAACCAAGGGGATCCCATTTTGGAGTAGGTGCACAGTCTATTTTAGTAAGGACCAACCAAAAAAACATGATATTGCCATATGGCTGTGGCAACAAAAAAAACGGAATTACAGGATGGGTTGCCCGATCAGTAAGTGGAAACTAAGGCCAAACCTGCGGAAAGGCCCCTCCGATCGTTCAATTTTGAGCCACACCCAGGTTGTTTTTTGGTATCGCCCCCGCTCGGGGGCCGTGTAATTACCATGGTTTTCAGGGGGGGGTCCGGGGGGGGGGGAATTGGGGTTTATATATATATATATATATATATATTTGACGGGACCCAGAAAACGCAACGGTGGTCCGGCTGGCTTTCCTTTAAAGCCAACAAAGAAGGGGGACCCTTCAACAACAAGACACCCTTTTGCAACCTGTTTGGTTTCGGGTATTGTTTCTTAGATTGGACTGTGCCAGGGCCCTGCCCGCAAAAGGGATCAGTTCCCTTTGGTTGCCCCCCTTTTGAACCTCCAACAGTACCGATCCTATCAACGAGTGGCGGGCTTTGCGAGGCTCGGTAGCCCGAGCCTTAGCTCGGTAGCCCGAGCCTTAGCTCGGTTAAAGGGCGAACCAAAACAGAATACACCAGTCAACAAGAGTCGATACATGGATAAGCCCCTCAGGTTTCGCTTAAAATCAGGGTTGCTGCCAAGACCCTGTCGCAATAGAAGGTTCGTCACATGGCATGATGAGACGTGTACGTGGCTGGTTTCACTTCACAACCCCCCAAAAAGGTACAATCCAACACGACTGGCCGCACATAGAGAGATCCGACCAACTTGTATCGGAGTTCTGGGTTTCGGTGCGCATTAAAGGAAACCGCCTTTCTTGCGCCAAAACGGCCAGGCTTGGGCAAGCCCAGTTCCCTTGTTCATGATTAAACACCTACCTGGACCCTCATTGTTGTTCGAAAAGAATGGATGTTGCCTCCAAAGTATGGGGTGCAATCCCTTTATTCTAAGGGTAGTTTGAGGATTCAGGTCTTCTTTCATCCTCAAGCGTTGGTTCCCGCTATATGGCGGCGTTCGGCTCTGGCAGCAAATTTGGGGCGCTGCCACTCCAGGCTGCAAGCCGAACTGAGCGCGGCGCCCGCGCATCCTTCGCCAAGCTGGCGCAATGTATGAAAGGCGCCCTGGGCACGCGGCTTGCGCGTCGACGGCAAGCTGCCTGTTCTGGGACCCCGATCCGATGGACACCGCTGGACACCGATGCCATGGTAAAAAGGACTCTATAAACTGAAGAAAGGGATCTCAAGTACAGTTTCGCATCCAAGTCCATGAATTTTGGAACTTAGGAGTCTAAAAACTGAAAGGCACCAAGTAAAGTTCTCATAGCTCGGTGCACCCCCGGGTGAGCTCGCCAGAAAAGGCAGACTCCATGAATGACTCGCAAAAAAGCAGGCAGAAAACAAAGGTTCACGTGGGTGTGGCTCAAAATTAAACAGGAGGGTTTACGCAGGTTTTGGTCCATGTTTGCACTTACCAGGGCTCCATTTTGGTACCGGTTTTTTGAGCCACAGCCACGTGGGGTCCAGGAAGCTTTGCAAAAAGATGACGTAGTGAACTGACGCTTGTTCCCGGCAAGATTGCACCGGCCTTGTTGCACAGTGCTTGAATGATCAACCTGCCGCACTGCAGCAAACAATCCATGGGATGCTCAGCTCGTTGTTGCTTTCGCTCGTGCTATTTGGAGATGACCGTACAAACCATGACCGGGGAATGTACTCATGTGATTATGTGTGCGTGTGTGTGTAAATTAGGACCCCCAAAGCAATAGAGGCAGAAGGGTACCAAGCCTCAAAAATACGGGTGCGTGGTTTTTTTTTGACAGAAAACCAAAAGGACAACCTCCTTTTGGGCGTCCCTTTGCGCTATTCTGATGTGCCCATAGTTGCTGGTGGACCCAACAAAAGATGGCTCTCCTTTCGGTTGAAATCGCCGCCAAAACTGGCACCTGAATGGTGGGTTTTTTTTTAGAGTACCCCTTTACCTAGGTCCTCCGGTAGCAAGGTTAGAATAAGGGTACCCTTCAACCCTTCCCCCAAAAAAGTTGATAAAAGGGCACTACCGGGGGACCTAGTTACTGTGGGTTTACAGGGAAACCACTAGGACCACCGAAGCCATTTTGGTGAGTCCAACCTAAAAACCAACAGTTCCACGTTTGATCCATCCGAGAGCCAGGCCAGCCAGGATAGGCATCGAACTCCCAGTGTGCTGGCTTGTCGTGCGGAGTGTCGAAGATGCCCCTGACAGGAATTCCTGAAACCAATTTTCCTCCCAATCACTTCCTGAGTTGATGGGGCAAATAAAAATAATAATCTAACTTTCTATTTACCTCTACAGTGGTCTTCCCAAAATAATAAGTATAAAGTCCAGAGACTCAAGAAGTGAGCCCAAACCTCCCTACCCCTTCAGAGATCCCAGGCAGGGTTTTTTGGCCTCCAAGTGGGGGGGTGTTTTAGGTGAGGGGAATTGGTTTCAGCGGTGCACCGAGGCGGACAGGAAAACCCCATTCCCGGCAAGCTATCTGGACATGGGCGAAACATAGGGCACACCCCCAAAATGGAGACATTCGATCGCAAAGAACTTGAAACAAGGACGAAACAAAGCCCCCTGGAGTAAGCTTCACGCATCCGGACACTGAAGGATGACCGGTGATGTTGCCAACGTAGGAACCTCCCTTCGTTTGAAGGGCTGTCGCTGTTACGGACCTAAGTGGATGTTCTGCATGTGGGCAAGAAAAGGGAATATCCAGACCAAGAAGGGGGAATCGGTTCATCTACCTTCACCAAACTGTAGTAGATAACCCAGCAACAGCTGGATACTTCCGGACACATTGCAATAATTCATAAACCGGAAATGGGGAACTCCCCAGCAAGTGGCCTTTGTCATGTGGCTTTGCCACGTGGCGCGTTTTAGCCAACAAATTTGTACCAGCACTGTAGATAACCATGATTGCTGGGGCCGAGGGGTAAAATATACAGCTGCATTCTTCTACTCAGTCCCTCACATGGACCGTTGTTTTCCGGGAAAAGCATGGAAAAACTTAGAGGCTGAGGGGAAGCAGAGTGGAAACGGAGTTGTAGGGGGGTATGATACGCCCTCCAGTGAAGAGTAGTTATTTGTCTAAAAAAGTAAAATAAAATAACTGGCTTGATTCCTGCGTTCCGCGGCCAAGTTAGGTGGTTAGCAACCTACGAGTCAATCTACTCATAAACGTATCAACTAATAAACTTATATTCCCCTGAAGTTGCTAAAGTGAACCCGGTGCGAGTTATAAGCTAGATGTCTAAAACTTGGCGACGTGGCTTTATGAATCCTGGAGTTTCAGTGGTACCCTCTATGTAAACCCTTTCTGTCTCATGGGTTCCGCACTGAGATTGCAACACATGTCAATCCACAAAGGGTCAGCACTGAACCCTAGGATTGAAGCTTTTTCTACCATCGCTATGCAAAAGCGCAACGATCTATATTCATATTTCCTACACCTCAGGAACAGATTTCCAGACGCTGGTCCATCTTTACTCAACCTTGAATTACTGTGGATGGACGCAATCCTGCACCACCTAAGAAACCCTCGAATGATGATGCCCCTGTAAATACGTGCAAGCAATGGTTTCTCTTTGTCTCAAAGTGGTGCAGGATTTTGTCCATCCACAGTATCACGTAACTTGGGTGGAGATCCCAAAGACGTTGACCCTGGGGACAACAAATACACCAATTCTCCAGTAGGCGCAGCGCCCAGCCGAGCACCGCGCATGAGCATGTTGTTCTTCGTGAAGGTGTTGGACGCTTCCCTCGATTCCCCAGGCGTCGACACATCGGCACATGGGGCTGTCTCAAAAAAAAAAAAGGGAGCCACGAAACCTGTTGACCCAGCTTCTGTTTAGTGCCCTCGATTCATTTGTTGGGTGCTATGATCCATTTTGGGCACTCGAAATATGCTGGACTTCTTTCGGTTTGCATTTGGGAGCAACCAAAATGAACCCAAGACAGAAAAAGCAGCGCCCAGAGCAATGCAAGATGCAAAACCAAGAGGACCCAAAACCGAAAGCCAAGGTTCAGCCCAAGCTCAGTTCCTCACTCCTTGCTCAAACCTCCTGTCGGCTCCTCTGAGGGGCATCAAGGTCTTTCTACGTTTGCACACAGTGCCTGGGCAATTCCTAGATTTCACATACCCGACATACGAAGTCCCCGAGAGACCTCATGGGCTTTCGCTCATTCTCCCGAAATTTGCCGAGTACATCCAAAATGACTTCTTGCCCCTAAAAGACAAGGGAGCAGACTTCAACCTTCAACCTTACACCAGGGACTTGACTTTGGTTCTATCATTTCGTTCGAGGGCCAACCTGTCTCAGTCCCCAAACCGGTGAGACGCACGGCGAGCTTCTCCGGTGTAGAAAAAAAGGTCGGTGGCACCACGTCTCAGCCCCCAGGGCAGCGCGTGCTTCGCGCGGCCAGTTCGAAACGCGCGCGTCGAGGCTCCAGCATCAGGCGAGGCGTTGGGCGCTCGAAGTACTCCATGGGCTCGGGATAGTTCCAGGCTGGCCTTAGCTCTCTCTCCCTCTCTCCCTCTCTCCCTCTCTCTCTCGTGTCAATGTACATGTGGTGTGGGTGCGCTTTCGGGAACACTCTTTCTCTCTCTCTCTCCCTCTCTCCCTCTCCCCCTCTCTCTCTCTCTCTCTCTCTCTCTCTCTCTCTCTCTCTCTGACCCTCTCTGTCTCTCTCTCTCTCTCTCTTACCACACCCAGTGCTTCCACCGCCATAGGCAATTCTTCGGGTTTCTTGCCGGGTCTTACATCATGGTTCAGTGCTTCCACGCAAGCCTCTGTAGGTAACCCGGTAACCCTTCAGGTGTCTTACCTCTAGGTCACCCAGTGCCTCCAGGCGTGCAAGCTATAGTAAGCAACCCTTCGGGTTTGCTACCAGGTTTTTACATCATGGTTTTCAACCTGGTTACCTACTATAGTGGGTACTGGAAGCACTGGGACAGAAGCTCGAAGTGCTAGGGGTAACTAAGATTGTAAGAAACCTTCCGCTACGAAAATGGGGAAAATGCTCCTTTATTTCTTCGCTATATGGTGGTTGTATACCCCAGGAAAGCCCTGTGGGTAAAAAAAAACTTAGAAAGATGCTTTCAGTTGCAAGCCATACCAGTTTCAGAGGTTCCAATTTCTGTGGCTTCAAGGGGCTCACCATTTACAGGGGGGAAGCACAACCATTTACTAGAGGCCGCGGGAAACCCACTGCACAAACAGCCATTCGTGACCAAGGGAAACTCGGTGACCAGGAAATGTCCACTTTAGATTGCAATGTGGATGATGGTTGCCCAAGTTACGTACTACAGGTATCGTTGTCTGGAAGCACTGGAAAAATGAATTTCTGGAAAGAAGGCGGCTAAGTTACCCCTAGGCTTTGTGGATTTTCGTCACTCGAGGGGAAAACACACACCCAAACAAAAGGAGCATACTGTGGATGGACGAAATGCTGCACCACCTAAGAAACAATGGTGTCCCATGGTTTCAATTTGGTCCAGCATTTTGTCCATCCGCAGTGGAACGGGTGTATGAATCCACCAGGGTCAACAATCTCTCACTTGCTGGGGACGTCAATTTGGGCGTCTCAAGAATCCGTAGCGATCATGGCATGGCGTCCTTGACTCACTTGCAAACCACCCAAAACGGCCCAAATCCCACACAATACACCCAGCTATTATCCCCAACAACCCTCAAACTGTCTGGAACCCTCGAGAATCCTCTCAAACTCTGGAACCCTCTGGAACCCCTGGAAAAAATCCCCCAAGCCACCCCGAACGAGCCGATTTCTGGGATCGACCAAATCCATGGGTTCCAGCTGGGGAAACAGCTTCACCACACATCGGCGTTAGATCCAAGGGGCTTCTCGGACTGCAAGCTGACTGCTTGCTCAGAGCGTTGATGCGCTTGGCCTCACTGAGCGCATTTGGAGCTTTTGGAAGGCGGGGCCCTTCGCTCAGCCCCCATTTGCCCTATCTGCCAACAGCGTTCCCTATTACTTCCGCAACCATCACCACCTGGTTTTTCTCTTGGTTGTCCTTTGAACAAAACAAAAACCGGCTCCCCTCAAAAAAGACACCCCCCCCATTTAGGCAACACTATGCCGATGGAGCAAAACTCAAAGTCATCCAGTCTAAGCAAGATGCGAGCTCGGATCAGCGCCACCTCTGTCTCGACCCTGCGGGCATTCAATCCCCTCCGTGATCGAGCAGTCACAATCAAAGCCTAGCTGTTCAAGGAGTCCATACTTGGATGTTCAACTGGCTTGGTAACCTACTTAGGAAGTTGGCGGAGCCCCCCAACAAAAACAAATCATAATAAAAAGCAAAAGAAGAAGAACTGCGCCGACTAACGGTGGATCTTCGCGCTTGGTGCCGATGTCTGGCTGTGCGCAACACCCAGCCGTAGCGTGATGTTGGCACGGTGGATGATGCACATTTGGATCAAGCACGACCAAACCGGGTTTTCAATTTATGACGACTGCTTGTAATAGGGCGCAAGGCCAGCGACCGCTTTCCGAGTGGTTTTGAAAATGGCTGATGTCTGTGTCTCTCGGCAGAATCAAACGTCGCACCAGGTATCGTGGGTTGACGCTCGTCTGAGATTCAAATTCAGACAACCTGCAAGCGGACCAATTTGGACTCGGACCCGCGGTCCTGAACCAACGACCCTTGCGCAATCAAAGCTCTGAACCATAGGGGCAGATATATTTTGGTTTCTTCTTCTTTGAAGCATGAATGCCCGACGTTTCCAAGGAGCCCAAAGAGATGGGGCGAAACAGAAAAGCCAAGCAGTTACCCCGATATCAGCCATGGCACAGGTGCTCTGAAGGCTAACTCGCTGACCTGGCGTTCGGCGAACGGCCTCCTCTTCTGGTCTTGCTTCCGTTGCGCAACCTGCTTGTCCAGATCGTTCCTGGGCAACACATCTGGGCAGGAATTTGCTTGGTTGCCCCTTAAGCGGAAATCAGAAAGGAAGTTCATCAGAGATCCTTACATTATACACCTGAACATTGCAACTTGTAAATGGAGGTGTCCCTTTATTTAATTGTTGAAATAGCAGCATGCTTCAAATGGTTGCAACATTTGTATCTTTTAAGGAGCCCCGCTTCCCGGTTGAGGATTCGAGACCCAAATCAGGGAACCCTTACAACTGGGTTTCCCATGAGGTTTCACGGGGTTTTTCGTGGAGCCCTTGTTTCTGTTTGAGGTTTTGTTCAAGCCTCTTCCAGAATCCTTCCCTTCCCCAAGAGGAAACCAGACCCAGAGTTACCAGAATCACCTCAGGTTCCAGCCCCCCCAAACAGGCGCAACGCAAGCCCGTTTCTGGCCGCTCCGTTTGAAGAATCCCCTGCTAAAAGTGACTCACTTTTCGTGGGTTAAATTGAACCCAACCACTAAACCAACTAAAAACCGCCACGATTTCGGAGGGCGTCCCATTTCGAGAGGTCGAGACGCGCACGAACGAGTGACTCGAGTTCCCGGCATGAGCTCCATCCACTCCCGGCGGTGTTGAAGGCGGTCACCCGTCAACTGAGCGTTCGGAGGGAAAATCATGCGCTGTGCAACTGACTTAGAAAGCTTCCATTTGCTTCAGCCCTTTGGGGGGAAGAAAAACACATACAGTATGCTGATAGACTCTGAAAAGAATGCGCTTTGCCAGTAGAGTCCCCGGGGAAATAAATCCAGTAGTGATAGATTTCCTTTAAAACCAACAAGGACCAATAACACATATTACTTTCAGCAAATGGAAGTAGTTTATGACCACGGGAACTGGTGCAACTGGGGTGATCGTCCCATTGTAGCCATGGTTATAACCTACTTAGTTGATTGAGCATCCAAGAAACATGCTGTGTCCTATAAGAATGCTGTGCAGCCGAATTTGAAGAATCTGCTGTTGCCAAGCGCGGGGCAATTCTTGGACAGGAGCTCTTGCAGAATTTCTGCGGCTTTTCACAGTTGAAGCAGATGCCCATGGTCGACATGTGTTGGTCCCCCTACTTTCAGGCCGCGCCCGTGTGCCATGGTCAACCCTCCTTATGCGCTACGGTGGCTGTTCTCAACGGGAACCTTCGCAATGCCTGTCTCAAACTTCTATTCAGAGGTTGACGACCGCCCCAAATACAACAGGTGATTTGAGAATCCCAGGCCTTTCAGTTACCACTGTAGTAGGGAACCATCCTTACCTCTAGGTTTTACTTGATGTTTTAGCTGCTTACCTACAAAAGTGCAGACTAGCGTGGCAACTGGAAGCACTGGGAATGGCATGCATTGCAGTGACTGGCAGGGGCATAGGCCTCATGCTGGAAGAACTCTTTCCGCAAGTCCGGCTCACTCAGAACCTGGCGGCTCATGGCTCATGGTCTGGGCGTAAAATCGGATTCTGACCAAGTTGAACAAACTACGCGTGCCCGCTTGGCTTCCCCTAGGAGCAACTACAAGTAGAACAGCTTATTTAGCACCCACAGTCCAATGGACATGTGAGTTACTGCAGAGTTCTGAAGCAACCCGAAAATTCCGTTCAAATCTAGAGCGGAATCTCTTGTCTTTTGGGTGGGTGAAAGGATCTCTTTGGTGGGACGTCAATGTGCAGGGGGGTACTTCTAAGAATTCATCCGACTGCAAAAGAAAGTGACACCCCGACAAGGTCGCGCTTTCAATTGCGTAGGAGCCCTCTTCACTTGCCGGCCAAGTGCAAGCAACTCGTCCCGTTTGGATGATATTCAAGGGAAAGCGAAAGAAAACCTTTGCCCATTTTGCGGTTGTCGCCTGGGTAACGGTGTTGGGAACGGTTTGGAAGGAAGGTAGGAACGGTTAGGAACGATTAGCAGTCAGGGTTATGGAGTTTTGGGGTAATGGGGCTTTCGTGGCTAAAGGTCTGGCACAGAAGGGGGCCCATTTTCTGCCGGGAAATGGGACTCTCCCTCCTCAAATGTGCTTTAGATCTCGCAAGAAGGACACCCTCAAGCAAGGCCAAGCAAAGCAACAGATTGTTTGCAAGGTCCTCTGCTTCAAACGGTTTGGCGGCTGGCGTGAAGCTGCCTTGTCCGAATCTCCGATTTAGTGCGAAGAAAAACTTGTGAAATCGGTCCTGCAGGTCCGGGTTCGCCTGGCTTTGGGGGTCAACTTTTGCGCCCCAAATTTAAGAAACTTTAAGGGTTTACATGGGCATCCCCCCCTCCCCGGCCCCTCCCCCAGTTAACTTCGAAACGACCCGATGCGGCAAGGGTTAGGGGGGATCCTTGGGCAAGCCAGGCTCGTGGACATTTGTGAATTTGAACCTAGATTGCAAATCTGCTTCCCTCTCTGTGGTTTGGTGCTTTGGTCAAGGAGAGCCCTCTACAAAAGCCAGGGGTTCAAGTTCAAATCCCAAACCACCAATCCAAACCACAAAAACAAACGGGCTACCCGAACAAAGCCACTTCGCACTTCAACAAAAACGAGTGGGCAACCAGAACCGGATCCAAACTTGTTTGCACTTCCATTTGCTGAAGCCCCCTGGTGACAGACTTTCTTTAAAACCAACAGGGCAAAATAAACAAATACTCTTAAGCAAATGGAAGCTCAAGTCACGGGGTTTCAAGAAGCGAGACTTGGCAAAGCGGGCACGGTCAAACAGCACGCGGTTGGACTCGCTGCGCGCTTCCCTTTTCCTCTTCGGCGTCTGTCCAGCTGACAGCCAGGCAGGCAGAGGAGCCCAGGTAGCCTCAGACAAGGGTCCGAGAAAATAAAAAGGAGTACACGGAAAATCATGTCCTGATTCTGTTTCATATTCGCGCTCCTCAAACATAAAGTAGTTTTGGAGGCAGGACCACCTCTGCGTTCCAACCATCGATCCGCTTGTTCCATGTCCAAGCTGGTTCAACTTCAACCCTTCCATTTAAGTGTGCAGTCTCTTCTAGGGGACCCTCCACAAAGGGTGATTTCCTTTTGGTATCCTTGGAAGCCCTCAAGAGGAAACATCCATGTGTCCTAAGAATGTGCCAAGATAGGGGATCTTCATTTTGGTTGCCCCGGCCGCCCTTACCCACAATCCCCGTTCGGGTGAGCAATGCCTACCAGCCCATCAACTGCTTGCTCCGAGACCTTTGGAAGTTCTAACGTGTTGTTTTCTCGACCAATCCCCACTGAATTCATTCAACATCCTAGCCCTACGGGGCAATGGTCGCTCCAATTCCAGGCACCCGATGTTTGTATTTGTTATATTATCTGAGTTCCTGATCGAGGGATCCACCGACAAGCCCCCAGGTGAAAAATACCGCGGTCTTTTGGCCGTGGCACACATCTTTAACCACCATGGCACAATTTGTACCCTAAAAAAGGTTCCAGAGGTTGACCTCCACTTCCTGATGGCAATCGGTGCTCACATGGGTGTGAGTATTAATTGGCCTTCCGGCAGGTATCACGCAGTGGGGATTGTGTCCACCAACCACTTTAGGTGGTGCCCTATTGAAATGCATGGCCACATCGGTGGTTCCAGAATAAACAGCTGGGACTCCGCAAGTCTTACTCCTTGCTTCCGAATACCAAGGTGCCTGCCATTCAGGGTACCGTTTTTAAGGTAAGAGTTACATCCCCCCAACCCAAGAAATGTCCAAGCAGCCTGGTGCCTTCAGCTCTTCCACCGTGAAAGCCTTCGGCTCCTCTGACATTGGGCTCTGTTTACCTTCGTGGTTCGTTGATCCCTCGGCTAAAAATGAAACCTGTGTCGGATACTCATGACACCTCGCTAGAAGTTAAACGCCTAGGGGAGGGCTGGGAACCGCCGAATATTCCTGTTCCCCTGTAAGCAACAAGCAAACAGGGGCTCTTTTACGAGCTGCTTTGCTTCAAGCAATCCCTGAGAAATTGATTGGCTGAGCTAGACTGCGACCACACAGGCACGAAAAGGTCAATCCGACTGCGCTGGCTGATGATAGCCAAGAAACTCAATCAAACAAAAATGAAAGCTGAGGGACCAGTGTTGCGCTTGCGAGGACACATCCTCTGCGGCCCCGAGATCCAACTACAGGGCCGACAGCGCCCAAATGCCGGCAGAGAAAAGTGAGCCACTGCCGTCCTGCTCCGTACTGTCCTGATTCGGCCACTGGCGGGAGTCTCAGGCTGTCACAGCCGCGTTGGTCCGGCCACCCGCGGGAGCCTCAATTTTTTGACTGTCACAGCTGTCCTGCATCGGATTGCCAGCCACTGGCGGGAGCCTCAGGCTTCGGACTGTCACAGCTGTCAGTTCGTCAAAGTAGTGTCTGTGGGCGGGTGGTCGGGCGGTGGATGGTCGGACGTCACTTAAATCTAACAACCCCAAACCGGTCGGGCGGACAGTACACCACACCCCAAAGCCGCCCAAAAAGCAAACAAACACGCGCGTTGAATGGGATATGCAAAGCTTCGGGACCCATCCCGGGATGGATTTCAGGTGGCATACGCTGAATCGAACCCTGAATGGTTTGTTGCCCACGGGAACTGGACCAAAGTGGTGGCAAACACTCATTTGGGTTCGTTTCTCTGCGGATGCCACGAATTTTCATTGGACCCGTAGACATCCCACTGGCCTACCCCCTCAAAAAGAAAACGCGTCGGAGTATTGCAAGAGACACGGCGAAGCCAAGGGCCGTTCTAATTAGAACCAGATTTCGTCATGACTACAAATTATAGTGGTAAGCAGTTTGTATGATGATTCGCCTTAAACAAAAAGCAACGAGCCTACAAAGGACACCAACCTGGTCAAATGTGGCCGGTGAGCCGTGCCCCAATGAACCAAGAATGTCAGCTGTGCATTTCTCCCCTCATTTGAACCCGAAAAGGACATATTTTTTCAGTTTCGGACACACAGGGCCAAAACTGTAGCAGCTTTGCTCGCTCGCTTGGCCTTTCGCCTGCAAAAAGTCCCTAAAACCTAATTCCCACATAAAACTGCAGACTCGCTTGGCCTTTCACCTACAAAAAGTCCCCAAGACCTAATTTTCCACATGCTCCAGTTTGCCACGCGCTTGTCCACTTGACCCGCTCCGGATGGCGCACGAAGCCTCAGATGGGAGAGACATGCGCAGGTGAATCGACACGAAATGAGCCCAACATCAAAACATGGGTGCATGGAAAGGGGTTTTGAGCGCATCGATCTTTTTCATGGGTTCTTTGTGTTGTGTTTTGAGCGCATCGCTTTTTCGGCCTGCTGTTTTTGTTTCTGTTTTCGCAATGCCACAGATATGAAGCCCCCACCTATCGGCGACGCACATCGGACCTCCGACTTCCGAGTCGACCCTCCGACTCGTGCCCGAGCAGCTCCAAAGCTTCAACCTGGTCACGTCCTGAGGTCCAGCGGCCTGGCGCATCACAGACCCGGCATTGTTTGGGGTTTAAACTATAGAAACTAAATGCTTAGGGTTTAGGGTTTAGGGTTTAGGGTTTAGGGTGTTGGGTTTTGGGTTTAGGGTTTAGGGTTGCCGGGTGGAAGAGAAAAATAATAACAATAGAAAAAGTGGGCTCAACCCTCCCCCCCCCATTCGCTAAATGAATGTCGAACGCGGATACTCGGCCAAGATTGGAACCACTGGAGGGGTCGGTCAGATTTTGTTTTCCAGCCTAAGCGAGTGCAGCATCCCGAAAAATATGAAAAACGTCAAAGTGTTGATTCCTCATGTTGTCTTCACCCATCGTTCCTCTCAGAAAACACTTCTTTCCCCCAATTGTCTGAAGAGACGGATCCCCCGGCTCTGGCAGTGCAAATCCACTTGGTGTATGAGTTTACCGTACACATTGTAGATTGAACACATGTATACTATATATTATATATGAATACTTAAACACATTGTATGTGTATATATATATATATATGTCATACGAGAACCACACGGGCACACACACACGCACACACGCACATGACACGCGCGCGAACAAATTAAACACTCACTTCCTGAGTGGACGGGCCAAACAGAGTCCGAACTTTTTCACCGCCAATATATATATATATATGTGTGTATATATATATATATATGTGCTCACCCCCCCCTGCATGACCTACCTTTTTAGCTAAAAGAAACAGGATCTCATCTATCATTTGCCCCTCCCTTCATCGCATCTGCCAGGCATCTACGCCTGCTTCGCTCTACTGCATCACACCTGTCGGGCTCCTAATGCGCTCTCCTGCACCACACCTGTCGGGCTCCTAATGCGGTATGTCTATGGTGCCAAACACTTTCACTTGAAATGCCATTGCAACTGCTTTCGGTCAAGCTCTCTAGCTCTGTGATCTCAATCCTCTGCTCTGAAAGATGGTGGAGCCAGGCACCGTGTCCTTGGACGACATCCAGGGGCAGCTGGAAAACATGCAGCTGCGGGCACCATC